ATAACTACAATTAATTTTCTAACAATACGAAAAGCTCTTTAAAGGCTAAACATTTACTTATAACTCTGCTTTATTACGCTAGTCAAGCTGAAATAAAAACTTAGGCCTTAACTGGAGTTTCTAGATAAGTTTTAAAAACTTTTTTATTCTAATAATCAAATTTTTCTTATTACTTTATTACCATGAATATTTATCTCAGACTCTTTCAATCATTCATTATATTAGTATTATTTGGCATAAGACTCTTTTGATACCTTTTTTAGATTTATAATCTTACTTAATGGTTGATAACATCTTAGATGATGCTACTTTCATATAATAATTAATAAAAATGTTTCATTTTATTTTAACTTGTGCAAAGTTTATTCACAATTTTTTTAATGTTTAATTAAGGTAAAAACATTTTACATAAAAATACATTTATTTTTAAACTCTTCACATTTTTTAGAACTTGTTTAAAAATTCTATTCTTGTGAATAAAATAATTCTTAACAATAAAATCATAAGTTCTTAAGCTGTTTAAAAAGATTTTAATATTTTTAGAATTTTCCCTAATAAAAGTTTATAAACAAATAATTGTAAAATAACAAATATATATACATTTGACTAATATTATTCAAAATGATATATGTCCAAATTCTATTTTTTTTTAGCTATTTCCTAAAGACTAAAGCAATACATATATCTATAACCTATCATATGCTATGTTGCACAACTTTGTTGTTTCTCTCAGTGTAGGCCTAATATGTTATCAGCTTGTCAGCTGTACAAACTAAAATATCATTTTAGGTTTATTTGATAAGAAACTTGAAATTCAGTTTTTTCAGCAGAATTTTGTTGTTTTTTTTTCGCTTTTAGTTTTTTGCTGCAACTTGAAAAAGTTTGAAGAGTGCGCCGATAGCTATAGCTATCCCCAGGCCCTATCAGATATAACTGTAATTTATAAATAGCTGAAAGAACGTCACAGATCTTAACTTTGCCCTAGACTCGGTCAAGAAATATATATAGATGGATTGATTTGCTGTTGAAACAGCTGGAAACTGATATGATGTGATATATATATATATATATATATATTTATATATATATGATTTTGTTAGTTTAGTAGCTGCTGCTGTGCAGCCCTGGTCTTTTTGGCTATGTTGTCGCATGGCAAGTATTTTTCTTTCTTGGACTTGGACATATAGCGCTCGTCCGTGAATTTTCCCCCATATATATAAATATATATATATATATATATATATAGATATACAGGGTGTTGCTGCAGCAGCTCTCTTTAAGCTGTAGAATTCAAAATGCCGTTCGAAAATGGCTTCAAGGCGCTGCTATTTGTTTTAGACACATTTATGGGCAAACGCTCGTGGGCCCTGTATAAAATTTACTGTGTAACTGTGCGCGCGTGTGTGTGTCAGTGTGCGTGTGTGTGTGTGTGTGAGAGAGTTTAAGCTTAAAGCTATTGTACACTTGGTGTCGTGTCTGCCCGTTCTGCTGCTTCGCCCTCTCTTCGTCTCCCTCTCTCCCGCTCTCTATCTCTCCTTTTCATATCCTTGCGGGCTTCAGCTGAGGCAGCAACAAAAATGACGTTGCTTTTGCTGTCGCCAGCTGCCTTAGCTGTCCCTTTCCTTCCCTTCCCTTCGCTGCGCCTTGCTGCTCTGCCTTGCCAACGCATTTTGTTTTGTTTAGAGTTGTGTGCGTGTGTGTGTGTGTGTGTTGCTTGCTTGCTAGTGCTACCTGTCGACGTGTGTGCGCGCCTATGCCGCTGCAGTCTCTCTTTAAAGTTGGCACGCTTTAAGGGCTCTGGCCATTATTACAGACAAGGACAAGGCATGCCGCCGGAAGCAAGCTCTGCAACCCCCAAGCAGCACACACACAGAGACACACTCGCACGCACCTTAACACATTTTTCCACTTCCTTTTCATTTTCAGGCCAAATGAAAAATTGCACACGCGGGAATTTGATTTTAACATGAGAAATAAATACAATGACGTTGACGGCGACGGCGACGGCGACGGCAGCAGCGCTGCTTCAAACTTGAAGTGTGTTTGTGTGTGGGTTGGTTGGTGGTGGCGACACCTGGCTACACCTGCTCCTGCAGCGATAGTTTTGAATATGCATGCGCCGCTTGCTCGTGTCGATAATGATTTAATTAGAGCTGCCATTCAGACAGCCAACGGCGAATGGTTTTTGCAACAAACAACCATCCAACCACCCAACCACCCAGCCACCCACCCACCCAGCAGCACACCTGCAAGCCTTACCTGTATAATTGATTTATGGGCCGTGCTGCTGCGCTCAATGATTGCAATTTGTTGCTCATTTGTTGCAGCTATGCGCGCAATGCGGCGCAGCAACGAAAAAAAAATATATCAACTCAACCCCTTCAGCCCCTAGATAAGGGTAGCAACAGTATCAGCACTGGCAGCAGCCGAATTCCTTGTCTAATGCCGGAATTTCAATTTAAAGCCTTAAACACTAAAACTTGATTACGCGCGACTCACTGAGCAGCAACTGCCAGCAGATACAGCGCACAGGCAGGCAGCACTCGGTGTCCCTTTTCTGCTGGGCGGGTGAGAGTGAGTGGGGCTGGGACTGGGGCTCAGTGCCTTTGTCTTTAGAGGGCAGAGTGGGGAGCCAAAGTAACTTTTGGCTCTATGTAGCCGGGATCAAAGTGACATAAGTTCAGCGCTCAGCTTCAATTTATTTAATGCCGAAAACTTTTAATGTAATTAAAACGGATAATGCCTAAAACGCGCAAAACTTTAAAAATGCGCGAGCTACAGCTAGCTGTTAGAGCTTTAAGAGGCAACACACGCACACACACGCACACATAGACTTGGCATACAGTTACATGCACGTGCCATAAAGCGCTCAAGTTACTTGCTGGGATTACAACATGCGTCTACTCCTTGATAAAAACTTTTGCTGGCAAATATAAATATATAAATAGACATACATACATGCATATACATATACATACATACATACATACATATACCTATACACAGTTGTGTTAATAAAAATAGTAGTGCTGCTCTACACAAAACTTAAACCAATGCCCAATTATTAGTAGAGTAGAGTGTATAGTGTAGAGTGTAGAGTGTAAAGAGAATGACGAAAAAGTCCCGTTAGTTTCCGTGTGACAATTTTCGACAGCAGCATCGGCTGTTCATAGAAATAGTAGTGCTTGCGTACGCAAGGAGCTTTAAACAAGTAAATAACAATAATAAATTTAAAAATATAAATATTATATTTTAGTGATTGAAATAATAGGAATAATAACCTATTTTAATTTTAGTAGACAGAAAAGCATTGCACGACAGAAAAGAGAAATTTATCCGTTAAATTTAAAAAAAATATATATTAGACCTAAAAGTCGTTTCAAATGATAGTGATTAGCGCTCTAGTCGCACTACTATTTTTATGAACACAGCTGTCGATGCACATAGATTTGTAGTCTGACCAGTTTGATGATCGCGCTGGGTGCTGTTTTTAGCTGCTGGTCAACGCGGCGTATGCGTCATGGAAAACAGTCAAAAAGAGAGGAAACGAAGAAAGAACAACAGACTTCTCTAGCATTTTCCAAATGCTGCACATTTTTGTTGCTGACTACGACACAAATACGCACGCACACAAACACACACACTCACACGCACAGACAGTAGAGCAAGTGTAACAAAGGCAGGTGGGGGGCGGCTGAAAGGAGAATGGAGCAGGATGTGCGAACGGTCGCACAGACGAGTCGGAAGCACGGACAAACAAACGGATAAGAAGGCAAAGTAGCAGGCCAGGCAAAGAACGAAACGAAACGAAACGAAACGAAGCGCAGAGAGGAGTAGAGCAGAGAAGAGAGGTGTGGAGAAGCGAACGTACAACGTACATGAAGAAGATAAGCGCACAGAGCGACGCTGATAAGGCAAGTTGTGCTAGCCGGCAACACAGAATTCCGAGCAGGGACCATGGCCTGAGGCAGGCAGCAATAGACAGACGGAAGGACAGACAGACAGACAGGCAGACAGTTGTGCCTGCCTGCGTGTGGAGGACTTGTGAATTTTAACATTTTAGAGAAAAGCGAATTTTCGAATGTCAGCTCGTCGAGTGAAACGAATTGTGTGCTGAGGGGGGTTGGGGCGGGCAGCGAGGGGGTTCTAGTGTGGCATAGCAATAGAAGTTGGCAGGGGCGGTTGGGGGACCAGGGGCGTGGCAGTGTGTAAGTAGTAGCAATGCAAGCCAGCAGCAGCAGCAGCGGCAGCAGCCACGCTGGAACGAAACAATTTGTAATTTATTTGCGAAGCGTGCGAAAGTTGAGGCAGCTGCCAAAGGCGTAGCCAGAGTGGTAGTAAGAGCGAGAGAGAGAGCATGAGTGAGCGCGCGCGGGAGAGAGGAAGTCAGAAGGAGCAGTCAGGCAGGGCCACACGCGTAAGCATAAGCAGCGCAGATACAGATGAGACCAACGCACACAGACATACTTGTTTTCCTAGTGTGTGTGTGTGTGTGTGTGAAAGGTTGGCAGCGGCGTTATTTTTAAAGACAATTTTTAAAGTGTAATTTTTGAAATTTATTTAAAACTTTTTTTTCTTGCGCTTTACACAAATTTAAATTTTACTTTTATTTTTTATTTTTGTGTGCTTGTTTTATTTGTTTGCTAGCCTTGATTTAATTATATATTTATATATAATATATATTGTTTTTTGCTAAGTATATAAACTATGAACTTTAAATACTTAATACAAATTGTTGTAAGCTGTTCTTGGAAGTTTCTTCTTCTTATTTTTTGACTATGTTACTCAGTCGGGCAGTTTTGAATGAGCTTTTGCTGCAAAAAGCTTTTGCCAACTTAAAGACTTGAACAACTTTCTGTGTGTGTGGTTGTGTGAGCGTGTGTGCGAGTGTGTAGTAAACTCTTAAAAAACACAAAAAAAACAGATATCATTTTAAACATGCATATCTAGACCACTGCTAAAAAGTATATCAAAATTTCATTGATTCAGCTAATACTTCGTATATTGTATATATATTAGAGTGTATATATTTGTGTGACCAAGCTTGTAAACTTTGGCTGGTATAAAAAGAAATTGTTGTTGTTATTATTATTATTGCAACTATTGTTTATGTATTCCAACTGAACTGTGAAACGGTGCGGGCTATCGTTATACACATACATATACAGCATGCTATATATGCACGCATGTATATGGTCTTTAGGTATTCGCTTAATCAGTCTTGTATACAAAAAGAACAAAATTCAAAAACAATCATTGATTTAAATTAGCAAATTCACTAAATATTATTCACTTATTTCGTTGTCATGCAGCGGTAAAAAATATAGGCTTGTTGTTGTTATTGTTATTGTTAGTATAGATTAATAATACATAACAAGTTGAATGGAAACACAAACCATTTAATGGAGACGCGCTGAACTTGGTTATTCGATCTGGCTGCAACCTACATATAGTACAGAGAATTTGAGAATCAGGTATTCACATTACTATATATATATATATGTGTGTGTATGTATATAGAGCGACGTCGCTTTGTCTGCCCATTCAATGGGTAGTTGAGTTGTTTACATAGAGAACATTTTCGCACTTGCACTTAATCAAATTATATTTTGTTTTTAATTTGACACTTATAAACAATAGATTTGTAGAGCATACAAATATATATATGTGTGTGTGTATGTATATGATGCGCTTACAAATCAATAAATTAGGAATCAAATATTACAATACGAGACAGTTGTGTTTGTGTATGTGTTTTTGTCTATATATACAAGGTTCTCGATTTCACATTGTTTCAGCCGAGCCACAGCATCAGTTTGTAAATGCAGTCATCAGCTATGAAAAGCCAAATACAAGTGGAAGTTCTTATGCATGGATAATTAACATCATCATCATCATCATCATCATCACCATCATCGTTGGATGCTGTGGCTGCTGCTTGTAATAGAGAACATGAATATCGCTTAATACTTGCTAACTTAGAGAACAGGCTATATAGATTTACAATTGTACTTAGGCCTAATATTAGAATTTACAAATTTTTTGTTGTACACTAAGACATTGGATTTGTGTATATGTGTGTGTGTGTGTGTGTGTGGGAAGAGGAATTGTGGCTGCACGCCGACAACGAATATCTATACATATACATATTTGCATACATGAAGATAAATAAAAGTTTTGTAATTGGGGTAAAACACAAATTGCGTGCTTATATAAATAGAACCTAACTCCGGCTATCGTTGCTCTCACTGAAGCTCTGTTCGCTCGACTCCCGCCGACTGCTCACCGGCTTGGCCTTGTATTCTGTGATGAAAACCGTAACCGAATTGACGGTCACCTCGCGGGTTTGCGCCGTCGATCGATCAACGTTCTTCAAACGGGCTGGATAACGTTTGTGTCGCTGCCTATCATGCCCGCTGCCATGTCGCGAACTTGACGCCGGCTTCCCATTGGGCATGTTCCCACTAGCGCCTGGCAATGTGGCCGCCTGCTGAGCGACTAGCGCAGAGTTTAAGCGCGGTTTACGCGTCGAGGTGCCTGCCAGCGCACGCCAGCCAGGTGAAAAAAATAAAGAAAAATATGATATGAGTCAAGTGTCTACAATCGAAACAAATGAGAGCTTTGTTTATACTATGCCTGAGCATTTCACAATTCATTCAGAGCGACCCATTTAGCGGCCGTCCTTCAACGTAATTCAAAATGTGACATTGCTGTCGCTGCTTCAGTCGCTGTCACCGTTGACGTCGCTGTCGCCGTCGCAGTAGCCGTCGCCGCTATTTGAATCGAGGTCACTCACCTTTTCTCACGTCACACATGCGACACTTGAACGCCTCCGCCGAGTTCCTGTACGTGCAGACGCTGCAGTCCCAGAAGTTCTCCTCGATTACTTTCGCTTGGCGCTTTTGTCGTCGCACGGGCGATGATTTTTTGTCCATAATAATTTAACGCTTGCCAAGTGTAGATGACAAATGCAGCTGGCCGAAATTTTTGCAAATGTTGTTGTTCCTGCTGCTGCTGCTGCGGCTGTTGTTGTGGCTGCTGTGGCAGAAATTGCTCGCAAACGTTCACTGCAGCGCTGCTCGCTTGCCAATTGTGCAGAATTTCAATGCTTAATTACTCCATTAATGTGCAATTTCCGAATTATTGTTATTGTTGTTAATTCTTTTTCGGTTGAAAAACTTTCTGCAATTGTCTTCTGGCCAAATAGAAAATTGTTGCGGAGTTGCCGTATGTGACGCGAGAATAAACACAAAATGTTGCTGAACTACCGCAGGCGACTATCGATATATCGGCGGCAAGTTATCGATGAGCAAAAATATCGTCAATTATTCATTTAATTAGCCTTTGTTTACTTTCCTTTTGTTTTTGTTTTGTTATAGACTGAATTTGAATGCGTGTAAATCTGTGTTATTTAAAACGCATTTATTTTAAAAGTGTGGACGAAAGTGTTTCGCATTACATAACATCTAAGTTTATTTATCTATTTTGTGCTTAATTTTAGGTAATATATACATAAAGAATATGCTTATTTTAATTCACTTTTGGCTTAATTATCAGATCTATTGCTCCAACATGTTCTCAAAGTCCCTCAGCTCGAGTTCTCGCTCTCTGACCTGCGTATAGAGATTATCAAGGGTCTCCTGCATTCGCTGCTTTAGCGTTGCATTTTGAATGGAAGCAATTTCCGTAGACTTTTGGGATTGTTGTGCTCTCAGATCGTTGATTTGTCGAGTCAGTTGATTGATCTTGTCGTGGACTTGTTGCTGTGTATATTGAGGTTGGGGATCATCCATAAACTCCAGATTCTCGAACTCCTCACGTTTGCTCATCTGCTGATTGTCATAGAAGCCGCTTGGCGCTGCCAAATTCGAACTGGAACCTGCGGCACTTAGCTTCGGGCTGCTCGGCTCTCTTCCAAACATCGACTTGCTGAACTCGTTGTGCTCCATCTTCTCACGCACACCCACGCCACTGCCACTTGCGCCGCCAAAGAAATCGGACATACGTGAATCGTCAGCCGACAGCCGCGAAGATTCTTCTAGACGCGAATCATTGCCCGGCAATCTGGGCTCGTCCTCGTCATCTGTTGTGGATACTTCTTCGCCGAATATATCGTGTGCAGCGACGCCCATATTGGGAGCGCGATGCGTCTCGAAATTGCTAGTCTCATCATCATCTGATTCCACATTGATTTCGCGTTGCGAAGCGCTCTCATTGATGGTTTTATCGCCGGCATTTAGCGTCTCATCCTGCAGATCCTCATCGGCCTCGTTGTACGGCTTGATATCAGACTGATCCAGGTCATCGCTCGGTTTGTCCTCCTCATTGATGATCTCGTAATCAACACGCACAGCCTCGTTGTCGATGCGCAATAGATGCTTCACTTCTTTCTCGATTTCCGGCGTCTCCACATTCTTTTTTTTCAACGTCTTGCGAAATCGCCGTTTGCGCACATTCTTACAGGGCGGAGTTATACCATGAGGCCATAAGTACTTTTTGTCCACCTTGTTGGGATCCTTTTTCTTGTTTTTGTTGGGCGACTCCTTTTCCGTCTCGTCCTCTGGCTCCTCCTTGCAAATAAGCAATTGGCAAATGTCCGCAGATTTATAAAAACTTTTGTTGTCAATTGTTTTATAACTCTCCATAACTGTGGGCAAGTCGACGATTTTAGCATAGAGCAATTGGTCATCAAAGCGCACTTCGCCATAGCGCAAATCCTGATCTAGTTGTATAGATAACCGATCCTTCACATTGCCTGCCTGTATGGACTCATGGACCGCAGGTGCCAGGTGCTACAATTGAAGTGAAAAAGTTGAGATGCTCGCTGAGGGAACCGAGTGTTTTGCCTTACCTTGGGGAAGCGCATTATGAACTGGTTCTCTAGTTCAACTCCATCATCTCTGGGCTTATGCTCAGCTTGTTTTTTCTTTTCAAACATCTTAACTTATTGATTAAACTTATATTTAATTAACAAACTAAGAAATTTCTGGCACGTCTTCAGCTTTACACTGTTGCATGTTCGATACCGCGAATATAAACATTTAGCGGGTGGAAGCTATCGATAAATAGAGTAGTGTTGAAACGTGCTGCTGGTTGTGCCATCTGGCAACCTTTGGTAATACAAAAACCGCGCGTAAGCAGTTAAACGGAACAAAATCTAAATTATTATTTTGAGTGGCTCAAGTTTTGTTTTTTTTTCTTGTGTGCAGTTATTAATAGTTATGTGTGTTTAAGAAGCAAGCGTTATTACGCCCACGCAACTTGCAAAAATGGAGCTCAAAGGCCGTCAAGAGCAGAAAACCGAACGCAACTCGTTTTCTACACACACACACATACATGCTCATGTATGAATCTACATAAAGACATGCTTCTACATATGTATGCATGTGCGCATTATATTTGTATGCACGAATATTAGACTTAAACAAATAGTTATATTATTATAATACAAACAGCTGACATTTTAGGCTGCGTGAAGCGACTGCTTATTTATATAGATCAACGTCTCTTGCTTATCTTATCTTAATTTATTGCGCTCATCAGTTTTCGCTTGTTTCTCTGCATCATTTAACGCCCTGCGGATTGTAGACACCTAGAAAGGTATTGCACTTGCGGCAATAGTGATTACCTGTACGGCAGCTATTCATGCAATAGGGTACAAAGCACGCACAGACACACCAGCTGCAGAATAGCCAATAAAATTAGTTTTAATGTAATTACAAAGAGGTAGTTTGTCGATTTACCCCACTAAGCAGATGAGCGCGGCGGCCAGGTGAGTCCTCGCGTTGGCTGTGTGCGTCATGCGTGTGTTCTTCTGTGCGCCACAAGCCGGACACAGCACACGGCAAGGGTTTGGGCCTAAGTTCGTGGGTGCTGCATGGAAATAAGGTTTAGCTAATGTTTAGGCATCGATTCAGACTTCTACCTGGTTGCACTAATGTGGGCTCCAACAGTTCTGGCTGCTGTCGTCGTGTTTGTTGATGTTGTTCTTGTTGTTGTTGTTGTTGTTGTTGTGGTGGTGGCGGCGGCTGTGGTTGTGACTGTGCAATCACAATCGGAGTTTGTGCTGCAATTGCCACATCGTATGATGGCGGCGCCTCAAGCGTTGGCACAGTCAATTCGTTTGTTGGCGATGGCAGCGGAGCGCTGGGCGTGTTGTAATCCACTTGTGGATAGAGCATGGCACGCTTCTGCTCCATGGTGCGAAGTTCAACTTAAACTACCAAGTATATATATATATATATATATATATATATATATATATATATTTATGTATGATTCAGATTGCGACAAATCACAGCTCAAAGAGCTTTGTTTGATTTGCTAATTGGCAGCAGTAGCTTCAGCGGCAGAAGCCACGGCTCAAACTTCGTCGGCTGTTCTCTAACTATCTCTCTCGCTCGCTCTCACACGCCCTCGTTCTCAGCTGATCGAAGCTCTCGCTGTCGACTTTTGCGCTTCACTTTCAATACGCGACTGAATTTAGGTTGAGCGCCAACTGAAGCAGCTACCAGAGATCTGCTGGGAGAGAGCGCGCGAGCGTGCGAAGGAGCTTAAAAGCTAAGACAACAGCAAAAACAGGTACCCAAAATGCATTTGTTTAGCATGCTCGACGCGATGCTACCCTTTGAGTAGCTTATTTTATAAATATATAATTTTAAGCTATGAATGTAGTAATTAGATTTTGATGTGACTGCTCGACTGGCAATTACCCGTTAGTTTGTTAGTTGTATTTGTGGCATTCTTTATGCTTACTTTTGTCTGTGTTTCTTTATATTACATATTCTATTCTTTGTATGAAAAATTATATTTATATTATGAAAAAGCCATTTTAGAACATGGAAGACGTCTGTGTTTATGGATTGCTTCTGATGAAAGTGTGAGCTATTACAATAGCTCGCACAGCAGCTACCCTTCTAACTTATCTATATCATATTTACTTTTGTGAATCATAAAGTGTAATCAAAAACTGAAACTAGAAATCGCGAATTATTAAACGGTAGCGTTACTTGTGGTTAAAGACAATTTAATGCCTATTTAAATATATTTTTTATAAACATATATACACATATATATTCTAATTGCATTTAGATGATCTAAAACATTGCAACACTTTATTAAAAACTCTGCATAACAACAACAAACAATATAATAAATACCCTAACTACCCGCATTCCACTTTGATACAGGGTATACTAAAAAAAACTGGAAAACTTTGGCAATCTTTTGTGGCAATTGCAAAACTGAAAAACACGAAATTAAGATACTAACTACAAATGTATTTGAAGAATTTATCTAAAGTACACACAAACACCTGTGCAGCGCAGCACAGGTAGGCGTGTTCCTCTATCTATATATAATGAACGGTATCTATGTGTGCGTATTTGTTATTCTTTACTTTCAGCCAAATTAGTTTGCAGATAAATGCTAATTTGGAAGTTGCACATCCGGCCAAAGGTGTAGGTGGCCGGACAGGTGTATCACTTGCGCAAATAGGTGCCCAGATAACGGTTGCACATGCCGCAGTAGTGAGTGGTATTCATGCAGCTCGATATGCAGTAGGGCAAGCAAACGAAGCAGTAGAGTCTATGCAATGGAAGATAATGTCAGCGCAGCAGAAAACGTTATCTCTAGCGATTACTCACTGTAGCAGGCACAGCACCAGCGCAATCAGATGCGTGCGCGAATTGGGCCTGTAGGAGACGCGTGTGCGCGCATAATTGTGGCAATAGGGACACTGCACGTCCTGTGGCTCCGGTCCGAACGGCGAATTGGGCACAACAATCACCGTGTGCTGCGTGGCTGGGGGCTGGAGGGGAGGTGCCGGCGTGGGCGCTGGTCCCGTTGTCAATGCGGGCGTTGCCGTGCCCGTTGCTTGATCATATGTAGGTGGCGCCAGCAGCTTCTGGTGCTCCGGCTGCGTCTCGTGCAGCAGCCCACTGACGTCCTTGGGCTGCTCCAACGGCTCGCTGGGATAGACGCGTTCCATTTTAATCGTGTCGATGACTGAGCTATGACAAATTTTCTGTCAATTTCATAAACGCGACGCGCCCAATCGGCGCTTATCAATGAACCTTTCTATGGTAGGTTTCTGAAAGCTTTGCGCTGATTGTTTACCTTACAGGTAATAAGTAGCTTTTCATGTCTCTATGTGTGTGTGTGTGCGGGTGTGTGTGTGTCTGTGTGTGTATCGTTTAACACCTAACAAAAAAAATGTTCGCATTTCGTATGGCTGGAGAAATTGTTTACGTTTATTGAGCGTTTGTTGTTTAGCATTTCGGCATCAATCGCTGCTATAGACGCCCACAAATTTGTTGCAGTTGCCGCAAAAGTGATTCGCATTCATGCAGCTTGTGGCGCAGTAGGGCAAACAGGCGAAACACCAGAGCCTGCAGCAAGTCGAACAACAAGATAGACGAATTTTTGAGTAAAGATAAGATAAAGAGATAAGAGCTAAATAATCCAGTGTATCTTACCCCACTATGCAAAGCAGCGCGGCCATGCAATGGGTGCGCACACTGGGCGAATACTCGACGCGCGTTAGCTTCAGCACCTGGCAATGCGGGCAGCTGATGTAGCACGGATCGGGTCCCACAGCGGGCGGCGCTTGATCTGCAATTGTGGCAAGCATGCATTAGGCAAACATTCGTCTGCTGCGCTTAGGACACTTACGCTGTATGATGACGACGTTAGCTGCCGTCGGCACCTGAAAGTGCGTTGCCTGCTCATAGCTGGGCGGCAGTGGCTGCGCCTGTGCATACTGATAGCTCATGCTGGCACCGGTACCGGCACCAGCTGCAGCAGCGACACCTGGCATGCCCTGCTCGTGTTGCTTTTACATCTTGCGTTTGTCCTTGCGCAGGTCTATTAATAATCAGCTTTGATTTCAGACTCTTCTGCTTGTGCGCTTCACTCTCGCAACAATGTTGCTGGAGTCAAATGTTGCCAGCTCATTTGTTGTCAGTGTACCTATCCTACAGCTGGCTTGTTGCCAACACTCATGTTGTCAACGCTCAAGTTGCCAACACTCATGTTGCCTGCGCACTTGTTGTCAACATTCATGTTGCCTGCGCCCTTGTTGTCAACATTCATGTTGCCTGCGCACTTGTTGTCAACATTCATGTTGTCAACGCTCAAGTTGCCAACACTCATGTTGCCTGCGAACTTGTTGCCAACACTCATGTTGCCGACATTTCCATTGCTTGCGCACTTGTTGCCAGCTAAAGCTAAAGCTCTTTAAAAGTTTTTGCGTTGCAACAAATTTCGGCTAATTTAATTTAATTTAATTTATTTCAAGCCTTTTTCGCGTTTTGAGAGTCAAGTCAAGTAGGTGAAAATGTAGGCACCACAGCACGATTTATGCGATTATTTACGTTTATATATATATATATATATATATATATATATATATATATATTATACTTTTGAGCTCAGCGCTCATAGGTGCCAATGAAGGCATTGCAAGAGGCGCAATAGTGGTCCACGGAGCGCGCACAGTCCATGCAGTATAAGCAGATTGCACAGGGCCACAAGCTGCAAGAATTTAGAATATGTTTACAGTTAAGTTCAGTTAGGCCGCACTGCGAATACTCTGTGCAACGTACAGCGTGAGGCACATGATGAGCGCTATGAGATGCATTCGAGCTGTGACCTTTTTCACTGCTTTGCTCATCATTTCCAAGTGGCAATTCGGACAGACCACGAGACTCGACTCGGGTCCCACGACAGACATTTTGTAGCGCTCGTAAAATATATAAATATATATATATATAAATATAAATATATATATATATATATATATATATATATTTTTTTTTTAATCTATTTTATATTTATATGCTATGCAAGGAGTTTAGCTCCGCTTTGCTTGCTGCTCGTGGCAATACTGTGGAGCCTTGCCTGCTGTTGACTCTTTGCTGTTGACACATTTCACTTGAGCTTAGGTGAGCCACATCCATTAACTGCATTCTAATGGCTTATAATTATTCATGATTCATGAATGCTGTTCATAAATAGTTTTCCATGCCCTGAACCTATAGAAAATAATTATTTTATGTATTTAGTTAGCATGAATCAGAATCAAGAGCTGAGCAAATCGAGTCGGAGCTTCAGCTCTTAGTCGGATACTTTCTGCGATAACACTTACTCTGAGACCGAGACTCTGCTGTATGTGCATTCATATAGCTCTGGCACAGCTATAGCCCGGCCATATCTATAGCTCTGCTATGTCTATGTCTGCTAGGTCTGCCAGATAAAGGGCTATACTATGTATAGAGCTTTGTATATATAACTGAAGCTACTTTATATCTTTAGCTATAGCTGTACATTGTTTCTAGTTGCACTATATCTAAAGTACAGTTATGTACAGTACTGTCATTCCTACAATAATGTGCTCATAGACAACTTCTCTTCTATAGATCCTGACTCTGTTTAGCTTGTTTCCTTGGCTTGTCGCTTTCTGTTACTTAGCATTGATTTAAAGCTTGCTTAATTTTTGAATTATATTTAATACATAGCACATATATCGTGCAGGCATGCTCATATACAAATACCATATCAGATCTGTGAGATATTATTGAAGAAGTTAATTTTAAAAATAATTTTTCGATTACAAATTTCGTTTGCAATGTTGCAAATGCGTCAAATATCTTTGAGGCATTGCACAAAATGCGTAATGTCAAGTATTTAGTTTTGTTGTTGTTGTTGTTGTTGTTCAGCTTCAGTTCTGATAGGTGCCCACAAAGGCGCCGCAGCTGGAGCAGGTGTGCACTGCGCTCTGGCAGGAGTCCACGCAGTAGGGCACGCAGCAGCAGCAGATGCCGCTGCAACAACAATGCATATACCGTTATATATATTTATGTGGAACTGTGTGGCACTTACCCCACCAGGCAAATGAGCAAGGCCAATAGATGCGTCTTGGTGCTTGGCTCATGCTTCACTGTCGTCTGCTGTCGGGCGTGGCACGAGGGGCAGACAGCAAATGTGGGCATGCGGCCCAGATTGTTTTGTGCTCCACCTGTTTGTGTGTGGGGGGGGGGGGGTTATTGAATAAACACATTGACAGTTAATTGCACGATCCCTCAACCAGCAGCGAGCGACTAACCTTGCATATAGACTTGCGGCTGTTGCACGTTTATCACGGCGGGCGGCAGCGTTTCGTTCGGTATCATCGTCGGCGCGTTGAGGTCGCCATACTGCGGCGGGGCATCTGGCGGCATTGGATATAGATTCGATTTCGATGTCATGCTCGCTAACTGGGCTCAGTAGGTGAATGGTTCAGCTGCTCGCTTCCGCTTGAGGTCTGCTTCGCTTGCGACTCGCTATGAAACTGAGCAGCGCGAAGTTTTGCTGCTCTGCCAAGGGCTGCGCTCACAAGTGTGTGACTGTGTGTGTGTCTCTGTCTGTGTGCGCTCTGCTCTGTGTGGGTGTTTACAGTAAACCCATTTGGCCGTCGTTATCCAGCTTAATGCCCAACTATCAGCCGCAGCGCAAGGATAACGACTATGACGCACACTCAACACTCACAGCAAATGGAGCATATTAGTGCTAAGGCAACAAATGGAATTGAACTTTAACACTATATAGCTCTAAACTTAATGTATTCATTTTTCTTTTTTTTTTCATTGCATTCCATTTCAAAATTATATAATGAAGCTCTGCTTGAAGCTCCTCTTGATGTTCTGCTGAAGCTCCGCTTGAAGCTCAGATTGAAGCTCAGATTGAAGCTCTGCTTGAAGCTCAGATTGAAGCTCAGCTTGAAGCTCAGATTGAAGCTCTGCTTGAAGCTCTGACTGAAGCTCTGCTTGAAGCTCGGCTTGAAGCTCCTCTTGATGTTCTGCTGAAGCTCTGCTTGAAGCTCAGATTGAAGCTCTGCTTGAAGCTCAGATTGAAGCTCAGATTGAAGCTCTGCTTGAAGCTCAGATTGAAGCTCAGATTGAAGCTCTGCTGAAGCTCCGCTTGAAGCTCTGCTTGAAGCTCAGATTGAAGCTCTGTTTGAAGCTCGGCTTGAAGCTCCTCTTGATGTTCTGCTGAAGCTCTGCTTGAAGCTCTGCTTGAAGCTCTGCTTGAAGCTCAGATTGAAGCTCAGATTGAAGCTCAGCTTGAAGCTCCTCTTGATGCTCTGCTGAAGCTCCGCTTGAAGCTCTGCTTCAAGCTCGTTAAATATATATTTGCATAGCTCGCATTCATTTGAAAATGTGAATGAATTTTCCACAAATAACGTAGGTCTATATATATATTTAGTTGTATATATAAGCTTGATCAGCACTGTGAACTGTCTCAGTCTAGCCCTAGGTGTCTGTTGCGCCTGTCTAAGCACTCCACTCGTCAGCTTGTATGCCGACAAGCTGCTCATTTTTCCTAGCGATAACTCATGACACAGCAGTTAATCGATAATAATCGATATTTTGATTTTGCTTCGTATGCCTAACTCAAGGATCCTTACAGCTAGGCAACCTCCGTCTCTGTGAGCATAACACAGAATATATCAGCTTTTGGATTAGCATTCGCATGTTCAGCCAGAGTATTCAGAATATGCCCATTGCTTGTAGTAAATGAAAATTTGTGCTGGTGTCTCTAAGCTTAGGGCTTGTGTGTGTCTTTGGCTTAGTATTTGCCCTTTAGAATGACAGCAGCAACAGCTTGGCGCAGCGTTCAGGGTGCCTGCTAGTCAGACACTCCCGACCACAGTCACTCTTTATTTATTTATTCATTAAAATATAATTGAAAACATCTAAGCTGTTGGCTAAGCTCAACTTGTACATCAGATCTGCATGCTATATAGTGTATATATATATATATAGCCCGAGTTGCCTAATGTCGCTCTAATGTTGTTTGTTGTTTTCTAGTTCAGCTGTGTTAGCTTTGTTAATTGAGCATGTAAATTATAAAAATGAACACAAATTGAAGTTGCTGTGCGCATTTAATTGATTTCACTTGATTCGAGCACAATTAGTTGGCGGCTTTGCCCAAATACTGATTGCAGCAGCTGCAATAGTGATAAAGGCTGCGGCAGCTCCTAAGGCAATATGGCAAAGGAGCCAAGCAAAACAGGCTGAAAACAAAGAGCAAACATAACGGAAGTTAGTGCTAAACATAGATTATATATATAAATATATATATAAATATATATATAGATTTATATATGCATGTGAGCTGACTCACCCGGTTAGGCAGAGCACGATGGCAATTAGATGCGTGTTTTTATTGGAGCGCAGCTCCAAGCGTGTTTGCATCACATTGTGGCAGCTGGGGCACGTCATGCGCTGTGGCTCAGGTCCCAAAGGTGTTGCGCCTGCCAGTAATTGATAAGAATTTAAATGTGGCTAACCAGAAAGGCAGTCATTCAACACTTGCCAGCTGCATTGACCAGCAGCACAGTGGCTGGAGCAGCAGCTGCAGGAGCTGTGGCCAGTGGCTGCGCTGCAATTGGTGCACTTGCCGCACTTGCCGCACTTGTCATGTAGCTAAATCCCAATGGCTTCAGATCCATCTCCATGCTGAACGCTTCTTTGATAAGAATCGCAAGGCTCAGCGCTCTTTTATAGCTAAGCCTAAGCCGCCGGCATACGCGGCGTATGCGCAATTAACGCCTAATATCGACCCATTACGAAATAATTCACATTTCATTTTTCGTTATTTGTTTATTTTGTGCGTAGGGCCAAAGCACCTAATAAGTAAATTGGAAATTCTATTTGTCTAACATCGAATTAATTGCTCAGGTGTTCATATCAAATGCAGTCAAGACTCGCTATAAAGCAAGCTGGCTTTAAGTAGGCTTGGCTGCCCCATTGTGGGCATGGCTGTGCAGCTTTTATTATGGTAAATACAATTTGCTTTATTTAAAAAAAATTTTCAAAATATTTTAGTATTTTTTTAGATTTGTTTTATTGAAATATTTTTTTTTAAATATTAAAAATTTGATTTTTATTTCTTTTTTATATGAACTGTTTTTTTACGCCTTCGTTTATGCTTTTTTTATATTTCGAAAAAGAGCTCGAGGCATACATATTATATATATATATATATATAATTTTTTTTTTAAATATATATATATTTAAAATATTTTTTTTTAAATTTTGTTTTTAAAATTTTTTTAATTTTTAAAAATATTTTTTAAATATATATAAATATATATATAAAATTTTATTAAATATATATTTTTTAAAAATTTTTTTTTTAATATTTTTAAATTTTGTTCTTAAATTTTTTTTGATTTTTTTTAAAAATATTTTTTAAATATATATATATTTTTGAATATTTTAAAAAATATATTTGAAAAGATTCCAAGCAAACTCTTGACTAAAACGCAATTTAGCCTTGCTAACATTTAAGCTAAGAGGTATATTTGGTATAGTAAATAGTAAACAGTTAATATATTCATAAATGTTCAATAAAGCGTGGCTTGACTGTATAAACAGTTACTTTTTTAGCTAGGAAATAAGGCGAATAAAGGAAAAGCATTTCGCTTGCATTAAGGCAATGCAGCTGTGCACCTGTGCACCTGTGTGAGTGTGTGTGTGTGTGTCTGGCTACATTTATATATTTGTCTCTGAAGTCGTCTCAACGCTCGTAGCTGCCGACAAAATTGTTGCACGACGGACAGAAGTGATCCATGCTGCGCGCACAATCCGTGCAGTACAAGCAGCAGGCGCACGGCCAGCAGCTGAAAGGCAGACGAGTTAAGGGGCAATTAGTTGCTTAAACTATATATAAACTATAGCTAACTAAATTCAGTTCTTACCAGAGCACGCACAGTATGAGGGCCAGCAAGTGGGTTTTGGTCGTGGCCTTGGCCACGGTGCGCGTTGTCACCTGTTGATGGCAGTTGGGGCAAATGACATTGCTGGGCTCCGGTCCGACAGGCGTGGACATGTTGCTCTATGGAAATAAATACAGGCATTAAGTGTATATATATGTGTGGAGTGGACTGTTGAGCTATTGAATGAAAGCTGGCTTTGACCTTGCCCAAGCCACTCGCGTGCAATTGCAATCGCTGCGCAGGCATCTGAAAAGTGTGGAATACCCATTTGGCAGCAAAACAAGATAATTGCGGGTTTCGCTGCGGGTTTCTGTTAAAGCTGCACTCTCACATGACTTCTAATGGCTAATGCGAGCGCTGATAGCGGCTAATTGAAATGGCATGCAGCAGGCAAATTAGACTCCATGACCATCTCAGCCGAGTGATGTCAGCGAAAGTGTGGTGCTGTCGTCATTCCTAGCCACTGCCCCAAATACCCTTTTCAGCCACAGACACAATTTCCGTGCACAAATGCCCCTGCCCCTCTACTACGCCAGGGCGTGGCCTTCACAATTTTTGGACGCGTTGCGTTAACCTTCATTAGCTGTCCAGCAAGTGACTGACTGCACAATACCGTCTGTGGAACTGCTAGTTGACGAACCTAACCCCAATGTTATGGAAGACATAGCTACCAATTTATATCTTATCTATATACCTGATATTTTACAGAGTATTTTCCACCATGTGCCTAAGGGCAAGGCTATAGAAGATGGTCAATAGCAAGCAGCTGCTATTAGCTGAATTGCTAGAGGTCTAGATGGAGGTCTGTAGCATATATGGAAAATCTGAACACCTTGTAAGACGAGCTTCCAGAGATGCGAAAGACCAAACACAAAACCAATATACCCGTTTCACTTTATGCAGGGGCAATGCTAATAAGGCCGGAGGAAGACTTGCCGCTTTAGCTTATTGCACACATTTTGGAGTTAACTGTACACACACACATGCACTCACACACACAGCGCACTGCAATAAACAATCTGCACATTTCTAAATAAACATTTTGCCACAGGCATTCAGCACTCATGATGAGCGGGCCTTTAGCATAGATCAGCTTGCAGCCAGCTGCCAAATCAAATTACTCACAAAGTTATATATATATATAAATATATATATATATATATATATAATTGTATGTTTCTTGATATATATACAGTGTTGCGAACTTGTAGCGCGTTGTGGCAGCGAAATCGTTTTGAAGTACGCCACGCAGATAACCGTTTGTTGTCATGTTAACCGACCCGCACTGCACCGTGGTGCCGCACACATTTGCAGGCGCAGCAACAAAAGAAGCAAACGTACAATAAGAAACTATGCTTAAATTAAATAATATTTCTATAAATAGAAATATTCAATAGATGTTACCTATTTGTGTTTGCAAATATTAATTAATTAAATTGCATTTCACTCCATATTCATGGCGCGCTAAGCACAGTGCGCCTTGGCAACAATGTTGCTGCAACAAGAGCTTAGCAACTTTTGAAATTTCCAGTAATTTTAACTCAGTTTATTAAGTATGAATAAAATAAATCAAGAATATAAATGCTTACGTAAGCAGTTCAGAAATTGGTTTGTTTACATTAAATTCAGATAAGTGTATATATGAAGCAATTGTTTATGCTACGGAAGCTAAGGAAAGGAAGCGAAAAGTTTTATATCGAGTCACGTCGCTGCTTGATATACACACATATTTATATATATATATTTATTATATATTTATATGTGTGAATTTATATGTGCATATGTGCGCATATTTGGCATATTTAAGGAATATGTAAGAATGATTATGAACTCTGCTTGAAGCTATCAGCGAGCAGCTTAGCTTTAGATGTAAGCGTTGCATTTTGGGCAAACTTGGCTCGTTGTGTAGCCGCAGTCGCAGCAGCAGGGCAAACAGACGCACGGCCAGCACCTGTGAATGAATCGCGATCAGAGGTTCTTCTTCTTCTAGTTGCAATGAAATTCGACATTTGATACTCACAAGAAGAGACAGAGCAATGCAGACCAGCAGTAGGTGGTGCATGTGGCATGGTACTTGACACGCATCAAAATCCGCTTCTGGCAACGGGGACAGGTCGTCAGGCCAGAGTTGTCAACGATCACCGTGTGTTGTTGGGTCACGTGGACATCGGGACGTGGTGACATCATTGGCGCCGTATGAATCATGTCATTTGGCGGTGCGCTAGGTGTTGGACCAGGGCGATACTGATCCTGCGAATACGGTGGCGGCTGCGGTGACAGCTTGTTATGCTTCATGGCTAACAAATAAAATGATTATTATTATATAATTGCGACTATGCGGTAAATTGCGCATTTGCTCAAATAGCAGGGAAATAACCGTAATAAATGCAAGCACTCACACACACACATACGACTTTATATATGTATATACATACTTACATACATTTAGATATATATGTATGCACTTTAAATATGAAATTACGTTTCCACACACCTTTACAGCTATAAATGCATTCATTACCTTTCTATTTATCAACTTTAAATATTTTTTATTCAGTCTGGAAATAGCGTGTAATGGCAGACAAAGCGACCGGCGACTTCACCACGAGAACACAAAAAAACGGAATGTGCGACGCAGCGCGAAGAAGAGAAACCCTGAGCCTTCAGTGCGAGCGTGATGACTACACTATCATTGCGACGTTCGCTGAAACGTTCGCAAAACAGAAGTGATAAGTGAGAATTGCAAATCCATGTAAATCTATGAGCTTAGCTCAGCAAGCAATGTATGTGGTTAGTAAAATTAGCACATATTTATACTATGCCTAAGAGTAGTTTATTTTAAAAGCACAAAACATCTTAATCTATAAGTTTTTGTAAACAAAATAAATCAACCAAAAGTCGTTATTCTTTAAATGTAGATTTGAAATGCATTTGAGCAAATCGGCTTGCCTTAGTCAAGACACAAACCACATAAGTAAAAGTGTATCAAATGCTGCAAACTTTTGATTGCATACTTTCAAGCATAAACATAAAACGTTTCCTTGCCTACTTATAGGCACATTGTTTAAGTAGGCAGTTGAATTCAATAAATATGTTTTAAAGTAATATATGTATATATATATACATATATATTTATACAATTTTATCAGCAAAAAATGTTTTTCTTGTAGTTAGTTAGTGTCAGCGTTTTATTACTTATCAGCAAAGCCAGTTAAGTTATAAATAATTTATTTGTATGACCCGCTTAGGTCAGGTCCACTAGTCGGATCGGCTGCCTATGTAGCCATTGCAGACAGGACAATAGTGATTGGTCTTCTTGCATGAGTCCATGCAATAGGGCACACAGACGCAGGGCCAGCAGCTGGAAAAACGTAGAAGGCCATGAGTTTATAAATAAATATTGCTGATAAGGCGCAAGTTCAACCAGCGCCATAAACTTGCTCATTAACTGACTCAACCTGAATTCTAGTTAAGTTAGGACTGAGAACCTACCCAACTAGACATAGCATCATTGCCCACAAATGTGTACGACTCGTGGGCGCAGTCTCTATTCGGGTCACAACGTCATTTTGGCATGAGGGGCAGTGCACAAAAGTCGGATCTCGGCCCACGGGCACGCGTGGCGGTATCGTAGTGTGTATGACAACCGTTGAAGATCCTGGCGGCTGTTGCATGGGTGGATACATCGGTGGCTGTGTGGGCCCAGTCGGATATGGCTGATAGGTCTGGGCAGGCACAAAACGGATTTGTGCTTGCGCCGTCGGAGGAGGCATTGAGTCCAGCTGTGGCTGCGGCTGCGGTTGCGGCTGCGGCAGCGGCTGCTCAGTGTACGGTGGCGGCTCCTGTTTTTCCATCTTAATCCAATTATATATATGTATATTTAATGATATCTGTTTATTTATTTGTAAATTCGTGCTTAGTCAACCTCTCGGTTAGCTGTTTATTGTTTAACTGATGTAGCCTTGCGTCGTTTAGCTGCTGATAATGTGCCAAATGTCGAGCTGATATCGAACTTATCTGCTAAAGCCACATTAGATTAGATTTAACTCTGCCTCAACTCTTGGAATTGGGGGATTTTTACACCTGTACCTTTCAAACCTGACAAATTGGTAATAATAGGTGTGAGCTGTCGCTTATTAAAGGATATTTTATTGATGGGCTTCAAGTGATAACATTGAATGGTATTTTTAAAACAATTGTTTTTAGACTGTCTTGAAGAGGGACAGAGACAGGGGGAGAGCGAGCAGCAACTAAGTAACTGCATGTAATAACTTTAGGGGGCATATTGATAGAGCCCAGCTATAGATAATGAACATTTGTGCTGTTTACAAATTGTGATAAGTTGCCTTGAAACAGTTTTGGCTAGAATTTACAGAAAGTGATTGCATTTTAGGACCTGTTATTAGCCATAAGCAGAGTTGACTAAGCCAACTTTGAGGAATGTCACGCAGAGAGAAGCAACTGAAGAAGTCATGCATTTAAAGTCTAAATATTATTAGATATAAGATAAAAGAAGTGTATAAGACTATGCTATATTATATTATAAGACTATCTTATAATAATAAGAGAACAACTTCTTGAATGATTGCTCTCTTCTATTACGTAGGCGTTGCTGAAAGTTATATATATATATATATTTTTTTTTTTATACATATATATATATATATATTCTGCTAAATTTCGAACTGAAATGTGATAAGAGAAAGTAATTTAATATTTTTAGAAATTGATGAATGCATCGAGCAACAGCAACAACAATGCTGAAGAAGTTAGAAATAAAAAAATAAATTTAAAAATAAAAATTAGTTTTTTATAAACAAATGTATAGAGAAATCTTAGTAAAAGCTGGCAAATATATATATTATGTATAAAGTATATATATTTGCTTTATAAATCGAATAGAAACAAACTTATTTCGTTGATTCACTTGGTGATCAGTTGGCGTTTATTTCAGGTCGTTAGCTTAGCTTATTAAATGGACAAATCGTTGCTTATAGTTAGGTAATACTTCAGTTCTCGTAGGTGCCAATGTAGGCGCCGCAGTTGGGGCACGAGTGCTCGGCATTCTGGCAGGAGTCCATGCAGTAGGGCACACAGACGCAGGGCCAGCAGCTGCAAAGTGCAGAGCGAGAGAAAAAAAAGTGCGATTAGCAGTTAGCAAATGAAAAGTCGCTCAATGATTCATTGAGTGTGCCGACGATGATTCACGGGTGATTCATGAGTGACTCAACTCACAGAAAGAGACACAGGATCAGGGCCCAGCAGTGCGTGCGTCCCGTTGGAGTGCGCTTCACATTTGTCAGAATGTCCGCGTGGCAGGAAGGACACTGAACACGCGACGGATCGCTGCCGATGGGCACCACATTGGACGTTGTCGTTGTCTGTATGATCACCTGTGGTGCACCTGGCTGGTAGGTCTGGGCGGGCGTATATCCTTGACTCATGATTGGGCTCGACAACGTTTCAACTGTTAACTGTTCGATGCTATCTCAATAACTGAACCATATATAGTGAAGCTACCCACAATTTGGCATGATATGTTCTTATCTACCCAGGCGTGGCCAGTGCTGATAACAAAATTGCAGGCAAAGAGAGAAGAGAGAAGAGAGCAGAAAGCAGAGCAGAGAGCGAGGTACAAAAGTGGGAGTTTTTTGTTTTATTACTCAGCTGATTAGCTGTCCATGCTTGGCAGATGGGGTACATATATATATATATATATATATATATATTTTATAGTTTGGAATCGTAAATTTGCTTGCATGATTCATGTCTTTAAGTGGCCTATAAAACAATTTGGTATTAGCTATTTGCAACTTGCTCTTGGCCTCGTGTTGACTCATTTCGCTGAAGTACGAATAAACTTGAGAGCTGGTTTCAATTTCAAAATAGAGCAGAATGGAATGCTGATAGAAATCTATCAACGATAAGCTGATTAAACTGATTTAAAGAGGTATTGGTTTATGTTTGTTATGCGAACAATATGTCATATGTTTTAAACAGACAATTGAAGGTACTTAAGAACTTACATTCTCTTATAGAGATAGGTATATTAAGGTACTCGATATCATAGTCGATCATATTTGTAATAAAACATGTAATACATATATAAGTAATGAATGAAGGCATTATGAAACCTATATTAAATGTAGGGTATGCTCTAGTCTATCAAATTTGTGGAACATATTAAATATGGTGTGTTGCAGTCGATCATATTAATCAGCAGCAAATTAAGTTCCTATATTTTCTATTTGTATAGAAAGTATAGGGTATGCTCGAGTCTATCATATTCGTGTAACATATAAAATAGGGTATGCTCGAGTCTATCATGTTAATCAAACAAACAGCTGACACTATTGAAGACTGTATCTCTTATCTATACATAAGAAATAGGGTATGTCACAGTCTATCATATTGTTGCACCAGTAGATATTTCCCATACACTTACAATCTTATCTTTCCAAGTATGTTTTTTCAAGTATAAAACAATCTGTCAGTCTAGAAAAGCAGATAGGAGTATCATGTGCCCCACACAGATAAAACAAGAAAAAATCGATTACTAAAATCGATAACTTTCGTTTAAGGAATGTTTACTTCCTATATACACAGAGATTAACAAACAAATTGCTCATAACAAAATAATATATATAATTAAATCAGTTAAGCAAATTATGAAAATGGAACAACAAGGCGTATACGTAATATTTTACTTGTTACAGTCGTGTATAAAACATCATATGTTTGAATAATACAGTAATTCATTCAGAGTTAAGATCTATAAGCTTAATTAGATAATCCACTTTACACACGTTTCTATATAGATATTATATTATATATATGTATATATATATATATGTGTATATATATATATGTGTATATATCTCGTTTTTTCGCGATTAGTTCTCGTAGGTGCCTATGTAGGAGCTGCAATTGGGGCAATAGTGATTGGCATTCTGACAGGAATCCATGCAGTAGGGCAAACACACGCAGGGCCAGCAACTAAAGGAAGAAGAAGAGATATATTTAATATATGTATTATATGTATATATTACCAATTTGTTTTTAATTTGTCTTTTTCCGTATAATTCGTATTTGTTAACGTTTCTTATCTAACTGAAGTCTAGTTGAGATAACAATGCTATGCTTACACACACACACACATATGTACATATATATGCACGCACTTGCTCTCAAACGCACTCTAACTCTCTCTCTCTCTCTCTCAGTACACATTTCAATAAGCTTTCTGGCTTAGGCTTTGTTTTTGAGTGAATGTCATTTGCATTTGTAGCTGAGTCAGCTTACACACACACATACGCACACTCACACATGCATCTATACTCACATAAACAGACATAGTATCAATGCCCAGCAATGAGTACGACCAGAGGGTGTGCTCTTAACAGTTGTCACCACCTCGGCTTGACAGGAGGGGCAACGTATGCGTGTCGGCCCACTGCCAATGGGCACCAAATTGGATGTGGTTGTCGTCTGTATGATCACGGTGGATTGTTGCGGTGGCTGTGGCATGGGTGGATACAGCGGTGGCTGTGTGGGTCCACCCGGATAAGGCTGATAGGTCTGTGCAGGCGTATAGCCAGGCTGCGGTTGCGGCATTGCACTATATGGCGGTGGCTGCTTTTCCATTGCTGAATAAATATGTAGTTCTCTTTCACTCGCTCTCTCTCTCTGTTCTACTCTCCTTGTAGAGCTCGACTACTCGGCTTGCTGGTTGGCGTTCGACTGAATTGGCTGTTAACTATACTTGACTTTACTTTACTTTACTTTACTTTTGCCATATCTGTATGCCCTATTCAAGCCAATTCGTGCGTATCTTATCAGCAGCTGCTTCTACTGTTGTTTTTGTTGTTGCTCAGCGATTAGGTTCTAGCAAATTTTGTGTAAGCAATTAGGCTTAGTAAATTTTGGGCCGTTTGTTAGCTTGTTTCCGCTCATCACTGTTTTTTATGTACTCACATACAAATATATTTATAAAGAGATCAGTCCTAAGTTGTGTATTTGAAAATTTTCTGACTCACAGTCACTGTGACGTCTTTTGTGTAAAACATTGTTGTGCTCGAGTTCAATGAGATCTCGCATTGAGTATTTCACAATATATAAATATTGATATGGGAAAATTGGAGAGACACAATTGCTGCATACACTGTTTGCCGTGTGAGCTGGTGGTAGATGCAGAGATATTTATAGATTCACAGTTAAAGAATATTATCAGCGTTTATGGGACTTCGGCACATAGCTGTGAAAAAACAGACGGTGACAGTGGGTGTGACTATTAAAATGACTTTTTTATATACCATATATCTTTATCTAATCTTATATTTAAGTTAAGTTAAACCAATGTACTCTTTATAAACATTAAACACAAAATAATATAGGCGATAGAAATGATTTTGCATTTAAATTAGTTGACATTATTAAGGTAAGTATAATTAATTATTATTGTTAAAGCCTAAATTAAGTAAAGACAATGATAGACCACCTTCAGCTAGAGAAATGCCATAGCTTTAATTAAATATTTGACCCACTGTGTAGAAAGCAATATACGCTCAATGCTGAGCGTAATTCGACTCAAACGAGTGCAGCAAGAATTACATTAGAATGCAAACAAAACAACAACAAAAACTTAAGCTGCGCTGAGCAAGGGCCATAAATGTGTGCTTCAAGTAGTCCATAACTGTTGTTTGTTTTGCAAATCAGTTCATCTATCTCTAACAACTACAAAGATCGGAGAGCGAACAATTTGCGCTCTCAGAGACAGACAACACAGACACATGCATACATAGCCTACGCGCATCTGCAGCTGAATACAAAAACACGGTGTACTTTTTATTTATTTTTTTACCCACGCGTGAGCTTTTTGGCTGCTTGGTGAAAGCTTTTCTAGTGGCTTTTGTTTTTGCGTTTTGCCTTGGCGCTTTCAAGTTCAAACGTTAGCATTTGAAGCCATGAAAATAATGTTAAGCAAATACGATAAAATACAGTTCGAAGAGCCGAAAACTAAACACAAAGAAAACAATAATAAATATGAAAATAGTAGCATCGAAATGCCAACTGGTTTTTTCAAAAAAAATTACTAGACAAACATTGAGCCCATGTTTTTTTATTTCGTTGTATTGTTTCGTTTTATCTGTTTCTTTGTTTGGTACTTTAACCCAAATTAAAACCAAATAAGAAACACTTGCACACGGCCGCAACGTCGCAGAGTATGTCAGACATGAGCCGGCAACTGAGGTTCAGCATCCAGCACCCAGCATCCATAGAGGCATGCCCCTCCGATCTTGTGGAGATTAATTTGAATGGCGATCGAACGTACGCCAAGCAGCAATCAGCGCAGGCGCTAGACGAGCTGCTGCAATCTAGAACAGCAAACACATTGCCCGCGCATCGTGGCTATCCCTATGGCTATGGGGACACAGATGATGAGACGGACTTTTACTTTTGTAAGAAATCCAATTCAACTGGCCAACTGGCCGAGAAAGTATCGCCGCCGCCCCCCTCTGCCACCAATATTAGCTGCTTGAGGCAAATGTACTGTCCAGAGTGCAATGAGCGACTGCATGAGCAGGGCGTGCGACTGGAACGTTTACTCACCATGTGGTAGGTTAACTACATGTAAATTCACTTCTGTTCATTTTATTTTACTGTTACTTTTTTGTTTTGATTTCTGTCTCAGCTGTTTTGCTTTACTGCCCGTCTATCCGTGCTGCATGCGTCGGTCCAAGGACGAGTGCAAGGTGATTTGTGGCAAGTGTGGCTACCTGCTGGGTGCCTGGAAGCGTTAGAGACGCACTCATCTATTTTTTTTATTTTTAAGTTTACTTTCGTTTAGTTAAATTTTTTCTTGTATAACTTTTTATAGTCTTAAGCACCAATTGACCCTGCATACCAAAAACAAAATGTTTTGTTTTGCTTATGTTTTGTATTTTCATTGTTTTTATTGTATTGAAGATGCGCTCGCTGAGTTTCGGCTCTCTTGCTCACTTGCTGTGCCGTTCTCTTTTCCTCTCTCCCACACGCACATGTTGTGCCTCTCTCGTGCTTTCTTTTCTTTTTTGGCTAATCGTGTGCTGCCTGTTGCTGCTCGCAGTCACAATGTCAAGCGCTTCGCACGTACCAGAGCTGCAGCTAGATAATGTGTCTGCTGCCACGGCCACCATGGAACAAGTGGAGTTGGAGGATGAGCTTCCAGTGAAGCCGCAGCTGCGCTTCTATAGCGTTGGCCCCAGCACCTATCGCGTGCTCTGCCCGCTCTGCCAGCATCGTTCGCGCTCCGAGACAGTACAAATGACTGGAGCTTTCGGTCAGCTAAGCTGCCTGCTCTCTGCCTTGTCCTGGTGGGTAGCCTTGCCATGCTATTTATAGATATTCCATATTCACGGCTCAACTCTTGCCTTCCAGTTGCTTTCCCATCTTTGCGCTGAGCTGCGTCTATACCTGTCTGCAGAGTCGTCTGAAGAGCAAGCGAGTCTTTTGCAGTAGCTGCGGCGGACATCTGGGCTTCCACTGGCGTCCCATTTAGTTATAGTTTATTATATTTTTGCCACACTTTTCGCAAATGCTCTAAAAATAATAATAAAAAAAACAAATTCGCGCAGCTGTTGCCAGTTTTCAGCATTTTCTATATTTTTTGTTACTAACACGAATATTTCCATCAACGCCTCCACTTAAGAGAGCGCTTACTCTCTCTTCCCCTCCCCCTCTCTCTCTCTCTCTCTCTCTCTGTGCTTCCCGTTCTCCTGCTCTCTTGCTTAAATTTTATTGCCTTTAGCTATTTGTTTGATCAGCATTTAGTTGCTCTGCGTTCGTCGTTGTCATCAAATGGACAGCACTGAGAGTCTGGACGGCAGCGCCTGCGATTGCAATGGCATCTCTGAGGTGCCACAGGTGGGTCACCTGCCCGCTGAGCCGCTCGAGTTCGTTTGCCCCGCCTGCCAGCAACTGCAGACAAGTCAGGTGGAGTACGAGTCTGTCACCTGCCTGCAAAAGATCACCTGTAGTCTGAATAAGCTGCTCTGCTGGTGAATATGCCTCACTTATTCGTTTACCTTTAATTTATATGTTTCTTATTTTACCTTTAGTAATCCCATTCGTTGGAGTGGCAGACAGGACATAAATCACTATTTCAGCGCCTGCGGCTGCTTCATTGGTCGCCACATGTCGCTCAGCTGGTATAAACGCGCTCTGTTCCGCATGCAGCGCTCTGAGGTGGAGGACCATGGGCGTTGGCAACGTTTCCGCAAGGTAGAGAAGGAGCAACTGGATGAAAAGAAGCTGGGCAAACAGCGCGCAGCGCTCACAAAGAACTAGTTTCGAGCTCATTTTCATACTAATATAACTTTTTTACATAAAAAGTTATTCAGCTTCGTATTTAGTAAGTTGCGAACCACTAGTTCATTTGAATAAAAATATATTTTTTAATTTGTTTTTTAAATTTTTAAACTTGGAACTAGCAAGTACTGTTAGGTCCGAGCTCTTGTTTCATGTTTTATAGAGCTAGTTGCTTAAAGCTTTATGCAATATGCAACGTAGCAAATTTAAACTGAAAGCTTTCATCCGTTAGAACAGTGTCGTTTCGGAACTAGTTCAAAGAATATAAATCAACATAAATATAGGCCAATTACTTTACTGATCAAGCAAAGCTGTAAAGCTTAAAGCTTTGAAGCTTAATTTAATTGCAGTCATAAAATGTAAATTGTTTTGAGCTAATGGGCGTCAAAGCTCGCTCAGAAAGTTTTTGTGTTATAAAATATAATTCGCTCTCAATAAATTCCAGCGGCGATGCAATTCAAAAAGTTCGCCAATTGAAATACTCTCAACAAAGAAGAGTCTTCCAGCTGATTGCTGTCTGTACAATGCTTATCGCGGCAAAGCTTTTCTAAGTGCCTTCCAGCTGGAATTCCTGTGTGTATGAATTACAGTTACAAGCAACTTGCATTCAAGAGTGGAAGAAACGCTCCTCGTTTAGTTTGCCTGCAGACCTCGTCAGGGTAGTTTGGAAGCGGCTTCGTTATGTATTTACTTCTGTTGCTGACTATATTGCTGGTTCTGCTGGTGCAATATGTAAGACGCATTTACACTTATTGGCAGCGTGAGGGCGTGGACGAGGAGCCAGCTACATTTCCGTTTGGTGTTATGATCAAAATGCTGAAAAAAGAACGTGGCTTTGGCTTGATCGTAAGCGATATCTACGAACGTCACACTTCCAAGATTGTGGGACTCTATGTCATGCACAAGCCCGTTCTGCTGATCCGCGACCCTCAGCTGGCTAGGCAGATCATGACCACCGATTTTGCCAGCTTTCATGATCGTGGCATGTACGTGGATGAGCAACACGATCCTCTGTCGGCCAATCTCTTCAATTTGCAAGGCGCCTCGTGGCGCAACTTGCGCCAGAAGCTGGCGCCCTCCTTCTCCTCGGGCAAGATCAAGGGTATGTTTGGCACGATCGACGACGTGGGCGATCGACTGGTGCAGCACTTACAGGGTATAGTGGAGCAGGCTCCAAACGAATTGATAGAAATGAAGGCCATACTTACAACCTATGCCGTGGACATTATCGGTTCGGTGATCTTTGGACTGGACATCGATAGCTTTACCAATCCCAAGAATGAGTTTCGCGCTCTCAGCAACTCGCTTCTGTCAGAACTGGGACTTGTGCTGAGGATACACAACATGGCCACAATAATGTTTCCGCCGTAAGTATTTGATGTAATTTATCGATCTGTCCCTGATTAGCAGTTTTTATCTACAGATTAGCCAAGCTCATGAATCGCATGGGCTTTGAGAACGAAGTTTTGGCCAACCTGCGCGATATTATGAAGCACACGATCGAGTTCCGCGAGAAGAACAATGTCGTGCGCAAGGATCTGCTGCAGCTGCTCATACGATTGCGCAACACGGGCAAGATCGGCGATGACGACGACGAGGTGTGGAACATTGAAACCGCTCGGGAGGAGCTAAAAGCCATGTCCATTGAGAAGATTGCCGCCCAAGGGTTTCTCTTTTACATAGCCGGTTCGGAGACGACGGCGGCCACGTCAGCCTTTACGCTGTACGAGCTGGCCATGTATCCGGAGCTGTTGAAGGAGGCACGCGATGAATTGGATGTGGTTATGGAGCGCCATCAGCTGAAGAGAGTAGATAAGTTCACCTATGAGGCGGTGCAGGATCTGAAATTCCTGGACTCATGTATTATGGGTGGGTTTCTTTATATCTAGATGTTGCACCCATTACATTATCCTGCTCTATTCTAACAGAAAGTATACGCAAATATCCGGGTCTGCCCTTCCTCAACCGGGAGTGCACACAGGATTTTTTGGTACCGGGTTCCAACTACACTATAAAGCAGGGCACGGGCATATTGATCTCGCTCTTTGGCCTGCATCGCGATGCCAGCTACTTTCCCAATCCCGAGGACTATGATCCACATCGCTTCGATGCCGATAATATGAACTACGACCAAACTGCATTTATGCCCTTCGGCGAGGGTCCCAGGCACTGCATAGGTGCGTGTTCTCCCCTCCATCTAATTTTACATATATTTAGATCTTTCCATATTCCAGCTCTGCGCATGGGCAAGGTTAATGCCAAAGTAGCTGTGGCCAAGATCTTGGCCAATTTCGATTTAGTCCACGCGCCGCGCAAGGAGGTCAAGTTTCGCTTCGATCCGGCGCCGGTTTTACTGCCAGAAGGCGGTCTTCATGTGCGCCTAACCAAACGTGCCTGATTTTAAATTACATCTTATATGCGTTAAATCATGAAACATATATATATAGCTCTCTGATCGGAACATTCACTGACAGACTGCTGATTGCCTGATGATTGATGCACAGCTCGTTCCTCCATTCGAGCCATTGGCTTTAATATGTATATTTATATGTTTCTATGTGTGCGTATAAGCGTGTATATATGTATGTTTGTATCTGTGTATTTATATATAAATACCATGAAAAGTCAGAATTTTTGTAATGTAACTTAATAACTTTAACATATGCGTAAATATATGTATATGTAAATATGTATGTAAATATGTGTGTAAGCATGTACATATATACATATGTATATATGCATCCATCTATCTATGTACATTTGCATGTGTGTTGTGTTAAATGTCCTCATAACAAACTGCTATTGTCCAGCAATTCAAATAAAAACGAATTTCTACAAGGTGCTCTCCTCTTCGATTCTCAAAAATTCAAGTAAGCTAGGCTTGGTTGGCCTGCGTCGACGTCGTGTGTAATATTTTTTTTTTTTTGTTTTTTTTTTTTTTGGCTTTTTTTTTGGTTTTTTTTTTTGGTTTTTTTTTTTGTTTTTTTTTTTTGTTTTTTTTTTGTTTTTTTTTTGTTTTTTTTTTTGGTTTTTTTTGTGTTTGTTTTTTTTTTTGTTTTTTTTTTTTTTTTTTTTTTTTTTTTGTTTTTTTTTTTTTTTTTTTTGTTTTTTTTTGTTTTTTTTTTTTTTTTTTTTTTTTTTTTTTTTTTTTTTTTTTTTGTTTTTTTTTTTTTATATATGTACATTCATACCCAGTCCGAGTGCATTTCAATTAAAATACTCACAACAAAGAAGAGTCTTCCAGCTGATTGCTGGCTGTCTAATGCTTATCGCAGCAAAGCTTTTCTAAGTGCCTTTGTGAATGTGTTGTATGAAACTATGTGCTTGAGTATGTGTGTATTTTTTCTGCATATTTGTGTATATATATATGTACATACATACCCAGTCCGAGTGCATTTCATAAAAATTTGCAAAACACTCTTGGGAATATGTGCTTGTAAATCACTCCATAACCAAACAATGTAAAAAAATGCAAACGAAAAAACCATGTAGAAATGCTATTTTGCATACTCTCCAAATTTCAAGTTCAACTGAGAGAATGAGCGAGAGAGACGTACGAGTATGTGTGATCATCTAACGCATTGTTGAGTGCTGCTTCTCTCTCTCTCTCTCTCCCTTTCTCTTTCATTCGCCTTAAGGCATCATTAACTAGCTTCAGCTAAGCCGGCGTCTTATTCAACAAACGCAAAGACCGAGAATCAAAACAAAAAAGAAAATGAGCAAAAAAAACTTTAAATTTCAAGTTTAGATGAGAGAGTTAGAATGAGCGAGATAGTGCAACAACAAAGGTGCTATGCGCTCTCTGTATGTGCAGTAATCGTATAAGTTTCTCTCCCTCTTATATTATGACTTCACTAACTCGTTCCAGCTAAGCTGGCCTCTCAGCTGTTATGAAGTCATGGAAATTTTAGTTGAATGGCAAACGAAATTCCTATAAAAGCGCAGTGGCAAATAGGTGAAAACTTACTTCATAAGGTGCCGTTATATAGTACATGGTCAAGGATTACAGCGGGTTCGAAAAACTGATGAATAAACCTGACCAGCTTTCATCTACTGTCCGGAAACTTCTTTAAACTGAAGGGCAGCAGATCGTGGCGCAAGTTCAAAATGATCCAACTGAAATTAAGATGAAGCCCACTACCTATTCCGTGGAGGTGCATAATATACTTCTATCTGACCACGAAGGAGATCTAAATACCCACAGTAAGTAGCTATGCCTATAATTCCATAATCATTTCCCTAATCCTCCTACTGTCGCCTTTTTGCAGAGATGAATCTCCGTTGATATGAGTTTTACACATCCAGCTTATGAGCTTATGAACCACAATCAACTGGGTATAAGAGTATTCAAATAAGAATATCCAATATTCTAATTGGACTTCTTTCCATTTTCTAAGCTATTCGCCTGGCAGCTGACCGCAAGTTAAGTGTTATCAAAAAGTCTTTCAACTCTGATCTACTCGTAAGTATTCCAAAATTATTTCTAATCTTGCTCACTCCAGGTGCCCCTGCGAGCGGTATCCATGTGATTCCATCGAGGCTTGTCCAACGCAAAAAATATTCTGTAAACAAAAATAATAAAACGCAAAAGTATTTCGGAAATCTGACAGCTCAAGTGTACTATTAATATATATGTGTATATATATAGTTCTATGTATATATGTGGCCGATCTGTCGATGGAATTTCGTAATGTTTCGCATTTGTTAAGCATATAAACAAAAGTCAATTTGTTTGCTGCTCTTGTTTTTTTTTTTGTAATTTCTGCTTGGCCTGCCAAACAGAATGGCTCCAGTGGAATGACGATGATGATGATCGTCATGATGATGATGACGATGATGACATCATATGCGAACCACACGTAGAACAAGAGATACATATTGCGCATACGACCCGTGAGCGAATGCTCTCGCCCGACCTTACTCCCTCTCCCTCTCCCTCTCTCTCTGTCTGTCTGTCTCTCTCTGCAGCGAAACGCTCGCTGCTCGTCGCTGGCAACCGAGTGTTGCTCGAAGCAGTTAACATGGAGCCGCAGACGCTACAGATCAAACTGCTGCCCGCCCGGACAGCGGATGAGCGCGCCCGCAACATAATAGCCAATGTAATTGTCGAGGGCCAACAGGCATCCTTGGTGCCGTACATCGATGATCATGATGTGGGTCAGCCGCTTGAGAAGACTACGCTCAGCTCACAGCTGCTGGCGGCAACACCAGCTGCCGCACAGCCGGCTCGCTTGCGCTACTTTAAACCAGGTCCGTCCACGTACAAGCTGCTGTGCCCGCTGTGCCGCGAGAGAAGCGATGCGGCTGTGATGCGTGCCGCCGGCTGCAAGGACATTAGCTGCTGCCTGAGCCTGCTTAGCTGGTGAGCTAGACATAGCTGAACTCTGCAGGGTATACCCTGTAATGTATTTCTTCTTTATTTGCCATCAGCGTGTTTCCCATTTTCTGGATTTGCTGTATTTGCACCTGGTGCGGCTGCAATCGCGAGTGGATCACCAAGGGCGTCTACTGCAGCCACTGCGGCGGCAAGCTGGGCATTCAGACTCGTTCCGATTAGGTCAATTAAAATATGCTATAAATGTCACGCATAGTTTGTTTTAATTCTATTACGCAGCTAACTCAATTAAAATACGCTCGCTCGTTCGCTCTCCTCCTCTTTCTTCGTCTCTTGTAGTCTCCACTCTCCACTCTGCCAGTCTCTCAACTTTGTTGCTCTCCCGCTCTCTTGCTAGCTCTCTGGCTGCTGTCCAAACAGGTTGCGCCTTGGCTCTGGCCACATTTTGATTTCAGTTTGGAATTCGTTTAGCTATGGCCACAACAACAGAGGAGGAGCAGCAGCAGCAACAGCAGCAGCAGAAGCTGGCACAAAAGGAGCTCGAGATCTATGAGAACTTTGCCACACCGTTGCCGGGCACTTTTCTCAATTTGCCACATGAGTCCGTGCTGCTCAAATGTCCTGCCTGCGGCATCAAGGATAAGACAGTGCTGGAAAACGATCTGAAATGGTGGGCCAGTGAACTAAATCGCATTGTCGGCTGTCTCTTTGTGTAGGTTGCACCTGAAGTCGAACTGAGCCAATTGCGCTAATCTTTGAATATTTCTTTCCAGGACCTTCTGCTGCTGTTGCTGCCTGGACTACATTGTGCCCTGCAAGCAAACCGATCGCAGTCATTATTGCGGCAACTGCGGCTGTTACTTTGGGCGCGCTATGAAGAGACGAGCTCCACTCAAAATTAAATAGAGCGACAAACAACAGTTACATTTAACCAATAAAAATTTGATCTAGCATAACATAAACTAATGCTCGCTCTTGATTTTCTATCCAATAGATAAATTCACTCACAAAAATGTGATGCGTATTACTCTTTCAAAGAGAGCGAGAGAGCGCAACAGCCAATCAAAATTATCCACCCCCAAATATATGCATTAGCATAAGTCATCTGCGTGCATATACTCGCTCTCTCTCTCTCGCCCACAACCCACAATATATATATGTTTTTAGCACAACATTAGCTCATCTTCATTCTATGCCTCTCACTTCCTCTCGCTCTCATTTTCTATTTTCTGCATATAAATGTTGGAATTTGTCTATGATTTTGCTCTCCAGAGCAGCTACTCAGTCTCCATTCGTACGTGTTGCTAACAACACGCTGTCGCGTTTTGCTCTTCCCTTTGCTTTACACTAGTCAACATGGTTGAAGAACTGACGCCCGTTTATTTCGCCGTTGGACCCAATGCTCGTGAAATCACCTGCCCGTACTGCAAGGTGCTGGCCAAGACACGGCTGGTACGCTCCTGGTTACGCTGCTGCACTAAACGTCATCATTGCGGCGCTTGCGGCGAATATTTGGGCGTCTACAAGAGACCCCAGCTATGAGCAACCACAACACTTTTGAGTTTTATATAGTAAAATAAATATGCTGCTGTTTGTACATCAAGTGTGTTATTTAATTGCGAGTGAGCAAGCAGTCTCACTCTTGCTCCTTCGCTCTCAACTGTTTTGTGGCTCTCAGTTGGATCTTCCAAATATGTTAATAATTACTTGAGTGAGCGAAAACAGCACATCTCTCTCTCTCCCTCACTCTGCCTTTGGCTCTCTCAGCTGGAATTCTTTATGCTCTCATTTGACTCTTTTTGTTCAGCTGGGGCGTCGCTGGTTTCAGTTACGCCTGTTCGGTTACAGTGTGCACACACAACATGACCGCAGTGGAGCCGCAAGTTGTGTCCATTAGCATTGGCAGCGTCAAGGCCCCAGTGGGTTACCTGCAGCCGGAGTCAACGATGGTCAATTGTCCAGCCTGCGAGCGCTTTGCAATGAGCATCGTGGCCCATGAGACAGTCAGCTGTTTGCAGAGAATACTCAGCGTGACCAAATTATGGTGAGTCCGTCTACATAACATATTTCTACTATATACTTAAATTGAAAGTCTTGCAGCCGCAAGTGGTCGGGTCGACATGATTGCAATCACTATTGCGCTCACTGTGGCTGCTTTATAGGACGCTATGTGCCCATTAATTGCTACGAGCGCTGCTTGTCTAAGTCGGCACGCCAAAAGGCCGTCGTGGATGAGATGCATCTCAAAGTGAAGCCCAAGGATTGTGCAGTGCGCGCCCAAAAGCTGAGATCGGACATTCTGGCCAAGCGGGCGGAGAAGCGCGCCAAAGCAGAGGCGCTGAAAGCTAATCAAACTGTGCTGCCCAACCAATGAGTGCGTATTGCCGCAATGTGGCGAATTGGCCCAAAGGTTGTCTTGTCTAATTGTGCTGGCCCATCAATAAGTTCACTCTTTTAATTGGTGCATTTGTGTTTTCTTGACTAAGTTAGCTTTTAAAAATGAGTTGGTTTGAAATATACTTTTTTTATCTTGTTATAATAAATATAATTGATTAGACTGTTGGCGTAAATATGCAATGCGCAAAATACAAATTAATTGATCTCATTGGGTCGATGTCTAGGGTAATTAAGCTTTTAATTGCAATAAAAGTCGTGCTACTTAATAGCATTCCACTGGTTATGGTCTCGGCTAAGCTTGCAGTGCTGTCCATTCAGCAAGTCCCAATTGGGACAATTTGGGTAATTGTATTGGCTAAGCTTTTTGGTTTTTTTACTTAAAATACATAATATAAGTTTGAATTCGAAATTGCTGCAAACTAAATTTATTGAGCAGCTGCCACAAATTCACGATTGGGTCGTATGCAATTGCTTTCGCGATCATAGATGCCCAGAAATGTTTTGCACTTGGAACAGTGCAGATATTCGCGATTGTCCGACGACTGAAGGCAGGGCAGAAAGCAGAAGGGCCAGCAGTTGGTCACGCACGATGCCGGGCAGCTGGTGCTCGTGTGGATGTCGTTACTGGTCTTGATCAGTGGCCGTCGATTGGCGCCACAGCTGGGACAGCAGATGCAGCCGTCTGTGGGTATCCAGCGTTCGATGGAGCTGCGATAAAATTGACGGCGATTCAATTCCTTCGAGTCAGTTGCCAAGTGAACTGAACGATTCTGTTTGTGCTCTTCGTCCTGTTGCTTGCGCTGCAAATCTGACAAGGGAAGACACTGTCCAGTATATACGGCTCAACCATATACTCGCGAGCTACTCACAGCGGTTGGCCTCGTCGGCCATCTGCACCTCGGACATGCCGGTCATCTTGCTGATCTCCGAGAGACGCTCGTTGTTAATGCCGTGCTCGGCGGCCAGCTTGTGCAGATTAAGCATCTTCTCATTGGGTTCCTCCAGGATCTCCGGATGATCCTTTTGCACGTGATGCACCAAGCAGCTGGTGTCATAGCGCGAGCACTTTATGATCTTCATGCACTTCAGACAGCGCAGATACTGCACGTCGTTGGCTGGCGGCTGGCATGACATAGCTAATCAGCCTATAAATATATATGTATGTATATAGATATATTTATATATCCTCGTAGTAAACGCACAATTTATGAAAATGTTCGTGTTCGAGCGTTCGTGTTTAAATAGTCAAAAAGTGATCGGATCTTAGATCTAACAGCTCGGACAGCTTTCACTACGGCAACTGAGGTTTATTCTTCAGAGGATGTGGAAGAAATTAGAGGGAGAAACAATTGTGCATATATACTACGTATACGTAATATATGCTTAAATACAGCATTGTTCGTGAAAATGTAGAGTTCTTGTTAACGAATATTAAGTTTATCATATTTTGTTATTAATTTCAATCTCTTTTTGTTACAAACTTAAGAACAAATGAGTTTCAGTAGGCTAAATTATAAAAATGTAGTTGTTCATAAAAATAGTAGTGGCTAATAAAAAAGGAAAAAAAACGATTTGGGATTGGGCTAACTTCATATCTTTTGTTTTACATATATTTATGCATGTGTGCGTGCTGCGTATACGTAATTTATCAGTTGGTATTACGTTATATTATATTAATATGTATGTATCTTACGTATACGTAATATATGTGTTGTGCAAATATATTATTACGTATACGTAATACTAATCTGTATAAATACATCTTACGTATACGTAATATGAATGGAAAATGCTGCAAAATTTTGTTGAAATAATCTAAAATTTCATAAAACACAAAAGTCTTGAAGGATGCTTTACAGTTAAAGCGAGAAAATTAAATATTATGCTTCCCTAGTAGTGTTTTACAAGTATTGAATAAATATTTATAGCATATGGAAATTAAGTTTAAGTATATATGTATATATATATTACTTTAATACATCAGCTTTGAAATGCAGTTACAAAAGACAAAAACCTTTATATCCAGCAGAGATATCCCATTAACGCTGTTAGGCGTAGCCTGCAGCTGACTCGATTTTCTTTTGGATTTTGTATAAAAAACAAAAATCTTTCTCGCCCCCTCTACACCCGCCCCTCTGTGTCTCTTTCTCACACATTTATCCATGCATCCATAATTCCATTGAAGCGTTGAAATTTTATTGTCTGTCATGTGCCTCGAAGCAGATTCAGCATTCATTTCTTGTCATGGAAACATGGAAAATAAAGTCATATGAATATCCTAGCTACGCACGGGCAGTGCGGCGGGGAGGGGTGTGTCACAGGTGGGGCGTCATAGCGGAAGCGACTGCCTTACACGCATAGAACAGACACTCGGCAATTTGGTAGAGGGTTTCCTTTATTATTGTATTCGACTCTCAGTTTTTTTTCCTTTTCCTCCTTTTTTTTTTTTGGCGCATTTCATCAAAATTGATTTTTTTTGTTGCAGAATGAGGTTGTCATTTGGTTGTGCGTGGCTTTCACTTTCACTTTGACTTGCGCACGATTTGTTGACTGACTGCCATGCGGCGCAGGGGCCGCTCCGCTACGACGGCTTGCTTGTTATTTGTGTGCGTTACTCATACGCAGCGTGATACGCACGAAAAAGCGAACACGTCTGCATTTCTGAGCGTACTTCACGTAATTGCTGCCTGCTTTGTCTGCCAGTGTCATTGTTGGGAATTTGGAGGGCGTGGCAGCTCTTCCCATTTATTGGCCAACAATGCTGGCCAAGTGCTTAGATATGCCATTGAGTGACTCTTTTAAAGTTTTTCTTTACATTTTATTCATAGTTTCTGCTTACAATATACATATATAACTCTCTCTCTCCCTCTCTTGCTTATATAAAAATACAGTTTTCCACATGTGTGTGTGTGTGTGTGTGTGTGTAAGTGTAGTTTGTGTGTGTTTACAATTTGTATTTGAATTTGGCTTTGGAAGCTGCTTCTTTCTCTTTTGTTTGCCCTTAACACTGAATTACTTAAATTACAAATTACAATTCGCTGAATCAAAAAATGTTAACATGATTTCTCGTTATTTGCCCAACGCTAGACACGCACACAGACATACATAAATTGTATACATATATATATATATAGTATGTAGTATATATAGTACTTTTACAGTTAACTTTAGGTAGCTCCCAGGTGCAACCAGTTGTGTCTTTACTTTACTTCCGTTGTCTCTCAATTTCTGGCTCTTTCTGCTTCAGCAAATGTCTCTTGGTGGTTGTTGTTGTTGTAGTAGTTGTAGTTGTTGCATATATAATTATATATGTATATATATATATATATGTTTATATGCATTGTTGTACCTAAGCGTATTTGAAACGGTTACAGTTGTATAGAAAAATAAAATCTAGCTTGTAAAATTGGACTATTGCCGAGTTGGCATTCAAAATGCCATTTCAGCTTTCGCATATGTACAACGAACTCTCTTCCCCTTCCCCTTTCGCTTTCTCTCTGTGTATTACAAAAATTAATTACTTAGTTTCGCTATTTGGTAGTTAATTTAAAGTTCTTTTTCCCACCTGTGCTGCGCTGCTTGCTCTAATTTTTGTTCTGGCTCTTAACTAATCTACTTTTACACACTTTGAGGCACATTCAGTTTGAATCATATTACAAATTTATAAAGTTGCGCTACATAAAAACAAAATCCCCCCGCCGCCCGTGTCCGGGGCACCTGCTTGGCGCTGCCCTAAAACTAATTGTTAAAATTAAAAATTGATTTGAAAGCGCTCGAGCTGGCGCACAGCCAACACAGACCCAACTTCAACTCGATAGCAACTTTTTAATCTGCAGCTTCATTGTCCATGTTCGTAACCCCTTAGCCTTCTGGGCGAAGCTTTATGCATTTATCACTGGAATGTCGCCATGTGGATGTCCCTGTTTGGGCGCCCAGTCTGCCCGGACTTAAAGCGTGTTCTGTTTGGCCGCATCGCCACATTTGGCAGCTGATTCAAGGCGCGCACGTGGGCGCCGCTTGGTCTGCAGGGAATAGAGGCGACCGCTGCGTGTTCGCATCTGCGGCTCCGCACCGTCCGCCCGTCCACCAGATCCGCCGCTGTTGTTGATAAAACGATTTAGATTGAATTGCCAAAAAAAAGCATCGTGAGCCTACTCACTTGAGTTCCAGCTTGGCCAGACGCTGCTTGATTTTCGCCTGGCTGGCCGTATACTCGGCTAGCAGTCGTGCCAGTCGCATGTTCAAGTTCTCCACGGACAGCTCCAGTTTCTCGATGCCGCCCTCGATGCTGTCGTGCACGCGCTGCGAATCTGCGTAGGCAAAAAGCAGAATAACGGAAGTGAGTTAGCTAGCTGCCGGAAATGGCCTAACGCACTGTGCACATATTTATATATGTGAGCATTGATTACCCGCAAAGATCTGCTCGTCGAGCAGTCCGTCCTTGCGCAGCAGCTGACAGCCGCGCTGTGTGAGCGTGGAGCGCGCCTCTGGATAATCGGCCAGCGTTTCCCACAGGTCCCTCTTGGCCAGACAGAAGAGATCCGAGTAGCCGAGCGAGCGTACATTGGCTGTGCGTCGATTGCCCGTCCGGTTGCCCGCTATCTCCAGCACCGACACCTCGCCAAAGACGGAGCCAGCGCCCAAGGTGGCCAGCACGGTGACGCCGTTGTCGCCCACGACAGACAGCTTCCCGCGCTTCACAATGTACATCTCCTTGCCGACGTCGCCTTTGCGACAGATGTAGTCGCCGGGGCTGAATACCTGCAGCTTTAGCTTGAGCACCAGCGCCTCCAGCAGACCCGGCTCAGTGTCATGGAAGATGCGCACCTGCTTCAGCGTATCCATGTGCACCTGTATGGCAATCTCAGCTTTCAGTTTGTCCGGCAGCGCCGCCAGCACACGCTCCTCATCCAGGGCACCGCTCTGCGACCAGGTGTACGCAAACCAGCGTATCACACGCGCCTCCAGCTCATGTCCCACACGTCGGAAGGCCATGTACTGCTTGACTCCATCCATGCGGTTCTGGAACTCCACACGCGCCACATTCATGTTGGATATCATCGAGCCGATGTTACCTGCGGAAGAATTTGGTTTTTCAAATTGTCATAACATTTTTGCTAGCGATACCCTGTAAGTAATCACTCGAATGGGGTATAGTAATGACAAAGGCTGCGGATATTCATGATGAAGATTAATTACAGGGTATTTACAGAACAGCTAGCTGCTTGAAGTAGATATGCTGACTAAGACTAAGGTATATATTACAGGGTATACACTTAAAAGACCTCTCACTTTCTCTCTCTATGAAGGTGCTTCATATAGATGTCTGCTGCTGGCACACATATTGCCTTGAAGATTCTAAAATCTATTTGTTGGGCTTGATATAGAGGGTATCTGCTAGTCAAGCACTGGCTTGCAAGGCAGTCTTATCTTTAAAAAAAGGCTATACTCTCATATACCTAAACGATTTTAGAGTTAGACTGGACTAGAATAGATTTCAGAAACTACAGGGTATATGCTAGTCGAGCAAACGATCAGGTAACTATCATACCCTTGCTGTATAACTTTCTTTTGCATATCTATAACATTATTAGAGCTAACAGAGGCATTATTGATATATGATAATACTACAGGGTATCAGCTAGTCGAGCACACGCTTGCATAACACCCATAGCTTCCTTCTCACGCATATCTTTGACATGCAAGCTAGCTAAAGCATTATTAGTATTTACGCGTAACAGGGTATCTGCTAGTCGAGCTTGTGGGCAGTTCATACGTTTATTGGCTGTTTTGTTAGAGACCCATTTTAATTTCGACAGCCATTTCCGCTGCGCCACTTGTGTGTCGTAAATTCTTCAAGGGGCCCACGCAGCGGCGTATGCGTAACGCAACGCCTGGCACAAAGGCGACTAATGGCGGCACTTCCGGTGCACAGAGGACCACGAGACAGACAGGACAGCATGAACAGCTCGACAGTGTATGCATGCGCGCTCTGCATGTACATATGATGGTAAAATATGCCACTTTGACGAACTCTGCATTCATCATGGGTAAGTAAATTTGTTTGCCCAGATGTCAGGCGAGGACAACACCAACAACAACAGCTAGCAGCTGCCCGGTAATGGCAGCGATAAGAAGGACGACAAAAATGATAAAAAGGCACGTTTGCCAAAAAAGCGTAGCAAATGCGAAGGCGAAGGCGAAGGCGTCGACAGCAACAAATCAACCCCGCACATGCTAAAATGAAAAACAAAACAAAGTAGGGCAGCAGCAGCAGCAGCAGCAGGAGCAGAATAATGAATAATGTGGGTCGGAGGCGACGTCGGACGGACTCAAAAAGGGACACGGACGTGTGGGTCGTTGTCCCTGACGTACGTGGCGGGCTGTAAATTAATACCCATTGATGTCACAGATGTCACTCGGCAACCAATTAAACGATCAGACGAAATATTTGCGTAAACAATGCGCCAAAACAAACAGGCGAAACCCAAAATGAAGTAAACTCTCCTCGCCACTCTCCACCTCTCCTAACCTAACTAGGAGGTATCTATGTGTATGTATATGTGTGTACTCACCCACAATGGTGGCAAAGATGAGCACACCAGCGAGAAAGTCGGCGACCACAAATAAATATTCAACATCGTTCTCTGGCGTCGGCGTCTCCCCAATCGTTGTCAGCGTCAGCGTTGACCAATAGAAGCTATAGATATATTGACGCTGCAGCGTGTTGTTGCGTGTTCCATTCAAGTTGTAGACCCACGAATCGGAGCTGAAACCAATTTCGTAGCTGATGGCAAAGTACATGCAGGCATTCCAATGGATCAGCACCAATATGGCCAGCACCACTTTGCAGATGCGAAAGGCGTTCGGATAGCCCGTTGCGGTCTCCGTGCGATCGAACCACTCCCAGAGGCGGGGCAGACGTAGCAAGCGATTCAGTCGCACAATCACCGGACAGGGCAGATACAGGCTGGAGCAGGTCTCGGGCGGCCACCAGATGTAGGCCAGATCCGTGGGCAGCATCGACAGCACGTCCAGATACCAGCCTTTGGTGTGAAAATAATGACGACGCAGCCGGAACGCATCGCGCACCAACAGACCCTGGTCCAGAAAGCCTGCGGAACGAGACGTGAGCATTAGATAAGGCCAGGATCTGCATGCCCTGTGGTTCGCCATGTGCGTGTGCCTGTGGTTGCCTGTGCCTTTTGGTTATTGTTTTGCCTGCCACATGCAGCGCGGCATTTCACAGCTGCCAGCGCAGCAGAAATGCAAAACTTCAACTAAAACTTTGATACCCTTGCAGCTGGATAATCCGCTTTGTTTATTCACACAAATCCTGGCCAGGATTTAAGCATCACAACAAGAAGGCTACAGCTGTTCGAAGTTTGACTAACATCTAAGCTAATGAAATTCCTAATGCGACTGCAGCTTGAAGACTTGCAGAACTGTGAAATACTTGCAACATTTTAGATGTCAGACGAGTTTCTAAAATATTACTATAGTAAGTTTAGTTAGGATTAGTCTTATCTAAAGTTGGAACTGAACAGCGTTTAAGACGAGTGTTTCCTAAGCTAAGCTCAAGTCTTGTCTTTTCTTGAAGCTCCAAATACTGCTATTTGTAGGCAGTTCGCATTTGGGAATTAATACAATATGTTAATGTATGAATCCAGCTTCTTTAGCTACTATTAACTGTTAAGAGACCTTTAGCTGGCATAAGACTTGTATCTCAGTTATCATCTACACTACACGGCAGATACTCATATCATCTTATTTATAATATGATAAACTGAGAGCTAAGCTCATATCTTACTCATTTGAGAACTAGTTCTTAACTATTACAGTTAGCTGGTTCTTTTGCATCAAGTGTAGTGTTTTTTTATTCTATTCAGCTTCATCTCGACTCGTTTCACAAAGTGACAATGCTCGCGGCGAGTGTATTTTACAGAAATCTTTTTGTTGTTGCCGTCTGAAATGTCAAGGCTGGCTTATTCCTGCATTTGGCAACTCAGAGACTCACATACATATGCTGATGTATGTGTTATATATGTAAGCACAAATGCTTTTTGCTGGCAACCATTGTCTGCGACGGCTTAGTTAGAGCAAAAGCCACCAAGTCTCATTTGCATAAGCAGCAGCTCTCCCTCCGGCTGCCACCTCTACCTGTCTGCTGGCCGAGCTACGAAACTTACCTTCATGCATGTGCACCAGCGTATCCAGCAAATAAATGAAATCGCACAGATAGTCCAGCGTGTACCAGACGGCAGGCGCGCTCTTGTTGATCTCCCAGAAAACGGAACGACCCACCACAAAGATGATGTTATAGAGCACCGCCAGCGACACCACAGCGAGCCACTGTCAGGGTATATATATATATATATATATATGTGCATATGCTCGATTAGCTAATGGATTGGCAAGAGTTACAAGTTCTTGATGACTTACCCTATAATGGGACTGCAGTGTGGGATCCACGGAGAGGCGATTGCATAGAGCGCTGCTGCCGCGAATTTCGCTAGACAGCGCCGCATCGTCCATGGCTCCGGTTTTGCCTATTTTGTCCGTGTTGGTGGCATTCGAAAACTTCTCGAGGAACCAGTCGGGCGGCTTGGCGCGATTCCGTTTGGTCAGACGTTGACGCAGCGCCTGCAGCGTGCGTCGCAGAGCTGACGGTTTGCTCCCTTTGCTCGGCTCCTGCACATACAAAATGTCAGAGTAACGAATGAAGTTTGCTTCACAAAAGTTTATCGACCCTTGTCGGCCCCTCCTCACCCGCTTCTCCCTCCCTCTCTCCTGGCCATGTGAAATGTGCCACACAACTGGCGCTAGCTAATTGAAACATTTTAATGGCCATCTACATTGCCTCTGTATGGCTGGTCGGGGTAACCACATTAAAACTTGGTCAGCATCTTGTAAGTTTGACGCTTAAATTTTGTTATGTCTGCACAGCTGCAGCTGGGCAGAGGAGAATGTAGCTGGCTTGTAGGGAAACTATGTATATATACACTTGAGTTTGTATGCTCATATGTGCAGCTAAGTAGTACAATGTTGTGGTTGAAGAGCTTCTAGTGATTCCAGTTGTTTCGTTTAAGCTTTAAGCGATGGATAACGAGAAAATGATACTACAAATGGAGGATTATCTAATTATGGCTTTAACTGCAGCTTAGGACTGTGCAAGTCCCTGAAGCTAAGCTAATCAATAGGCCTTTGATCGAATAGTAAATGAAAAATGCGCGCGAATTTCGAGCTTTGCCTTTCTATGCGATTTTCAAGAAATACAAAAAGGGCATCCTTTAAGAGAAAAGTGCTACGTATTGATAATGATCTAAAATATTGCGTGTCTTGGCTAATTGTGTATGGTACTGCTATGGGATTCTTATAAATGAATTCTCATTAGATACTTCTACGCGATTCTCATGAATTCAAGTCAAGAAAAGCGTTTACTTATTTAGTAATATAGATCGATTCTCGCGTAAGTTTAAGTAACCATTGACCTTCTATGCGATTCTTAAAAAGCGACAAACGTCAGAGCGCCCTTTTAAATAAACTAAAATGAGTTAGTCATGCACTTGTCACACTCATTGTTCTTCTAGGCGATTCTCATAAAATGCAGAAAGTCTTTTAGATAACTGATAAAAGAGTGTTAATGTCAAAGATATTAGTAGTTCTATATGTTTATACTTTGTAGCATATAAGCCGACCACAGGGTATCTTTAAAGCCATCACTCTTAGGCATATCATGTATTAATAACACTGAACACTGTGAGGTCAAGAGGGTAATAGCACATTTAGTTAACAGACAAGTTAGTCTTGCTGCTTATACAAGGGGTTCCCTTAGCATGTTAAGCATAGACACATGTATAAGCATTATACACATACGAATACATATGTTAGTACGTGGAGACTTTATGGTTAACACACGCATACACATCCACAATCACACACGTGATGCTTGTTTCGCGTTCACTCTGCGCATCCTGAGATTAGGGGCGTGTGCTTGACAGTCTAATAAACGCGTATCAGTCGCTGCCAGCGGTTAATCCATTAAGCTATATAGCAACGCATGACTCCCAGTCTGTTTGTATGCGGATGTGTGTGTGTGGCAGTTGGTTTGAGAGTTGGGCTCAATGTGACGCATATATCGCTATCTCTATGGCAGCCCTTTGGGCGCAATGCTAATGACAATGCAATGCCACGCCTCCCGCTGCGCCCAGTTGTAGTGAAGGTCGCGTACGCACACACACACACGCACACGCAAATATACATTTGGTATTTATTTATGTACTTTGAGCTGACATTTACCGCATCGTTTTGTTGTGGTTGCTGTTGCTGTCCTGCTATGGCTGCTATATCCAAAGATTGCACCATGGCTTTGACTTTGAAATGTCGCATGCAAACGCGACGTTAATGTCGCACGCGTCTTATTGTCTTCTTCTTGCGTCTCTGCTTCACTTGGCACTTTCAACTTGAATCGTAAACTTTAGCCTACAACTGTTAAGAATACCGTTTTAATTAAATACCGTTAGCTTTTTTCGCAGCTGCGCATGCGCGTCGGCGTCGAACTGCCCGTTAGCACTGGAAAAAAATGCGTTGCGCGCTTTGCATCTGCCATTGAAGGCAATACTAGCAACGACGTCAGCAGCGACGCCTACGTCAACGTCGACGTCGACGCCAAAGTCACGAACGCGCAGCTGGCCGCGGCAGGCATACACAATAACTAAATGTGGTTTGCTGTTGCTGTTGTTGTTGCTTTTGTTGCTGTTGTCAATTCGAATTGCCGTTTTTATTTTCGCTTCTGTTGCTGTTGTATTTTGCAATTTTCTTAATTTGCATGTGCCGACATCGGCGATGTCGTCGGCGTTTAATTAATTAACCCGCAAAAGTCTCAAGTGACTTGAGTCCTTCATTGCCACCGCCACATCGCAGCCGCAGCCAGAGGACAAAAGACTTGTTGTTGTTGCTGCTGTTGCTGTTATTTGTGTGGGGTGTGGATACTATTGCCATTGATGGCAATTTGACAAGATTGATGACACTTTCAGCTGAACTGTGCGCGTTTTTGTAAACGTTTTTTAATTGTTTGGCCATCATTTAATTAAGCTGAAAGCTGTCGGCAACTGGACGCACACTCAAAGCAATGGCGATCAAGTAAGAGCGGAGCTAGACTCAGCAACTAAATATCGATAGTTAATCGGCAGTGCGATATGTTTTTCTTACAGTGTTTACATATGCATGTAACGAAAACGGCTGCATAAATTAAGCTGGCAGGAAGCAGCCAACCAGTTATACACTGTTGATGGATAACCAGTGCAACAATGATAAACATGTAGATTAAATGCTGATGAGCTCATCCAGTCACTAGTTGCATGTCATATTATTTATGTATTTACTATATATATATATATATATGTAACTTTTTTTCATTTGCAAGGTTGCAGCCAAAAACTCAACTGATTCGGATTCGCAGCAGCAGCTCTTGTGCTTGAAATTACAATCGAAATCGAAATATAATTTGAATTGCCCCCCGCTAGCGTCGCAATCATCCATGAGCTCTGCTGCTGACACCCAGCGACTAGCCTGATTGGCATTCACAGCGCTGCGTCGTGAGCTGCACAATAAATTTCCATAATTGCCCGGCGTCCGTTAGGTGTTGACACAGCTGAGCTGGGCGGTCGGTGGTCAGGTGGCGTTACGGCCAGGTGGTTAGGCGTAACTCATTATGCTAAGCAAATCAAGTGCCGCTGTTGATGTTTATCGCATGCGTGTATTTTATGCACAAATAAAATGGCTTTAAGCGACTTTTAAAATCCCCCACAAAAAGTATATAAAACCTTTGGAAATGACCAATGGACACCAAATTGAAATGCCAACCACGCTGTGCGCCCAAATATGAGAAGGTCAGGTCTGGGCACGTGGCACCAATTGAAGAAGGCAAGCCCTAAGCTCTCAATGGAAATTGTCTTGCTGCTAACCGACTCGGCATGTAACTGAAACTGTTCTCAATCAAATGTGTCTCTAAGTGTGTGTGTGTTGGTGGGTGGGCGAATGTGTTTTGTGTGTGGCTCTCCTATTTCCGTTTTTGACATGGGCGAGCCCCGAAAAGGAAAAGATTGAATGTCAAGTGCGAAACACAAAATATTTACTATTTCGTTTATGTTTGCAAATGTGTTGATAAAGGAAATAGACCTGCTTGAGCTTTGCGCGCAGTGTTGAGCAATGTTAGTGCTTTTACCGATATGGCTACTTGTCTATCGGCCATCTTTAATTTGCATGTAATTTCCGATAGTTGAGGCAAGCTCTCGCTTGCCTGTAGAAGTTGTGACAGAGTTTGTTGAAATTATTGAAATATGAAAATCTATTTATTTCAATAAATATCTAATTTGTTCGGGTCATCTTTGAGGAATTTTACAGACAGAGAAATCTATATTCATAGCATTAAACTTTTAAGCTTTAAAGCCAGATTTAATGACTGAAGAAAAAATGTTTAAATATTTAAGAGCACAAATTGAGTTTAAGTTGAGGGTCTCATTAATAAAGGTCTCATTGAGTTGCAGTACAAAAAGGACCTTGATCGGCTTTTTGCCTCTGCGAAGCATCACAATGTGATTTAGAGCTGGAATCCAAGCGAATTGTTCGAAGTCCATTACAAAATTGTGAATTTATGGTTTGACACATTCGTTATTCTGTTTCCATATGCTCTGTGGACTATGAGACACGAGCCACTATCATAAACAACACTCAATTGTCAAGCTGATAACCTGTTTTTTGTGTGTGTACTTGAACTTTGATAAATACCCCACAAATTATTATTTACTTGTTATTCAGATACAGTTATCTGCAATATTTTTTCTATTATTTGTTTAGAGAGAGATTTTTTCTGTGTTTTGGCTTAATGCATCAGCGAGCGACGTGGGAAATTATGCAAATGTGTCGCAAATTGGATGACGATGACTATAAACAACAGCGCTTATCGATGACAGCAACAAGAGCAACAACACAAATGACAAACCCGAACACACACACACAGGTTGACTAACAAGGTTTTTGGTGCTGGTCCAAAAAAGGACCCTCATCAACAGAAAATCCAGCTGCCCGAAGTCTCTTTTTTGTGTTTTTGCTTGCTTGACTAATCTTTGAGTCTTGTTGGTTTTTGTTTACACAGCGAATTAGTCAATTCTTGATTTAGTGCCAGTGTTTCAAGTCAGCAACTCCTTTTTTTTGCAATTTGGAAAATTTTTGTCTTTTGTTTTGCTGCCGTTGGCGAACGCGTTTTTTGCGCAACTGAAAATTTGTACAAAATTGACTAAGCGACCTGCTGCTGTTACTGCTGCTGCTGGCGTCTATCGACGAGGGGGCCGGGTGGAGCAGGACATTCAGCGTTTTGTTTGCTCGAGTGTCCTGTCAGCTCAAATTGCACAGAAAACAATAAGCAAAACAGAGTCACAAAACGGCAGCCAATCGAAGGCAGTAAAAAAATATGCTGTTGAGCAATGGTGAAAATATTGAAAGGTATGGCTAGCAAATAGAGCTCATTAATCGGTTTAATGGCCCCAAGACTTGGCGTTCTGTTCGTTCAACTTGAAGCCCCCAAATCGAACTTCAACTAAACAACACGCTCAAAAAAGAGAAACTCTTTCCAACTTTTGAGTTATGTATAAAGCACTCAAGCTGAAAATATCTCTAGATACATATATATATATCTATGTATATGTATGTGTGTGTGTGTGTTTGTGTGTGTATTGTGGCCTCCGTTTTGCGGTTTTTGTGTTGGCCAAATTGACAACACACCTCAAAAGCATTACAACAACCAAGCCAATGTTTGAATGCGGGCGGGTGGCTTGATTGTATTGTGTGGTTCTTGATGCCCGCCTAGCTAGCTGCCTGGCTGACTGGCTGGTTGGGGTGATTTGGGCTGGTTTGGGTTGCTCTGCTAGCATTTGTATTTATTTCACTGCGTTTTCGCTGCTTCGCTTCCCTCTCAGTCGCTTCTGCTGCCATTTATGAAATGGCATTGAAACAGTTTTGTGTTTCGGTTTCTGTTTCAGTTTCAGTTTCAGTTTCTGTTTCTGTGGTTGCTTTTCACTTTAAGCAACGTGGTTTGCTCTGTGTGGCTCAATGCTCTTATCTATCAAATTGGTCGTCGGCCAAGATTCCGATTCCCCCCTTAAAGCATGCCCGCAGCTCGACGTGACCAGCTGATATGGCTATGGTCAGTCAGCGCTGAGCCTTGGAGCCTTTTACTCACTTAAGTATTTATAGCTCGAGGGTCAAATTAAGTTCTAAACAGACCTTTATTTCTGTACATTATATTTTTTTTTTATCTTTTCTACTGGGGCAAGGTCTAAATAATGTAATTATTAAAACTTTTTTCAGTTGGAGTTGCTTCGATTTGTGTTATGTTTGGCAGGAACTTTAAAGAGGTGCCGAAATCAAAGTTATTTTTAAATGTTTCAATAACTTTTTTAAATTTATATTAAATATAAAATTATATAAATTTATCATAAATATTTTATATAAAACTAATTCTATAATTTTATAAAAATATTAAATTTTTGCTTAACATTTTAAATTATTTTGAAGGTTTTATTTAAAAAAATTTGTAATAAAAAATTTTAAAATATATAAAAAATATGCTAGTTCTAAATTATATAGCCGATAGTTTATCTAAACTCAGTTAATCATTATATAAATAATCATATTACCTAAAAATATACCTAAACCAACTTTGTCTTCTTTGCTAGCGTATTAAGCTGTCGACTTCGTGCAACTGTGAGTGCGTTTCATCATTTTTATTTATGTAATTTGACACGTGCTAATAAAAATTTCTGCGACTATACAAAAATGGCAGTCAGCTGCAGAGAAGCGAGCTCGAAGCATGGAGTATGAAAGTAAAATAGCTTGGAGCGTGCTGTGCGGTCGGCTGACGCGTCGGCTACGTGACAATAGAGGAAGTAATTAAAACGCGATTTACGGCAAGGTCAAGTTTATGAAGGTCTGCAGTTCATTTGCATGGCAGACATGGGTTACGGAATACGCACACAAAAAAAAAAAAAAAAACAAAAATAAGGTGAAAAAGAAGAACTAAAAACTCTCTCTCTTTCAGAGCGGGAGTAGGAAGTGATACTCGCTCTGCCTTACACTGTCATTCGCTCAGTCATAAAATGAAGCATAGCGCTGCACTCGCTCTCTCCCGCTCTGTCGCCCACAAAAGGAAGTAAGAAGTAGCCAGTGACTACCTCTCCCTCCCTCGCACGCACAAAGTAAAGTAAGGTATCTCTCTCTGTCCCGCTCGCTCTATCAGCGCTGCCCGCAGCATGGTAAGTGCTATTGTTTTATTGTTATTCATATTGATGTTGTTGTTGTTTTGTGGCTGTCGTTGTCGATGGCGTCAATCAATTAGCGCAATTACTTAATTACGGCCCACATAATTGAATTGGCCGAACGTCCTCAGAGTTATGACCAGGCCAAAATGAAAATGAAAATGAAATTAATGCAGCAAATGTGTGCGGCATTGTCTGCAGCCGTATCGTAACTCGTATCTCCAGCTATTTATCTCTCAATTTATTAAGCATCGACTCTTGTATATGTGGCATATTAAATTACGCATACGCCGTGTGATTTATGTTATGCTAAGATTCGATTTGGCTTACTACTCACTTGTATCAGTTTCCTGCCATTCTCCAGATAGTTGGCATCGCTGGCACGTGGCTGCGTTGACTTTTGCTCGGCCGGGTCAATCCCCTCTTCTCTGTTATCCTTGGCAAAGCCGACCTCATCGCACGGAAGCTCCTTTTGCCTGCTCACCTTCTGCTGTTGATGTTGCTGTTGCTGCCCCATCTGCACCTCCTCACCATCATCATCATCGTCATCATCATCATCGTCTTCGTCGTCGTCGTCATAGTCTATTTGTAGGCGCTGCCTGTGCTGCCAGCTGCTGCTGCTGCAGCTGCTGCGCGGATAGTGTAGCTGCTGCTCCTCCGGTTCAGCGCTGTCGGTTGGACCCATGGGTAACGGCATTGCCGTTTGGTTGGCAATCAAATGCTTGCGCGGCAGACAAACTCCGCCCTCGGCTCCAACAGCCGCCAGCGTCGGCTGAAATGGGGCGTAAAGACCTCCGCTTATCTCCAGCTCCTCCTGCGATGGATTGCAGCTGGAGGGCAGCTGAGCGGGCGCCGAGGCAACGGGGCTAACAAAACGTGTCGTACGATACATGGGACGGGAGAGGCTATATCCAAAGAGGGGGCGTGGCAAAATCAAATAAATTTCATTTAGCTATTCGCACTCACTTGTAGCCGTATTTGGGCGATTCGGTTTCGGGGCGGCGTCTGGTGGACATCATTGTGTTGACCCGATCTCCGCGGGCGGCTGCCATCATATAAGTCCACATTGCGGCTCATCCACAGCTATGCTACGCTAAGCACATGATGCACACTCCCAAAAAAGACGTCAGGTAAAAGCGGCTGCAAAGGCAAAGGCAAAAGCGAACGCACCACATTAAAGCACTTGGCGGGGCAATTGTGGTTTAAGTGTGGCAATAATATACTAGCTAAGCCATAAAAGTGCCGCATGCCACACTTGTGGCCTAGGGCGGGCTGCGTAATTAAGCAATTAAAAGGCGGCTTAGGTCGAAGCGCCTCGAGGTATGCAACGCGAAAATTGCAGAGCTCAGATTCGAAGCGGCATCCACAGCGCCCGAGCAAGGCGCCTGGCCGCCTTTTGATGACTTCCTCTGGCCATAAAATCAGCATAGAACACACAGCTTACTTTTATGTTAGTTTTTTATTTTCTTCTCTTTATAGTTTTCGTCGCATTGCTGGCTCTGATTTGATTTTTATTTTATTTCAAGTGCAGCTGTGCCGTGGGCAAAGGCAAAGGCTTAAGCATATTTATATGATCAGACAGTTATAACCAGTTCGGAGAGCTTCAATTATAAAACAAACGGACGAGAGTGCTGTGGGCGGGACTGCCCGACTTGAAAATACTCTGAGAATTGCTGGCTCTTAGACTTGTATAGATATATATATATATATAATAAGAAGGGATAAGCACACACACACACACAGAGAGCACTTTCTCGATTTATGCTCAACAATGCCATCTTTTGATTGAGTGTCCTCAGCTTCGGCATACATTATGCAGCGCGAAGCTAGTTAGGATAGTCTCTACGCTTGTAATAACCGAAATGCTACCCATTGACGACCTGTTCGTCGTGACTGAAGAGCAGAAAAGAGGCGACACAAGCAGAGCGAGATATCGGCATTGCACGCTGGCAAAGAAGCGGGAAAGCTCAATGAAAGGATGTTAAACGCAAACGTTTATCTCGGGCATAAAAACCAGAGCTAAATGGTAAGTTTGATGAGACTTATTTGTATCTATCACAAATGCTCCCCAGCCACAGATGCTGCTGCAGCGCGCTGAATCGATACGGCTACGACGACGCCCACTTGTTCCTGAGGAAGTAGTGGGCCGCACCATTAGAAAGGAAAACTTGGTGTCGGCCGAACAGAACTTTGCCAGCAGTACCGCATATATAGCGTGATATACGTAAGCACATAATCCAATTAAACAGAGGGTTTTTTATGTTAAAAAATGTATATAATAAAAATATCAGGTACATACACGCATGCACGTATGCAACGAGTCTGTGAATGGAAACTTTCCATTTATTATGTGCAGCAAGTTGCTGGAAATTTCTATCTATATTGTTGAGTTATCGGGAAAGAAGATAAACAGATAATTTTGTGTACATTACAAAAGAGTTTATACTTCAAATGTCAATTAAAGTTATTAAAATAAACCTGTTGAGGCTGACGCATAGACTGAAGTGGCTAGATTGAGTCAATGCAATATTCTGATCAGGAATATATATATACACTCTAGACTCGAGGACGCCTTCTTCTGCTTGTGATATTTAGTCAATCAAAAACAAACCAAGCAAACTCTATTGAACCTATGAGCAACCAAATATATTCGCAGCTAATACTAAGCAAGTTTTTTAGCATACTTTTCTGCGCAAGAAAAATTGCCTAGACTAACGTCACTAGTTTGTCCTTACTTATCATGCTGATCATGAATCCAAATACACTCTATGCTCAAACATGCCTTCTACTGTCTTTTATATACAGTTAACCAAAAACAAAATACCCTACTGAACCCTTTTTGGCAGTGAGCATCGTAATATATGCGCAGCTATTTCTGAGAATTTTTTGTAGCATACTTTTCTGGGCAGGAATAATTGCATTTAAACTTAGCAGAAAAGCAAAAAATGCTAATTACCTTTTATTGTATGCAAACTTTGCAAAAGCTTTCAAAGCGTTTAATTGCAAATTAAAGTATTAAAAAAAAGGGTTCTTTATGGTTAGCAAATGCATTAAATGTTTTCTAGAAGGGCAGAAGGGCAGAGGGGAAGTAGAATGAAGGTTGTTATGCTGGGCTACTTTATTACTATGTTTATAGACGCAAATTGTCAATTATATTAAATTAAATATATACTTAATCAAACTTATTTGTGAGCGCAAATGTGTACACAAATTTTTTGCATAAGATTGAAGTCAAAGATGTTTTCACCAAGAACTCAACTCAATTTGCTCGACTAAAATATTTATGGCCTGACTGCACATATTAAACATATTTCATATATTATAATAAACCTAAGCTAAGCTCAAAATAGGGAACACTAGCATTTCAGTGCAGTTCATGACCTCCGCTAAGGAGACATACGAACAGGAGACCGACTTCATCCAGTTGTCCACGAAGACGTATATAAATAATGAGCTTTAATCTAGCCGCAAGCAGCATAGACAACAAACTAATGAGGCGCAAATGATAAATACAAGCTGACAGCGAATTGCACGAAAAGAAAACACATTTCCAGAGCCAGAGGCAAAAAGAAAACTCGACCAGCTGCAAATGTGAGTCACACAAATTGAGCTAAAATGCAAATTGTATAAAATGTTTTTTCTTCTTCTTTTTTTTTTTTTTGTGTGCAGATAATCAAAACGTGCGCAAAAATTAAGCGAAATGCGAAATTTGAAATGTGAAAATGCGAAATTTTCTTTACATAATTTCCACTTGAATAGCAAGCGGAGACTAAACAGGCAGCAGATGGAGAAGTTCGAGTGTGGCAGCAGCAGAGGGAGCAGCAGCAGCAGCAGCACTACTGCACTGCAGCCAGTGGCTCTTTGTGTGTTTTTTTTTTTTGCCTTTGTCTGGCATTTAACTGTCGCGTGATTTTATGTCATAGATTATCTGTGTAGAGCTGCACGCTTCAGCTCTTTCGCAGCATTCAATTTTAAGTGCAATCTTTGGTTTGCCAAAAAGACTAAAGAACAGCTTCAGCTCCAGCTCCAGCTCCAGTCCCTGCCCAATTGGGTAGTAGAGAAACCTTTTGACTCTGGCTTCGGCTGCAGTTTGATGAGTCAGTGGCAAAAGTCTTTGACCGCATCAACAAAAAAGAGAAAACAACTTGTATAAAAAAGTAGAGAAAAAGAGTGAGAGTGTGTGTGTGTGTGTGTGTGTGGGTGTGTGGGTGTAGGCACTCTGACATTCAAAAATGGGCTGACAAGGAGTGTGCTGGGCAGGATGTTAGACAAAGCAGCGCAGATCGATTTTTAGCTATAAAATCAAAGTAAATCCATTTATCAACTTCAGCTGCAAACGTTTTCGTGCAGATAACAGCAAAGAAAGAGAGAGAGAGAGAGAGAGGGACTTGACTTTGATAGAATGCAGCAACGGCGCGGCAACAACACTTGACCAAGTTTTTAAGGCCAAGTGCCTTAGAGCCATTAAACACTTGTCGAGCAGCTTTGGACAAACAAATTGTTGAAGCCCATCATCGCGGCTCATAACACGCCCAATCAACCCAGCCGCAGAATCGTAGCAATTAACGCTTGGGCAGCAGCCAGCAGCCAGCAGCCAGCAGCCAGGACGCAGCAAGGACTCGCATGGCATCAGCTTTCACATCAGGCTGATTGGCCTGCTGCGCTGTTGATGCTTTAGCCAAATCGTTTGACTCGACTTGGAATTACTAACGAGCTATAAATGAGGCGATGTGGTGTGTGCGGCTCCGTGTGTGTGTGTGTTAAGTGTGTGTGAGCCTCATTTGTAATGATTAAGTTGCACAGCGAGCTTGTGGTGTTTATGCCCCAGTGGAATCGTTTACACGCATGCCAGCAGCTTATGAAAGAAGCACCAGCAGCAACAGCATCGACAGCCAAAGTGAAAGATAAGCAGCAGCAAATTTTTATTCAATTGCTGCTTGAATAAAAGGAGAAACATAGATCAATGAAAAGTAAATAAACTGACAGCAAATAATAATTATAAATAGCTCTTATAGTATATAGTATAGCTCACAAATATGGCTGGCAAACTGGCTGGCCGAAAAAGGGCGGTTAAATGGTTTATAACATGACGCTTAAGCACGATATCACGTATACGCCATGTGTGTGGCGTAGCAATAGAAAAGGCCAGAGACGCTCGTCTGGCAGTCAGACAGGCAGCCAGTCAGGCAGGCGGGCAGCAGGTGCTGTTGCAAAGGCGTCAGGAGCACAAAATATGCTAATGTCAATTATTTTGTGCGTAATTTGCTTTCATGCTTCAAGCACATATCAAATTTTGCTCTCTCTCCCTCGCCCTACCCCACGCTCCCCCCGGCTCATTATGAATATTCATTTTTTTTTTCTCGCATAACATTTAGCACAATGCGCTAATAATTTCATGAGCTTCAAGCGACACGAACAGCAATCGAGGACTTATCTAATCTTTACATACAGATTATATATATATATTGCTATCTAGCTATCTATCTGTCTGTCGATGTATTCCTGCTGACACCGGAAAGGTGAGACTGGCTTCAATTAACATTCGTGCACGTAGACGCAATAACGCAAATGGATTTGGGTTTAATAAAAATGCGTTATTTATGGAGTTTACTGCCGAATGGGCCCCCTTTTGGCCAATTAATATGGCAAGTTTAGTTTATTAATATGTTCGCTTATGTGTTTGTTAGTCAACAATTGCGATTGGCATTCAAATCAGATGCTAAAGGACACTCAGCACAGGATCACTGGCGTTGGCCAGCCAGACAGGTGCTGATGTGGAGCTTACCTAAGGCTATGCTTCCTCTTTGAGTTGAGTTGTATTAATCCGGCAAAACTGTCAGGCAGCGCGTAATCCTATTAAATGTGGCTACGCTGGCTGCTGCGTGTGTGGGTGTATAGGGGCAATACCTATGCCCACTCACTCTACCGCTCTCCCTCTCTCCCTCTCTCTCTGACTCTCTGGCTCCCTCTAAGTCTGTCGCTCTTTCTCACTCTTGATTTTCTTTCAGTATTTGAATTTTTTTCACTTTTTTACACAATTATTTAAATGCGTGCAGTAATTTCAAATGAAATTTGAATATGTATTTTTCTTTTTGTGCCTCGCATATTTTCACACATACACGCACGCACGCACACCCTCAGAGCAGGAGGGCTGTGAATTAACAGTTGAAAATGGCGTTGATTTTTGCACTTTAATTGAATAAAAATTCAAATGTTGATGCTGTGTATCAAAATAACGCGCGCGCCAACACAGAAACGCACACACACTAACACGCACTCAAAAAGGACGAGCTATTCAATGGAATAACGGAATTTAGCAACAGCGGCAGCAGCAGCAGCAGAGAAACGTTGCGCGCCGTGTACGTTCGCATGCCTGGCTAACGGCGCAATGAGCGCCTGTGGGAGAACACAGAACCAAAGGCGAATGCAAATGGCAAAGCAGCAGACGCAGCAGCAGTCGCAGCGGCAGCGTCCGCAGCAGCAGCAGCAGCCGAGCAGAGCCGATAGCAGACGCTGCGAGAGCAGCTTATGCGTGCGTATGTATGTATGAGTGCGTGTGTGCTTTTCATTCATGCTTAGCAAAAGCTTTCCATGCGAAAGCTTTTGCGAGCATAATAAAAAACCTGTTGCTTGCTTTTCCACTCTTGTTGTTGTTGGCTCTAGTGATTTTTGCCAGTGTTGCCATACGTCTAGCAGCTGTTGCCAAGCGGCGTGCTAAATGGCAACATAAATTAATTAAATTGATGTTTAAATGCTGTTGTTTTTGTTGCTGCTGTTGTTGCCGCTGAGCCTGGTTTATTAACCCGCCTACAGCGCGATTTGCCTGACACATTGACAAATTGCTGAAAATCCAAATATGAGATAAAGAATCCTGACTGAACTTGATTAATGTCGGTCTAGCTGCCTGTCTACGAGCTGTCCCAGGCAGCCGTTGCACAGGCACAGTTCATTTGATTTGATCTAAACATCTCGCCCCAGCCATGCTCAATAGCTCAATTAGTTGACATACCATTTTCTACGTTTGTCTAATTGAATAAGCATTTACATGTTCTGGCGAAAGTTAAAAATCTTTGAAGTTCAAGTTCAGAGTTTTGCACCTGCTGCTGTGTACGTGTTTGATTCTGTTTATAGTTGAACGTGTAGCGTGCATACATGATGATTATTGCTTTTTTGTCTCTTCATATACGATATACGACATGCTGACAAAGACGGCAAGACCAAGGATAATCCAATGCTCATATGTTCATTGTCGCAAAGTTCAAATAGTTCAACTCGAAAGTTCAGTCACCAACCCAGAAGCCAAAATCCAACAAGTGGTTAGTTACATATATATACATGATACATATATAATATATATACTTTAACTTGAGCTGTCAGACACACACGCACGCACACGCACAGAGACCCGCACAGAAAATAAGACTTGCTGCAGAGCTGTGTATAAATTTAATTTTCATGGCGCGCCTAAAAGTATGCAATGTAAAAGTTGCTTCTGTGCGTGCGTCCGTGTGTTTGTACGTACATGCATAAGTAGTTACAATGGGCTTTGGCACAATTCACAATTTGAGTAATTTGTTATTCAAACACATTTCGAATCGATTATACGCCTGACATGCTCCCTTCAATCGAGCAAATATGTTGATTGACTTTTGTCAAGGCTTACGCCTTTTGAATGTGTGCGTGAGCTTTTGTCGCCGTGCAAAAGGCAAAAGGCAAGTCTGTCAATGTATATGTGCGTGTGTGCTTGTGTGGAAATGCCAGCGCAAATATAAATGAGGAAATGCGGGTAGTCAGGCGGACCACCTTTCACTTTCAACCTAAAGCAAGTCATGAAAGTGCGTATCTGATGCATGGCTGACTTTATGAGCGTATGTGTGTGTGTGTGAGTGTGTGCATGTGTGTTGGTGTGATAACGAAGCGTTTGGTGCTCATTGAAAAGCTCATTATCACGCACACACACAATGGCACAGCCGAAGGTTAAATATTTGTCATATGAGTAGAAAAAATGTTATCAAAATGGGTTAAGGTTCAGCTGATGGGCACAATTCCGACTTGAACTATAGATATATATATCTAGCTGTTGGCAGCTGTTGGCCAAGCATCTCAATGTCAGGCCATAGCCTTTACCTGGCAGCAACTTGTTGAATTGAATTGATTGTCGCATTGAAATTTAATTGCAATTGCACTTGGAACTCAGTTTGAATGTTAAGCGCAGCAAGGACATTAATTAAGAGTAGACGGGCGAGCAGCAGATGCCCCACTGAAGTGGCTCTGATTGCGATTGCAGCCGCAACAGTTGAGCCAGCTAAGCGCGGCCTGCATATTAATTAGAATGCGAGAAGGAAACGAATAAAGTAACGTCCCATTGCGTAGCCATGGCGAATATGCAAATATTTGGCGTATGCCAGATGCTCTATCTACTGCATGAAAATAAACTGCACTCCATAAATACACAAATAAACGAAGTCCCGCAAAGAGATGTATGTCGTTGCCCACCCACTCCTTCCCTTCCCCTCTCTCTTTCTCTGTCTCTTGTTCTCTGCGTATTGTGCGACGCTGTCAAAAGGTTAAAGTTAAGCATGACAAATTGCGTGGCGCTGGGGCGTATACTTCATATTGACAGCATTATGGATATTGCATGCATATATATGTATACACACACAAATATATAAGTTCATGTGTGTGTATTGGCACTACATTTGTCATGGCTCAACGAGCTCCGCAAATCCACATAATTGCTGTCATGCAAGCAGCTCTAGCCACAGTCGTCGACCAATTACTGCAAAACAACTTGAATCGAGGAAATTTTTAATCGGCTGCAAACGTTGCTCGAATGGAAATTTATAATCGATGATTATAAGTTATGAATTCTCTATTTTTATACTCGTTCAAGTAGGGGCAGGAGTATATTAATATGACTTGCTGTCTGCCCTGTTCTGCTGACATATCAATATTTAATTAGGTTAACTTAAGTTAAGCTGTTCCCAGGAACTAAACTGCAATCTAAAACAGTTTCTTCGCCATACATTTTTAATAATTTATTTGAATATTTTCATAACTTAACTTTAAAGTTTAAGATTATGGAAACAGTTGTTTAGGTTGATTATAAATAGGCATATATATATATATGTATATTATAACTAGAATATTCCAATTAACAATGGCCAGGCTCAATTTCTTGAATCATTAAAATTGTTAACAATATTTGAAATTGAAATTTCCTTCCTGTTACTTCTGAATTGACTTGAGATGCTGTTGAAGCTGCTCGCAACGCTGACACTCTCTGGTGAGCTGCTTTACAGCCGTTGCATACTGGCGCTGCAGCTCGAGCAGGCCGAGCAGCTCTTCGTTGAGCTCGTCGCGTCGCATGCGCTCCTCGTTGTATTTGTGACGCACCTTGTCCTGGGCGCTCTTCACACCATCGACAATCGTTTCGAACTGCCGTATGAAGTCCTCGCGTCCGTGCGGACTGAGCATGCCCTCGTTGTAGGCTTCGCAAATGGAGTTCAGCAGCGATAGCTCCTTTTCGAGATAGCGCTTTTTGTCGTTCAGCGTGTTGTAGAGTGTATAATATTGCTTAGTCTCTAAATGTTTGGCACTCATCTCGTTGTACAGCTCGTGGAAGCGTCTCTGATATTGCGCCAACTCTGTGCGATCGGGTATCGCATCTAGTTTCCGCTCAATGGCTACAATGCCACGATTCCTTTTAGCCAAATGCAGCCGCAGCTCCTGCAAGCGCTGCTGCTCGCCAGCTATTGCGGCCGCCTGCGCCTCCGCATCCTGTGCATTGAAAGCCTCCAGTTGGCTGCAAAGTAAATCGAATTAGCATTTCCTTTTCTTAAAACGCATGACTAGCTTACTCAATTTGCTGCTGCAAGTTGGCCAGATCCGTTCGACAGCTTTCCTTGAACTCCGATTCGCTTTTCTTAAGTTCGTCGTGCTGCTGCAGCAACCCACGCACCTTCTCCAACAGACTGCGAGGATACATAAATTAGAAGTTTTTAATAATTAGGATTAAAACAACACTTACGCCGGATCTGCATTGATCTCCGTTTGCTTATATGCATCCAGCTGAGCATTGAGGGTTTGCAGCTTTTGCTCTTGTTGTTCAGTTTGTTGCTTTTGCGCTTCCATAGACGCTTCCAGCTGCTCGTTGTCTTTGCTGTAGCGTTTGATCTTGTGCTCCAGCGCTATTTTGGCCGCCTCCAAGCGTTTCTGTTGATTCTGTGATTTGAGCTCCTGTGCATCGGTTTCCATTTCCATCTTAAATTCCGCATAATGCTGCTGCAGTGCGCTACGAGCAGCAGGATCTAGATCAATGCGTTTTGTGAATTCCTTTGTGACTGCGAGCTGCTGCAGCCTTCTCTCCAGCTCGGGCTACAGTGCATAATTACAAACTGATTAATAACTATGCAATATATACAGATAACTATTGATGGCTAACCTCCAACTCCATTTGGTCTGCACTTGAGCCCATCTTCTGTTCGCCGTACTCCATTAAAGTGAGACGAACTCGCAATGCATCATCGTCGCTGTTTGCTTCCTGGCGTTCGAATTGCCTTTTAGGACTGTACAGCTCCTGCAAGAGTTCAAAGGGCATCAGCTTTTGTTCATCAATTAAATGAATATCTAATCAAACCTGTATTGCTTTTATGTTTACGGCGGCATAGCGTATTTTTGTAAGATTATCTTTATCGCTTTTATACTGATAGTCATTATGGAACTGACCAACTGCAAATCTCTTCAAACGCTGCCCGCGCTCCTCGCGATTTTCTACCTGCAAATATAGAAAAGGACTAAATTTAATATAAAAAACATTTTTTGTATTTATGTATGTACGTGTGTATGTACATAAGTATGCACATAGGTATGTAATTTTCTCTCATAGTTTCTCAGCAGTGCAATTGTGAGCATATTTTCAAATGCTGCTGTCCTCCTCGATTCTCAAAAATTCAAGTAAGCATAGCTGGGCTGCTTAGTAGAAGAACAAGTGTTTTTTTAAGTGTATTGGTGAAGTGCAAAGTTTTTATGTGGATATATTCATATACCACTGTACATATGTGAGTGAGAGTTTTTGTATGCATATGTATGTATGTATGTGAGCATATGTATGTATGCACAGATGTATGTATTTTTCTCTCATAGTTTCTCAGTAATGCAATTACAAGCATATTTTCAAATGCTGCTGTCCTCCTCGATTCTCAAAAATTCAAGTAAGCATAGCTGGTCTGCTTAGTAGAAGAACAAGTGTTTTTTTTTAAGTGTATTGGTGAAGTGCTAAGTTTTTATGTGGATATATTCATATACCACTGTACACATGAGTGAGTTTTTGTATGCATATGTAGCACTGTACATCTGTGAGCATATATATGTATATATGTATGTATGCACAGATGTATTTATGCACAGATGTATGTATTTTTTCTCTCATAGTTTCTCAGTAATGCAATTACAAGCATATTTTTAAATGCTGCTGTCCTCCTCGATTCTCAAAAATTCAAGTAAGCATAGCTGGTCTGCTTAGTAGAACAAGTGTTTTTTTAAGTGTATTGGTGAAGTGCTAAGTTTTTATGTGGATATATTCATATACCACTGTACATATGTGAGTGAGAGTTTTTGTATGCATATGTACCACTGTACATCTGTGAGCATATATATGTATGCACAGATGTATGTATTTTTCTCTCATAGTTTCTCAGTAATGCAATTACAAGCATATTTTTAAATGCTGCTGTCCTCCTCGATTCTCAAAAATTCAAGTAAGCATAGCTGGTCTGCTTAGTAGAACAAGTGTTTTTTTAAGTGTATTGGTGAAGTGCTAAGTTTTTATGTGGATATATTCATATACCACTGTACATATGTGAGTGAGAGTTTTTGTATGCATATGTACCACTGTACATCTGTGAGCATATATATGTATGCACAGATGTATGTATTTTTCTCTCATAGTTTCTCAGTAATGCAATTACAAGCATATTTTTAAATGCTGCTGTCCTCCTCGATTCTCAAAAATTCAAGTAAGCATAGCTGGTCTGCTTAGTAGAAGAACAAGTGTTTTTTTTAAGGGTATTGGTGAAGTGCTAAGTTTTTATGTGGATATATTCATATACCACTGTACATATGTGAGTGAGAGTTTTTGTATGCATATGTACCACTCTACCACTGTACCACTGACGCAGAGTTTCAATTATGGAAATTTACAAGAAAGCTCAAACGGCAGCCAATACGACGTCATCCCATTCGGAGCATTTCTGGTTCCTGGCACATTGGAGACGAAGCTCAAGCTGAGGCTTTTGCAAACCACCTTCAAGACCAATTCACGCCGGTGATTACCGCAGAGGCCTCAGAAATCGAAGCAACAGAAGACATCGTTCTCTCGCCCCTCCCAGCTGAAGACCAGATAACTGGATGTACAAAAGAAGAGGTTCTTGAACACATCAGAAGAGTGAAGGCAAAAAAATCCCCTGGATATGATCTAATAAACGGCAGAGTCCTTAGAGCACTGCCTGACTCCACCATAGACTACATAACTATGGTGTACAACGCCATGCTCCGCATCCGGCACTTTCCAGCCTGCTGGAAGCGCGCCGTGATTGTGATGATTCCTAAGCCTGGCAAACCCGTGGGAGAAATTGAGTCGTACAGACCAATTAGCCTGTTGCCAGTACTCTCCAAAATATTCGAAAGAATATTTCTGGAACGAGTACTGACACATCTGGGACGCCAGGAGGCCATTCCAAACCATCAGTTTGGCTTCAGGAGACAGCATGGAACACCGGAACAGGTTCACAGAGTTGTGCACCATATCCTTGGAGCCTTTGAAGAAAAGATGTACTGCTCTGCCGTCTTTTTAGACATCAAACAGGCGTTTGATCGAGTTTGGCACCTGGGACTGCTGCAGAAAGTGAGGACCACCCTTCCAGCCCCATTTTTCGCGTTGCTATCCTCATACCTTATTGGAAGAACCTTCCAAGTGTCAAGGGGGCAAACAGTATCCTTGACTAGACCAATTATGGCTGGAGTACCACAGGGTAGTGTTCTAGGCCCAACACTTTATACTTTATTCACAGGAGATATGCCAACTCCCGAGCCAAATATAGGAAGTACAGATGCAGTACTCATAGCGACCTATGCAGATGACACCGCCATCTTATCACGTCACGTATCTGCGCAAGAAGCTTCAGACTCACTACAAAAATATCTGGACTCTTTCGGACGCTGGGCAAAACGGTGGTGTATCACCATTAATGCACAAAAGTCTGTACATACTACCTTCGCCACTAGAAGAGGAGATTGCCCAAGCGTTGCATTGGGGCCCACTATTCCCAAAGCCTCAAAAGTAAAGTACCTTGGTATCACTCTTGACAGAAGGCTGACTTTTAAAGCGCACATAAGTCAAGTAACCTCAAAATGCAAAAGCAAGCTAAAAACCCTCGACTGGATGCTGAGAGCTTCAAGCAAGTTGTCTTACAGCAGCAAGGCCGCCATCTACAAGGCAATAGTTGTCCCAACCTTCGTATATGGTATCTCTCTATGGGGCTCCTCGGCGAAGACTACAAGGAACAAAATTCAGACCCTGCAGAATAAAGCACTACGCAGATGGACTGGAGCCAGCTGGTTTGTAAGAAACTCAGTCTTACATAGGGATTTAGCAATTCCCACAGTTGCTGAACTCATTGGGCGACACAGTTCAAGATACGCGGACAGACTTGCAGCGCATCCTAACCATCTCGCAAGCAACCTGGCTATAAACAACAATAGGCGAAGACTGAAGAGATTGCATCCTCTAGACAATATTAGAACTAATTAAGATAGTAGCTACAAGTGCAGAATAATTGGCATATCTGCCCTCCCATTAGTTAAGGTTTAGAGCTAAATGCGCTATAGAGTCTAAGACAATAAGCTGCAACAAAATAAAGAAATAAAAACGAAAAAAAAAAAAAAAAAAAAAAAAGAAGAACAAGTGTTTTTTTTAAGGGTATTGGTGAAGTGCTAAGTTTTTATGTGGATATATTCATATACCACTGTACATATGTGAGTGAGAGTTTTTGTATGCATATGTACCACTCTACATATGTGAGTATATGCGTTTATGTGTGTGTATGTAACGCAACTGGCAGCAGTCGAGTATGCCTATAGCCGGCATAATAACTTACAGAGGTCTTTACAAGCCATTGTATAACTGGATGTATAGCTAGGAACTCCAAGCCCTGCACCTGATGCGGTTCCAAGCTATGCGGGCACTTCATGTCAATCAGAACAGCAACAATTTTCTCTACAAGCGCACTGCAAATGGAAGTCAATTTAATATTTTCTATATATGTGTATATATGATATGGCTGCTCTAACATCTTTTGGCCAATCGTTAAGTTTTCATGGAAGAGCAAATCGACGTCAACATCGTAATCGCAGCATTCAATGCACCAGGTCATGCCACCTACAACTTTGTCAAAGGCGGATAAGCCCTTGATGCGTGCTCTATAGTAGCCGGCAGCGACAAGCATATCAAATGTATCCAACTCTTTGGCGGCAGCATCCGAATCCTCACGGCGTTCCACCTGCCAAAAAAACAATACAAAATTAAAACTTGGCTATTGGATTTGTTTACACACAAAACTGGATGTAGCCACCTGAATTTCGCGACCATCTGCATCATAGCGCGTTGCCAACTTGACGTTGGGCAAAATCTTGGAGAACACATCGCGATTAGCCATGTACAACAATAATTACATACTATTATAAATAAATAAAAGAAGAAAATGCAAAAATGCCCATGGCTCCTCTGATGAGCCCGACACATTAACTATAAACAAGGTGTGTACACACTGCAAACCCATAATTGAATTTATATCGTTGGTATTTTATTATCGATATCGTCCATATTTATTAATGTTTTTGTTGTGTACACACTAAAAACCGGCGCACGCTATTTTTGATTAAAATGAATTACTATGTTTGCCTGCATCAGGAAGGAATTAGCAGTATACCTAAAATAATACAAAAAGCCCATGCAAATAACTATAATGTGGTGGCCACCTCGATTAACGCAAATATGCTGCCCATGGATCCATACGAAACGGATCCCACATATCCGGCAACTGTGTTAAATGCCGTCGACTGGAACTCTAAGGTACTTTTCCAAGTATCCGATGTGGATGTGGACTCGCCCAATGCAAAGCTATGTGAATATTCGAAAGCTATGCTGTTGCGCGATGTCACTTGGGCAGAGCACTTACAAAATAATGGAAACATAATGGTACGCCTAAGAGGACCCAAGAATGACAATTTGGCGGAGATTATTAAGTCAAGGACGAAGGGTTTGTTTGCTCTTGATGTATCGTGATATTTCGAACAATTAATGTATTTTATATTTCAGTAAGCTGGTTTATGCATGTGCCCATCACCAATCCCGAATTGTCCACCTTTGAGCATCGTAAAGATGCCACTGAGACAGAGATTGAAGAAGCGCAACAAGTGGATCCTTGGAATTGGTGGAACGAACTACGTTTCGCTATTAAACATAATCCCAAGGTGAAAGTTGTGCTGGAGCTGAGCGACTCCGATCGACCCAGTCGTGAGTGTGTTCGCCGTTGGCTAGGTGAACCCATCGAAGCTATCATCATTCCATCCAGTTTATTTGTTCTGAATCGATCCAATTATTATGTGCTCCATAAGGAATGGCAAGCGATTGTTGGCCACTTCATTTCTGTGAGAGCCAACATAATTATCTCCACAAATACCAATGATAAGGCTATCTCGCAATATGCGGATTATATCAAGAAACTGATCAGCGATCATGGAGATACGCACGATTTAATTAAGTAACCATATAGATCTATTGATTTCTTGTATACAATCTTACATATATAAATATTACAGCTATGAGAACATGTTGGAAATACCGCTGCAGCCGCTGTTCGATAATCTGGATAGCTACACCTATGAAGTCTTCGAAACTGATCCGGTCAAATATAAGTTTTACCAGGATGCCGTACAGCAGTTGCTTTTAGATCGCGTTAGTGAAGAGGAAGCTAAGCGCAAGCTGGTCAGCAAAGAAAACTTGCCACAAACCAAATTTCTTTTAAATTATATATATTTCTTTCACAGACTGTCGTTATGGTTCTTGGAGGTGGGCGTGGTCCATTAGCACGTGCTGTATTCAATGCAGCGGAGATAACGAAACGCAAAGTGCGCGTCTATATTATAGAAAAGAATCCCAGTGCCATACGTACACTGTCTAACATGGTGAAGACATTGTGGTCAAAGAAGGGTAAAACACGAATATAATACTCCTGATATCATAGAGTAATATTTTATGTTTTTCAGACGTTCACATATTCTCCAAGGATATGCGCGACTTCTCGCCTCCGGAATTGGCTGACGTGCTAGTCTCTGAACTGCTGGGTTCATTTGGCGATAACGAGCTGTCACCCGAGTGCCTCGATGGCGCTTTGAAACTACTTAAGCCAGATGGCATTAGCATACCCTGTAAATCAACATCGTATATTAATCCTATTATGTCTGCTGTGCTGCATAATAATGTCTGCCAACTGCCATCCACTGTGCCAGTCTTCAACTGTGGCTATGTGGTGCTGCTTAAGAACATTTACCACATCGATGAGCCGCAAACGTTATTCGAATTTACGCACCCTAATCGGGACCCGAATATTGATAATACACGCCACAAAAAGCTCTCCTTCACAGCTCAAAAGGATTGTGTACTGCATGGCATTGGCGGCTACTTTGATACTGTGCTGTATAAAAATATAACCCTAAGCATTAATCCTGCGACACACACGCAGGGCATGTTCTCCTGGTTTCCTATGTTCTTCCCAACGGTAAGAAGTAGTTAAACTAATTTTTATTGTTAAAAGCCACAATTTTAAATGTATGTTGCAGCAACCGCTAACTATCAAGGCAGGCGAAACAATTTCTATTAAATTCTGGCGCCGCGTGGACACAGAGAAGGTGTGGTACGAATGGCAGCTTTGCGAACCTAAAGAATTCGAGCCACACAATTCGGGTGGCATGGGCTATAATATGCGCTTATAAGCTTTACTGCAATAAACTCTATGGGGAGTCATATAAAAAGGGGGTTAGCCTGAAGCCCTTCGCTGCTTTGGCTGTAAAACATTGTAATTTCGAAATAATGCTACTGTAATAGAAAACACAACACCAAAAGAAATAAGAATCATAAAAACTGTGAGTTTTCCTTAAGTTTATATTTAAAATATTTAGTAAATATGTTTAGATATTAGATACATATATTTATATTATATTGCATAGTATTCTATTCCAAAGCTTCTCAAGTTCGCCAGGCCAATGTGGCTGGTCTCTTTCAGGTCGTTGGCATTCCGCCTTCCCTTGCTACAAATGATTTTAATGCTGAACTGCATTCTGTTGCAAGCTTCTTGACAAAGAATGTCAAACTTGTGTCTTGACCCGTTTCTTTCCCTTTTCTTTACAATTATCTATGCCATCAGCTAAAGTGTAAACTTCAGCAGCAGCCCTCAACCATCCAGGCAAAAGAGCCAATTCCTATCGAGGAGCACTTAAATATACAATAAGGATGATATTTTACAACATTATTATATCTTTATTACACAACTGTAACGGAAAACGAAAAAAAAAATCAAAAACGAGGTGGAAAAAACACTCAAGCATAAATTGTCTGCGACTTTTATTTAAGTTTATATTTGAAAAGTTTATAAATATGCTTATACTTATTTATGTGTCCTTAAATATCTGTGGGGTTTTCTTCTTGTTGTAAAATTTAGTTAATAATTTCCTCTGGTTTACTTTCCTCTCATTTATTTAATTAGTTTTATTTATATATAAAGCGCTGCACATGATCGCAAAACGACATTCTTTAAGCGAAGGCAATTATTTTACGGTTAGGTTATAATAGATTAAAGCGGAGCTAAACTGAAACTTTACGGAAACTGGGCGGCAATATAGGTGTCAGGAGTTAGGAGTTAACAGCGCCAACCTGAGCCAATGTGGCACCACCGGCGGCACCGCCGCCACCGCCGCTGCGTATTGCAATCGCACCCTGGCCAGCCCGAATGGGCTTGGCAATTTGTGCCTGTGGTCCTCGTCGTCCCAAATGCTTTTGCCGCACCGCCTCCTTGATGCGATCCACCTCGTACTGATAACGCTTGCGATCCCGCATCGCACCCTCCTTGGCCTCCTTCAACGCCGTCTCTAATGCCTTCACACGTTCCATTGTTGTGCGCAAACGCTTCTCCAGCTTGGGCAGCTCACAGCGCAGGTCGGCGTTGTCTCTGACCAGCTGTTTGTGCACCTTGGTCAACTGATCGAGATTGTTCTCCAGGAAGGAGATCTTTTGCTTTTGAGCCAATGATCCACCATCCTCTTCGCTCTCCTCGTTCACCACGTTCTTGCGAATGCGTTGCTAGAATTGCAATAATAGAAATTAGGAAAGGTGTATAATGCGAAATAGTTAGACATGATTGTACCTGCAGATCCTGTACGAAGAGTTTGCGCAGATTGTGCAACGTTTGCAGCTCCTTGGCGACGGTGTCCTCCAGACCCTTGAGGTCCTTGCGCGCCTGCTCGCGACGCTCGTTGGTTAATATAATGTCCTGCAATTTGTTCGATTTGTCTGCCTCCTCCTGCTTGAGTTTCTCATAGTCGACGGTCATCTGCTGATGCGCCAGCAACAGCTTCTGATGCACATCCTTCATCTCGTTCATTTCGTGCTGCTTGGCGGTGATCTCATCGCGCAGCTCTGATACCTGTTTAGTGTGCGCTTCGCGCAGCTCATCCATTTGCGAATCGAACATGGAGCGCAGCTCCTCGGCGCGTTGTTTCTCCTCGGCATTTACTGCGGACACATGCTCAGCTGCCTTTAGCTTGGCGCACTCCTCACGCAGTGAGTCGATCTGCTCCTCGAGATTACGCTTCTTGTTCTCGGCCTCGCGCATCGATTCCTGCAGCGACTTCATGCGCGCTTCGTGCTGCGAGATGAGCAAACGATATTCGCCCAGATCCTTTTCATACTCGGAGATCTTTTTGTTGGAATCCACCTGCTGGGTTTCCATGTTGGCGCAGCGTTGCGCAATGTTCTTTGCCTCCGTTTTCATTTTGCTAATGTACAGACGCGCCATGGTGAAGTCCTCCTCCACTTTGGCGGCATCGGTGCCTGCTAGAGCACTCATCTTGAGATCGATTGCGGAATCGCCAGGCGCTATGGCCTGACCAACTTCGCCCAGATCGCGCAGTAGATTGGTTAGCATTTCGGTGATTCGTTTCTTTTGGTGTGTGGACATATCCTTCAGCTGTTGCAGCTCCGTTGATGTGGAATTGAATTGAGTTTTATTTTGTTGAAGTTCTTCGTTGAGGGCATCGATATCCTTGTTCTTGTTGTCGATCTCCTGCGACTTCTGGTCGTAGTTAACGGCCAGCTCCTCCAATGCCTGCAGCACCTCCTTGACCTCCTCCTTGGCCGATTCGTTCTCCTGCTGTATGCGCGCCATCTCCGATTGCAGCGCCTCGTACTCACGTCGGGCATTTGCAATCAGCTCCTCCTGCTCCATGACCTGCTCCTTCAGCTGCTCCGCATACTGGCTCTGCTGATTGATTTCCTCATCCTTGTCATCCAGCTGCTGATAGAGACGTTCGCACTCTGTTGCCAAACGAGCGCGCTCGTCTGCTGCCACCGACGAGGACATGTTGGCAATGGCCGTACGTTGAGCCGCGGCAGCTGCCGCTGCTGCAGCACCAGCTGCTTGTGCAGCGGCCTCCACATCGAGATTGGACGTGCTGGCCTCCATGAGATCCTCCATGTTGATTTGCTCCTCCGCCTTGACCGTTTCGCCGGCGCGCCAACGCGCCAGCTCCAGTTCCAGCTTCTCCACCTTGCCCTTGAGCCGTCCATTCTTTTCCTTCTCCTTTTCGTAGCGACGCTTCCATTCCTCGGCGGTCAGCTCCTCGTTGACACAGACAACATTCTTCACTGTCTTGGCGCGACGACCAAAGTCTAGCGTTGACTTCGTTTCCGATTCGTTAAAGCTAGCCGGCGAGCAACAGATGACAATTGTTGTGCGTGCATTGCCACCTAGCGACTCCTGCAGGATACGCGTTAGCTTGGAGTCACGATACGGTATGTGCGTTTTGTTGCCATCCGCCAGCGCTGATATTACGTTGCCCAGCGCCGATAGCGACTTGTTAATGTTCTTCGCTTCATCCAGAACTGTGCCCTCGGCACCTGTTTTCGAGACCTTTTCTGAACCGGCCAAATCAACCAAATACAGCTTGCCGGATAACTTCTTTTGATTCTCCAGATTCTCCTGCTTTACATTAATAAGGAACACCGAATGCGAACGCGAAGAGTGCTCGTTCATGTCTAAAAAGATTTTAGAGATGTGTTAGACATAATTGAAGAATTAAGATTAAGTTTAAATGATTTACTTACTTGTCACGGCAATGTGACGATTGGATTTGCCCTCCTCGATCACCTCGAACACATCCTCGGGCGAGGAAACAAAACGCTCCGTGGCCCCCTTGACGAAGGGCACTCGATTTTTGTCTTCATGCACGCTCAAATTTACCTTAGAAACATCGAGCAAATCTCTAATCTTGTCCATGTAGATCTCATAGTACGAGACCTTGATGTGAAACTCCAGATTCTCTTCCATGGCGTAGATGTGATTGAAAATGTCGTTAACAATGCGTGGAATGATACCCTGTTTCACCGAATCACCGATGACGCCCTCCATTGTGTGCGTCTTGCCGGAGGATGTTTGACCATAGGCAAATATCGTTCCATTGTAGCCAGCGAGGACATCCGTGACAATCGATTTGGCCGCCTCATTGTACACCTTCTCCTGCGATGCGTTCGGCTTGAAGACTTTGTCAAACAGATAGACTTTACCCTATAAAAAGAATGAAAGAGTACACGAATCTTGTAGCATAGTGTATATTTTTAAATTGTCTCTACCACAGCATGCGCTAGTAGTTCCAAACCCCTTCTTGCTTTCCCCAAAATAAAAGCTGCTTTCAAATCATTTTCAATGCATCACGGATCGTAATTATATGATGAGCAAAGAGGCAGAAGCACAACAAATGAGTGGAACTTGAAAATTAATGAATAACCAAGTAGTAGTGTAAAAGAAAAAGCTAAAAGAGAGCAGTCAGTACGACGAGTATAGAGATATGAATAATAGAAAAAATTCAGCTGGAACCATACGACGTGTCAGTACTCTACAGACAACTTTCAATGAATAGGAAATTAGAGATATATTTTATATTAATTTTTTAATATATTTAAATCATATTTTGATTTGTTACTAACATTTCCTATTACATTTTCAGTAATTTTAAACTATATACAAATTTCTTTAATATTTTGTTATTCACATAATTTCTTATAGCCTCTTAGTTAAACTGTTTTTCACAGCTGTTAATTAATTTCATTCTAAATCCAATCAACTTTTTTTTGCATGTAATTCGATGCCAGTTAGTCAGTGTCTAAACAAATATTTACCGGGAAATGCAAAGTAATACAAACTGGTGAAATATATATACATATATTAACAACAAACATACATAAATATGTTTGTAAAATAGCTTTTCGAGCTATGACTAAGAATTCTAAACAAAAACAAATTCTAATGGACCAAATGATTTGAAAAGCTGATTAACTCTTGCTGCTTGGCGAAGGGCATAAACACACACACACACAAAGGCACGTACACATAGATATTTATTTATATATACTTTTATGTTATATGTATAAGTACAACTAACTTTATCATGGCGGCCATAACTTGAGACAGCTGAACTTTTGGGGCATTAATAATATTCAGTAAAATCGAAAACATGTATATTCATGTTTTTGTTTCTTTTTGCCGACTTGCGTGGCATGACTCACTCGACTGGCAGCAGCTGGTGGCAAGTAGCAAACATTCGAGGGCGATGTTTTGTTTTGGGGCCAAAGCTAACTGAACACACACACACATACAAACAATCCCACACACACACACAGGTATATAGAGTACCTACCTAGTTTTATGTTTGCTAAGTGAAGTTGGGCGTCTAGGTAGAATGTGCATATACATTTATATTGCCATATCAAGTCAAATGGCAATGCAAATTCAAAATAAGATAAAAAAATCAACATGCCCGGCAAAACGCTAGTGGGTGGCACAGGTCACACACACACACTTATACATAAACATAAGCGCCAGGTTGCCACCGTGCGTGGAAAATCAATTGAGCGCCTGCAATTTTGGACATTTAGTGGCAATTGCGGTAACAGTTTTTAAAGTGATTTGGCAACAAAATGAAAAAATTGCACAAGGCACGCGCAAACATTTGGAGCGCTAATTAGTTATAATACATAAGCAGAGCAACAAATATACATATATGAATGTTACTCTCTTTCACTCAGTGGAACTACTACACACATATGTATTTGAATGTGTATGTGCTTTTATACGTGTGTGTGTGCGTGTGTAATTGTGGCGGTAAGGAAAGGCTAATGTACTGCGCTAATGTTAGACAATGTTCGGCATGACGTCACCGCCACAGAACCGCAACGGCACGCAGAAATATGTATATATACATTTAACTATATAGCGTATGCATGTGTGTGTTCGTAATTTAATTGAATTGGCTTTTAAATATTGTTTAATTACCGCTATGGATATGCAATTCTCCTCCGCATTGTTTGGAAACCTGACAACAAACTTTGAGCCGGCCCGCTCCTCGCTGTCATTCAGGGGCCGAAAGCGACAAACCACTTTAATGCTGTCCTCAGCGGGTATTTCACGTTCCGCAGACATTTCAATGCAATTCCGTCACCCACACACTTTTGTACAATACTTGGTAGCTATTGTTGTTGTAGTTGCAGCTAATGTTTTTTTCCAGCCAAGTCGATTTAGCTTGGAGCAGATGCGTCGCAATGTTAGTACGTCAACTTTAACGTTCAGCGCTATTAATCGATGTAATTAAAAATATGAACATTCAAAGCAAATATGAAACACTGAAACAACGACAACGACGATGACGAAGTCACCAGCACTGATTGTGACTTCGATGTACCGTCACACCGCTCTCCGTTTTATTTTCTTTTTTCGCTATCTGCTTGCTTGCTTGTTCTCGCAGCGAAATTGGGGCTCGAAATGCAGAGAAAATTTTTGTGGTTATACCAGACAGCAGTCACAATCTCACAATCAATCGGATGCAAATGTTGTTGTTATTACTGATGTTGCTGCTGTTAATGTAACTGCAGCGGCCCGTATTTGATAATAAGCTCGCTTGTTTGGTGGCCCGGAATGTTTTGCAGCCCGTTAAATGCACTCTCATGCGTTGTGCTTTTAAATTTGTTCCACTTAAATTGTATTTTTTAGCTTCAATATCACGTTGAATAAAAAACTATTTGTTGGATAGATGTTCGATAGATTGTGGCGGTCGGCTGATATATTTTCGATAGATTACACAGGCTGGCAGAAAAAGCGTTGACACTGCTCGTTAGACATAAGTATTCATTTTTAATTATGTGGTCAGCACAAGTATGTTATCTTATGTAAATATGTATTCTTAATTAATTACATATTACCTAAATCATATAAAATGCTTATATTATTTGTTAAAGTTATTTCGTTAACTGAATGTTTTTCGGTACGTATCGACTATCGGTCTTATGAAATTTTCCAACACTTTTAACATTTTTGAATTACCTGCCAAAAGTGCTCGGTGACTTTTAACAGACATTAATTTGTTTTTTAACGTGTTTACAACATATAACATTTGGCATACAAAACTAAAAAATTTGAAATTGTTCAATACGAAATAGACCAGTTACCATAGCCTAAGAAGGGACTATGCTATGGTAAATTGATAGTAAAAAGGCTGGCTAGTTGACAAAATTTTGGTTTAAACATGGTGGCCACCCGTCAGAACCACACGGGTTTCTCAAAAGCCATATTTAAGTTGATACGTCTTTATCGAGCTAATGATTGTCTATGGAATCCCAAGTCATCGAGTTTTAAGAACTCAGAAATGAAAGAAAGAGCCTGGCAACGCATTTCCAAATTTTTCAATTACGGACTAAGCGTCGATGAGGTTAAATTACAAATATTATTGTTACGTCATTATTTTACAACAGAACTTTTGGCTATGAAGCGTTGCAAACTGGGTGGATATACTCATGTCCCGAGGCAATCTTATTTCAAAGAACTACAGTTTCTCAAAGAAGCAATGGGGCCCAGTGTTAATGTTAAGACTACTGAGGTAGGTAATTTAATGGCCTACGTGGCGTGTGTAAAAAAATATGCTATTTGTATTTCAGTCAGAGGCGCAGGATCGAATCAATTGCATCGTTGAGGATGCCTTTCTGTTGAGCAGCAGCGAGAACAGCATCCGCAGCGAACAAGTTGATTTTCAGATCCCTTCATCAAATGAACGTAGAATTATAAATACTGAGCTTCAATTGCTAGAATCAGAATCTGAGAAATTACCTTTGCCTTCGTTTGACAAGAGTGCTAGACAGCTGCAAAGACGATGTCAATCAGGCTGCGATCGTTGGCATCAACAAACCTATCACGATGAGCATGACAATTATATAAGACAACCAAGTAGATCAGCAGATGCAAGTGAACACTATCATAATTGTGGCTATATTGGCACTCAGAGCGTCGATAGTGAATTTTTTAATCAGGCTTTTAGTAATCAATGGGCCTTATCGTATGCCCCGGAAATGTTTGGCAATCATAGTACCTCACTCAATACAAATCTGGGTGCCCAAGCGGTGTATCCAAAAGCTTTTCCAGCCAGAAAAAAAGTGCTCACCGGACGATATAGAAATAAGCCAAAGCAACCAGCTGAGGTATATAACGAGGGCGAGGATTGGCCAAAATATGTTGGACCAAATGTACAATTTAGATGTACTAATGATAATGGTCACAATAAGTATAGAAGTGTCAGTCGTCACAAATCGGGAGTTGAGCAGAGGTATCCAAGTAATAAATGCGCTGGTCTAAATTGTCAAATGGGACAGCCAATTTATCCGGTTGAAAATAATGATTTGACTGGTTATGGGAATTTTCAACAGAATCAATATGAAGTCGATTGTGGTTGTAATACAAATTTAACAAGTCGAAATCCATACGATCCAAATTACAATCAAATGCCAGACAATGCTAATGATCGATTGACTGAAACCGAACTGGGAGTCTATGAGTCCGATATACCACCTCAATGGGAATGCAATGAAAGTAATTGTCCTAATTTAAAATTAAATAATCCAATCAATAGCAACGCGCTTAATCAGAGTCGAAGACGACTGGAAAATGCTCAAGCATCCATAGTATCGCAGGGGACAGAATATCAAAATGGAAGACGACTGACACCAATCATTCGTAGAACCTGTGACGTCGACGATGAATATGGCAACGGACAACATTGCAGTAATCATCCAGAAATGCAAGGTATTGACTGTGAACCGACTGTATTATGTAAAGTTAGAGCGCACGTACCATCTAAATCAACAATTGACTCGATGCAAGTATCTGGGGCATTCGACGATTCTCCAAAAATTATTTACTGTACTGACAGAGACATATTGAACGCTCCCAATGCGATTCAGTGTCCCTTTAAAAAACCGAAACAAGTTCAACAATATGACGATGATAGGCAAATGCAACGAAATGACTCTAAGCAAGAGAGAAACCGGCAAAGTCGATCTCGCGGAATGGAGAATACATCAACACAGAATCGTCAGTCAATGAGCTTTTCAAAGGCCAGGGAGAGTGCTACGGGTAAACAAACGAAATCCCCCAGAAGTAGTTTAAGGAGCAATGTTCAACAGAGTAGCAAATCGAATTATTCTTCGGAAGTGGTACTGGAGGACACTCAGCAAACGAAACTTGATAGAATGTCAGAAAATTCCAGAGGTAGTAGACGTGGTCTTGATAAGCAAAGATCTAGAAATAGTGAGTACGAGAATAGGAGGCAGTCAGTCTTGGAGCGTGAGACCAAACCACAGAACAAACGGATGAGCAGTGATGTGTACGAATCGGAGCATTCGCGAAGAGAACGTGAGAAAATGTGTTCATGCTATAATTGTCATTCGGGCAAAGTTTCCCGAAGCAGTCATAAATATCCAGAAAATAGGCGTTACAGTAGTGCCGAAAAGGACTTCTATAAAAGAGAGGATTACAGAGAAACGCGAGAATATAATCCTGATATGCCTGAGAGGTTGCAGACTAGTCCAAGAAATTCCGACAGACGAAGTGATCATTATAGTCGTGCTAGTGCTCCAATACCTGAGAATTACAGAGATATGCCAGAGTACAATCCTGATATGCCTGACAGGTTGCAATCTGGGCCAAGGAATGTCGATAGACGAAGCGATCAGTATAATTCTGCTAGAGCTTCAATGCCAGAGAATTACAGACAAACGCCTGAGTATAGTCCTTATATGCCTGAGAGATTGCCAACTGGATCAAGGAACTTCGGTAGACAAAGTGATGAGTATGCTCGAGCTGAAGATCGTAGTTCTGAACGTGTAATGAAACATCGAAGCCAATCCCAGGAGAAACATGGAGGAAAGCCCAATTTATGTTGCTATCGTAGTAAATATGATGACAATCAAGTTAAAGAACCAGTATCTACATCTTCCAGATATCGTAATGATATGAATGACGACGAGACGTACAATGCCTGCGTTAAGGAATGCTTATCTAGAAAATATCCAAGCGATGCAGATACTGTAGAAAGACTTGAAGAGGACGAAAACTTCAGAAGAAGTGACAATACGAATCAAGAATATCAGATCGAAGAGGACTATGAAAATCAACAGACAATTCGAACTACCGAGTATATACCTTGTCATTCTGACTGTCCACTTCGCCACGAGTGTATCATATACAAGGATTGTAATACTCAGGAATATCCGGGTGACTATGAAAGTCAACTAAATAATCCAGCTAAATCAGCTTGTCATTCCGAGTGTCCAGTTCGCAAGGAGAGTACCAGATACGAGGATCGTAATAGTCGAAAGAGTTCGACTGAAGAAAAGGTTTTCGAAATTCAGCAGGCGATTCGAGCTAATCCGTCTTGTCACCATGAATGTCCGGTTAGCAAGGAGAGTACCATATCCCAGGATTTTAATAGTCGGAAGAATCCCACTGAAGAAATGGACTTTGAAAATCAGCCGGCAAATTCTGCTGATAAATATTTGGAATGTCACACTGAATGCCCGGCTCGTCAGGAGGGTTTCCGACGTAGTCAGAATAATAGTCAGCTTCAGGATGCATCTCCAACATATCAAAATGATGAGAGAGTCTTAGATAAAACTTACGAAAGTGATAATCAAAATAACTATGAGGAACTGGAAAGTTTTTGTGAGCAAGGCCAGCTATCCGAAAATGACCAGTGCAAAGTGGAGCAAACTAAAGATGACGACAATGTTAAAGCGGTTAAGGATTGTATACCAGAAAGATTCACCGACCAACAAATCGCTTTGGAGAACATGCTAGATTGCGAATGTCCAACAGACGAGGATGACTTACAGATGCTGATTACCAAAAATACACAAGAAACTGAAGCGGCTAAGGGGGAGAACACAGCCAACCTGCGCGAGGCATCCGTTGAGACGGACATTGATATGTCTCTGCATGATAGAAATAATCCACAAAAAGGAATTGCTTGTCAATGCTCCGTAGGAGGCATAGGAACGACTGCGGTGCCTCAGAAAGGGTTGCGGGAGCAATCTGCCAAATTAATTGAGGATAATGAGTCCACTCTTAAGCCCAGGCCACCAAAGGTGAACAGAAAAAAAATCTGCTCATGCAAGCCGCCTGTTTTATATAAAAAGAAATGTAACAAAGCGCCGGCTTGTCCGATCAAAATCGATAATGTTAAACTGAGATCGTCCTCACCGGTAGGTACGAAATCTCGTTCGTCTAGCAAACGACATAATCGAGTGGAGGATGATAACATAAACAGTAAGTTGAAACATAATTAAAGTCATCTTATTTGATCAGCCACATTACCTAGAATTACAGGGCCGAGGCAGCTTACGCCGCAATCATATTTTCGGAATACATAACGGCGGCATAAACCTTGATCTAGGCAACGAGCATGCCGGCTATAAGATACAGGAACAGACAGTGACATCCCAGCAATGCGAAGGCATGTCCATAATATGCTCGTTTGAAGTGCCATCCGAATTAGCCGAAAAGACAATTGATATGCTGAATAATCACATTGCAAACGCACCGCGATCCGATGTTAAGATTACATGCTCACATAAAAGCTTGTCAGGAGAAAAACCAACGAAGAAATGCGTATCTAAGTGTTCTGCTGCTTTGGTGTGCAACCCAACCAATCGATATAGCAGCAATCCGTTCCTAAGGGCCAATTGCACGGCTTCCAAAGGCAACATAATTGTATTGCATCCTCCGACCCAAGGCTTTCGGCCCTCAAAGTATTCGTTCAGCATGAAGGATGAACAGTGACAATTGCCAAGCAGCAAAGCTGTATAGCTATATATTCGTCACCAATGCCAACCAGATCGAAACAACACCAATAATGTAATAACTGAGCCAATCCAAGCCTAATCTAAACATAGCCCCAGTTCCTTTACACATAACACACCAGCAACCAAAGCTTCCATAAAATGTCATTCAACAACTAAAAACTCAACTGCTGTGGGCTGTTTTGTGTGTGAGCAAGGAAGCAGAGGGATATATTTGCAGTACCCTAGTGTTAAGCCCGTTTTAGGGGCGTTACGCATCAGTGCTATATGAGCACACCATTCACTTACTCTTCAGTCAGGGAGTTTTGGCCCAAAACTTATTGTTTTCCTATCAATGAAGTTTTTCATTCTTCCAATTAATTTATGAGTATTTGCCGAAGGCATTGAAGCGTAACCATCTAATTGATTTTTTATGTAGCTATGGTACTTGAGAGCGAAAAAAGCTTCGACTCTGAATTTATAGAGTTCTTAAAAACTGCCTCAGTATAGGTGATTGAAGAGAGGGAGATGTACATCTTCGAAGTTATCATTATGGTATACCTATCATACTTTGAAGTAGAATATATATTATGCAGATCTTCATATATTTGCTTTATGTCCGAGCGAATTGAAGTATATTTAATACAGATCATATAGAATATCCTTTATATTTATATAGAATGAATGTACGAAGTATAAATTAAACGGATAGATTGGCTTGCTTTACAGAGCTTTAACTTTATACTTCTGAGTATATCAAAGAATAGCTTATATATAACCTGATACATATTTAAATATATAGTATCGCATATCATATATCACATAGCTCTCCCATTGTTCTTATGCTGCTCTCATATAAGAAAGTAATTTCCACAACTTGGAAAAAATACTCAACTGCACACATTTAGTTTTCATTTTTACCATTTATTTATTTAGTACAATATCATTTATTATAATGCTAATAGTTAGAAGAGAAATCACAAACCTTAAATCTTAGATTCAATTTAAACGCTTCATAGAACTAAATATGAATCGAGTATCAATTGGGAGATGTCAGCTCGAAGCTGCTTTCACTGCCGCCGAAGATCGTATAGTCAGCGGCATCCACATCCTCGCCATTGTTGTCCAACAGATCGCATAAGGCCAAGATGTATGATTGGGCCATTTGTAGGGTCTCGAACTTGGATAGCTTTTGATCGATCGACGGCGCTGGCACCACCTCACGCAGTCGATCGAAGGCCTCGTTTAAGCCGTTCATGCGCTTGCGTTCGCGTGCATTGGCTGCCTGCCGGCGACGCTTCTGCACGGTGGGACTGAGGATCAAGGCACTGGAATCGGATAAGCGACGTGTCTCCAGCTTGCGCTTCTTCAATGGCTGCTCACTCTCCACGCTCCATGCCACACTCGCCGGCATGGCAAGCGCATCATTGTAGTTGGGAATGTCAGAAAATTCCAGAGGTAGTAGACGTGGTCTTGATAAGCAAAGATCTAGAAATAGTGAGTACGAGAATAGGAGGCAGTCAGTCTTGGAGCGTGAGACCAAACCACAGAACAAACGGATGAGCAGTGATGTGTACGAATCGGAGCATTCGCGAAGAGAACGTGAGAAAATGTGTTCATGCTATAATTGTCATTCGGGCAAAGTTTCCCGAAGCAGTCATAAATATCCAGAAAATAGGCGTTACAGTAGTGCCGAAAAGGACTTCTATAAAAGAGAGGATTACAGAGAAACGCGAGAATATAATCCTGATATGCCTGAGAGGTTGCAGACTAGTCCAAGAAATTCCGACAGACGAAGTGATCATTATAGTCGTGCTAGTGCTCCAATACCTGAGAATTACAGAGATATGCCAGAGTACAATCCTGATATGCCTGACAGGTTGCAATCTGGGCCAAGGAATGTCGATAGACGAAGCGATCAGTATAATTCTGCTAGAGCTTCAATGCCAGAGAATTACAGACAAACGCCTGAGTATAGTCCTTATATGCCTGAGAGATTGCCAACTGGATCAAGGAACTTCGGTAGACAAAGTGATGAGTATGCTCGAGCTGAAGATCGTAGTTCTGAACGTGTAATGAAACATCGAAGCCAATCCCAGGAGAAACATGGAGGAAAGCCCAATTTATGTTGCTATCGTAGTAAATATGATGACAATCAAGTTAAAGAACCAGTATCTACATCTTCCAGATATCGTAATGATATGAATGACGACGAGACGTACAATGCCTGCGTTAAGGAATGCTTATCTAGAAAATATCCAAGCGATGCAGATACTGTAGAAAGACTTGAAGAGGACGAAAACTTCAGAAGAAGTGACAATACGAATCAAGAATATCAGATCGAAGAGGACTATGAAAATCAACAGACAATTCGAACTACCGAGTATATACCTTGTCATTCTGACTGTCCACTTCGCCACGAGTGTATCATATACAAGGATTGTAATACTCAGGAATATCCGGGTGACTATGAAAGTCAACTAAATAATCCAGCTAAATCAGCTTGTCATTCCGAGTGTCCAGTTCGCAAGGAGAGTACCAGATACGAGGATCGTAATAGTCGAAAGAGTTCGACTGAAGAAAAGGTTTTCGAAATTCAGCAGGCGATTCGAGCTAATCCGTCTTGTCACCATGAATGTCCGGTTAGCAAGGAGAGTACCATATCCCAGGATTTTAATAGTCGGAAGAATCCCACTGAAGAAATGGACTTTGAAAATCAGCCGGCAAATTCTGCTGATAAATATTTGGAATGTCACACTGAATGCCCGGCTCGTCAGGAGGGTTTCCGACGTAGTCAGAATAATAGTCAGCTTCAGGATGCATCTCCAACATATCAAAATGATGAGAGAGTCTTAGATAAAACTTACGAAAGTGATAATCAAAATAACTATGAGGAACTGGAAAGTTTTTGTGAGCAAGGCCAGCTATCCGAAAATGACCAGTGCAAAGTGGAGCAAACTAAAGATGACGACAATGTTAAAGCGGTTAAGGATTGTATACCAGAAAGATTCACCGACCAACAAATCGCTTTGGAGAACATGCTAGATTGCGAATGTCCAACAGACGAGGATGACTTACAGATGCTGATTACCAAAAATACACAAGAAACTGAAGCGGCTAAGGGGGAGAACACAGCCAACCTGCGCGAGGCATCCGTTGAGACGGACATTGATATGTCTCTGCATGATAGAAATAATCCACAAAAAGGAATTGCTTGTCAATGCTCCGTAGGAGGCATAGGAACGACTGCGGTGCCTCAGAAAGGGTTGCGGGAGCAATCTGCCAAATTAATTGAGGATAATGAGTCCACTCTTAAGCCCAGGCCACCAAAGGTGAACAGAAAAAAAATCTGCTCATGCAAGCCGCCTGTTTTATATAAAAAGAAATGTAACAAAGCGCCGGCTTGTCCGATCAAAATCGATAATGTTAAACTGAGATCGTCCTCACCGGTAGGTACGAAATCTCGTTCGTCTAGCAAACGACATAATCGAGTGGAGGATGATAACATAAACAGTAAGTTGAAACATAATTAAAGTCATCTTATTTGATCAGCCACATTACCTAGAATTACAGGGCCGAGGCAGCTTACGCCGCAATCATATTTTCGGAATACATAACGGCGGCATAAACCTTGATCTAGGCAACGAGCATGCCGGCTATAAGATACAGGAACAGACAGTGACATCCCAGCAATGCGAAGGCATGTCCATAATATGCTCGTTTGAAGTGCCATCCGAATTAGCCGAAAAGACAATTGATATGCTGAATAATCACATTGCAAACGCACCGCGATCCGATGTTAAGATTACATGCTCACATAAAAGCTTGTCAGGAGAAAAACCAACGAAGAAATGCGTATCTAAGTGTTCTGCTGCTTTGGTGTGCAACCCAACCAATCGATATAGCAGCAATCCGTTCCTAAGGGCCAATTGCACGGCTTCCAAAGGCAACATAATTGTATTGCATCCTCCGACCCAAGGCTTTCGGCCCTCAAAGTATTCGTTCAGCATGAAGGATGAACAGTGACAATTGCCAAGCAGCAAAGCTGTATAGCTATATATTCGTCACCAATGCCAACCAGATCGAAACAACACCAATAATGTAATAACTGAGCCAATCCAAGCCTAATCTAAACATAGCCCCAGTTCCTTTACACATAACACACCAGCAACCAAAGCTTCCATAAAATGTCATTCAACAACTAAAAACTCAACTGCTGTGGGCTGTTTTGTGTGTGAGCAAGGAAGCAGAGGGATATATTTGCAGTACCCTAGTGTTAAGCCCGTTTTAGGGGCGTTACGCATCAGTGCTATATGAGCACACCATTCACTTACTCTTCAGTCAGGGAGTTTTGGCCCAAAACTTATTGTTTTCCTATCAATGAAGTTTTTCATTCTTCCAATTAATTTATGAGTATTTGCCGAAGGCATTGAAGCGTAACCATCTAATTGATTTTTTATGTAGCTATGGTACTTGAGAGCGAAAAAAGCTTCGACTCTGAATTTATAGAGTTCTTAAAAACTGCCTCAGTATAGGTGATTGAAGAGAGGGAGATGTACATCTTCGAAGTTATCATTATGGTATACCTATCATACTTTGAAGTAGAATATATATTATGCAGATCTTCATATATTTGCTTTATGTCCGAGCGAATTGAAGTATATTTAATACAGATCATATAGAATATCCTTTATATTTATATAGAATGAATGTACGAAGTATAAATTAAACGGATAGATTGGCTTGCTTTACAGAGCTTTAACTTTATACTTCTGAGTATATCAAAGAATAGCTTATATATAACCTGATACATATTTAAATATATAGTATCGCATATCATATATCACATAGCTCTCCCATTGTTCTTATGCTGCTCTCATATAAGAAAGTAATTTCCACAACTTGGAAAAAATACTCAACTGCACACATTTAGTTTTCATTTTTACCATTTATTTATTTAGTACAATATCATTTATTATAATGCTAATAGTTAGAAGAGAAATCACAAACCTTAAATCTTAGATTCAATTTAAACGCTTCATAGAACTAAATATGAATCGAGTATCAATTGGGAGATGTCAGCTCGAAGCTGCTTTCACTGCCGCCGAAGATCGTATAGTCAGCGGCATCCACATCCTCGCCATTGTTGTCCAACAGATCGCATAAGGCCAAGATGTATGATTGGGCCATTTGTAGGGTCTCGAACTTGGATAGCTTTTGATCGATCGACGGCGCTGGCACCACCTCACGCAGTCGATCGAAGGCCTCGTTTAAGCCGTTCATGCGCTTGCGTTCGCGTGCATTGGCTGCCTGCCGGCGACGCTTCTGCACGGTGGGACTGAGGATCAAGGCACTGGAATCGGATAAGCGACGTGTCTCCAGCTTGCGCTTCTTCAATGGCTGCTCACTCTCCACGCTCCATGCCACACTCGCCGGCATGGCAAGCGCATCATTGTAGTTGGGAATCGACGTCAGCTGCTGCTGCTGTTGTTGGTGTTGGTGTTGCTCCAGGAACTGCCAATCGGGCGTGAGGTAGCTGAGCTGGTTAAATGGCTGCGTTAGATTGTAGTTAGGACTGCCGAGGTACTGTGAGGAGCTGTTGTCCTCCTCCGATGAGTAGTAGCGGCTCATGGTGTGTGTTTGACTGGACGGCTCGAGTGCTGAGCCGCAACTGCTGCTGCTGCTGCTGCCACTGAGACGCGCGTGTGGCACGAGCTGCTGTCAGGCTGGCAAAGCCACCCTTTGGGCTAGTTGTATAAATATTTTTACCGCCGCATTGACCAAGTTTGAGGCAAGCAAATGACCCCTTGCCCAGTCAGTCAGCCAGGCAGCAAGGATCTTCATCATTAACATATCAAGGATCATCAACAGGGGCGGCTCTCTCGCTCTTGTCAGTTTGGGGGTTAGAAGTGCGCTCGCTCTCACTCTCTCTCTCTCTCTCTTTCCGTCTCTCGCTCGCACCCGCCTACTACTTTGACCTTTGCTGCTCCCCTCTCGCCTTGGCACGCGTCATAGCTTGCCAAATTGCCGCTATCATGGCATCTGATCTCTTTTTCTATAATTTGTGACTTTCACGCTCAACAGCACACACTGAGCAGAGCGAGCGAGAGGGAGGGAGGATGAGCTACCGTCTGACTCGACTCGGACTCGGAGTCGGACTCGAGCTCGACTCGTTGACTGGCTGACTGGCTGGCTGTGGCACATCAATTAACTCGCTGTTGAATTTCTTTAGTGCCTCCCCGTCTACTGACCATATGTTGCAGCGCAATGCAACCGACACCATATGGCCAGCACCAAGGCGAGCTCGCTCTCTCGCCTGGAGTGTTTAGTAAATGTCCTTTGGATTACCTTTTGTGTTGCCTTCTGTATTTTTACTGTTTGGCTCGACACGCGACTATTGTTGCGCTAGTCTCACAAATTGCGACTTAAGCATTAGGCTTAAAGCATTAATCTCTTCGAATGCAAGCTTAGAGATTTGTATAATTTGTATATTAAATAAAATGCTTCCAGTTTTTAATATACATTTTTTCTAGATTAAAATTAGATTATCAAGACTTTAGTTGTGTCAATAGTTCAAACGTATATCTATATAGATTCAGCAGCAAACTGTCGCATGTGGCTGAAATCTTGAGCAAAATAAGGATTCTTCAGTCGACTGCCAACTACTGCAAAGTACTTATTCTCAGTTTTACAATAGTTAATATATTTTTGGTAAATCTCAAAGTTTCTTCGTTTTGAAAAATTTGCAGCTCTAGCTTCTAAACCTTGAAAAATGTCAGTGTTTGCCAGGGTCAGCCACGGAAAATGCAATCTGTTCAGCAGGCCAGGAGTTTGCCTTGTGGAAGGATTAGTTTTTATTGAAATTAATCGAACTCTGAAACAATTTTCTTTGGCTCGATATGACAACCTTTTGCCTTGACTATGACCTACGGAAGGTATATTCTTGAGTTGACTCAACAGCCGAGTCGCCTTAGCCTTGTGCATCTCTTTGTTTGTTCTATAAAAGACTGGAGTTCAAGACTTGAAACGCTAAGCATAGATAGTCTATAGATCCTATATCACATTGAGCTTAAGTTTATTTGATTTGCTGCATTCATGTAATTTTTCTATACAATAAATTTAGTCTATGTTAAAAAACTGATATATATTTATATATTATTTTTTAAAATTTCATTGAAATATGCGCTAATTATACTGAAAATAGAGCATGTGATAGATATCTTAATAGTTTTTAAATTTATTATTTATTTATTTATTATTATTTTTTTATCAATTATTTTTGTAAGACAATAATTTAAAAAAACATAATATAATTTAAAAAAATATTGAAATCTCATACTTAGTATATTTTTTTTATGTTAAAGAATAAAAATATAATTTTTTTCCCATGTGAAAACACTTTCGTGTCAAACTGTATTTTCATATACCAGAAGCGCAATATCATTAGACACTAGACAATATTTGCTTAAATATTGTTAGACAGTTGCTAGACTTAAGGCACTGGCTAGTTAAGCTTTATAGCTAATTTGCCTTATTAGAATAAAATTTATTAAAGATATATAATTATATATATCTTTATATATATATATCTATAAATACATCTAATTATATATATTTTTCAATATCTACAAATCTCAAGTCAAACATATATAACAAATCGGATGGCGCTTTAAAGCCAGCTGCATAGACTGTACTCAATGAAGGCATAAGGTATATAGTTAATGAATGTGACCTATATATGGGACTGAAGCACTCAAAAAGCTGCCTCTATCGTTATAAATGCATCTTCATTAAATTAGAGAACAGGATGTGAGGCCCAAAACGTTGGCTGTGGGTGGCCTGCCAAATGCACACAGCATGAGAGAGGCAGAGGGAGAGATAGAAACAGACATAGAGAGAGAGAGAGAGCATTGCTGCTGCGCATGCACCATCCATTCGTGAGCTATGTGGATGCCACAATTCGGCACAATTGTTTTGTAGAGAAAATTGAGGAACGAGAACGAGAACGCGACTTCGTGGAGCAGCAGCAGCAACAGGACTGAAAACCGAGCCTCAAAAAGGTTGTCGAAGTGTTTGCATTGCGAATAGTTGACAACATAAACATTGTCGATGCAACGCTGCAAGCGTTAAAAAGCCAAACGTAAATTCACGCGGATAAAAGTGAAATTTTTTGCCAAAGACATTTTTCCCACCCGGAGATTGCCAAGAAGTTGTGAAAATGTGCTTGTATTTGGGCGTTGTGGAGCATTTGGTGGATGTGGTGGCATATTGTGTCTGCCGGATGCTGGAGCTAACTCTGTTCGCCTTGATGATGATGTGCAACACGGCCAAAGCCAAGCTGAGCAGCAGCAACAACGGCAACAACAACGAGCTGGTCCTGATGCAACAATGACCCAGGTTCACATTCGGACTCCATGTCCACTGCACTGGCCAGTGCAGGGAGGCCGAGCGACGTTGGGGCGTGGGCAATGTCTGAGTACTTGAATCTATAACTCCGTATAATTTTGATGTACTTTTTTGGCTATATATATAAATAAATTTCAACTTATATGCGTGTATTAATTGATGTGTTTGCGTCTCGCTTGCACAGTGGTTCAAGATTCTGTGAGTGGGAAGCTGAAGTGTTTGGTTTTTGTGAACAGCAAATGGAAATCAATTTTATATCGAAAAGCAGTTAAAAATATTTTAAAAAAGGTTGAAAATGTTTTTGATTTTAGAAAAATCTTTTATTTTTTTATTTATTAAAAAATCTTTAGGTTTTAGAAAAATCTTTTATTTTTTTATTTATTAAAAAATCTTTAGGTTTTAGAAAAATCTTTTATTTTTTTATTTATTAAAAAATCTTTAGGTTTTAGAAAAATCCTTTATTTTTTTATTTATTAAAAAAATTTTAGGTTTTAGAAAAATCTTTTCTTTTTTTATTTATTAAAAATCTCTAGAATCATTTTCTTGCTCTTTGATTATAGCTGATAAGAATGGCTTCATATTTAGAAAAGCTATATATTTATATATGGTAATTGGTACATAAGCATATCTCTCTACACGAAATTTGATAGAGTTATATTTATATAGTCAATGTCTAGGGCATATATGCTCGTTATAACAACAAAAATATATATACACCCATTGGGGCAAAGGAACTAAGACTTAATCAACTACAGTTTTAGTGAGCGAGCGCCATTACTTAATAGTTAAATTACACCCACTTGAGACTTATCTACAAATGGTTCAACTATTTTTGGACTAGGAACGAGTATTATGCAGTCAGTGCTGCCCGACTGCACCACTCTTACCTGTTATATATCAAAAATATAACTTGAAATTAAGTGCTTAAGTTACACACAGAGACAGAAAGTGAATCCTTTTGTTTTTTAGCACAGTATCTATGCAATCTGACCCATTGTATGTTGTAGCCATAACTTAGAGTTCGCCTAGGGCAAGGAGTTGCCTATTTACATTGCGTACTATTTGTTATTTGTGCTGCTGTGTGTGTATCCCAGTGTCTCAGCCATTTATTGTGCTTATTAACATTGGGGACCCTAAAGCAGCAACCCATTTACATGATGATAAAGTATCGACTAGGGGCTTACACATGTACCAATTTATTTATTTTGTTCTGCTTTTCGGCGCCTGCAAATATGCTACATTTTATTAGTCTCCCGCTCTCCCTCTCTTCCTCTCTCTCTCTTTCTCTGCTGATTGTATTCAAATATGCTGCACGTTGTTACTTGTCTCTCTCTTTCTGTATCCTCCCTCTCTCCCTAACACTCTCGCTCTCAAACCAATTCAAGCTCCAATTATATGCCCTGTTCTATGGTCTCTATTACAATTTCAGTCTCTCTCTCTCTCTCTTCACTTATATTTATGTAGTTGTTTACGTTGTTCTTGGCTTCTGGCGTCGCTTACGCATAAATTTATTGAAATTTTACGAAAGTTTATTGCACACGCAAAGCATCTAATGGCCCATTATTATTAGTATTATCATCGTTGTGGGTTAGATTAATTTGCAAGCCCCAATCATAGCATAGATAAGCAGCTTTTGCTTGCATAACATAGATAAGGCTTAACTCTATTTATTAGCTTGTTGACATAGAATTTTATGAGCATGAATTTGCTTAGATTTCCTTAAAAGTAAATTTGAGGTAAATCAATCAAAGAGAGAATAAGTCTCTCAACTTGAAGATACTTTGCCTCATGTAAAGTTTGCCTCTATAGACTTTGACAATTTTTGACTAATGAAAACACTCCACAGGCTGCTGTTTTAAAAATGTTAAAGGCACTTAGCAAAGCTATTCAAAATACAAAACATTTTCTAGGTCATTCACATTCTTGCCTTAAGCAAAACTAATCTAGCCACTTATTTTAAAAATTCTTATAAGTCACAGTATCGTTTTAGTTTGGCATTATAGGTCAGAGTTAGAGAGCGGCAAAAGCAAACCTTTTTATGTAAATTTAACAAAATTCAGCGCAATTATGGACGTGATCGATAAGACGCAGGAGAAACCAATTATTTCTGAAACTATCGGTACGCAGGAGTTGAGCGGCAGAGCGGAGTCGCCGACAACGTCGCAAACGGAGCTCAAGGAGCAGCCAGTCGTCTACGACTATATGAAATACCCGAAAAAGAAGGGTCGAGTTCTGCACAACCACAACCACAATCGGCTCAAGATGAAGAAGAGCGTCTCCTTCAAGTGTGTCGTGGATCTGGTGACCTTCACCGACGATTGGAAAATGCAAACGAGCCAAAGCAGTCTGCGCACCGAGGACCAGCAGGTGCGTCTCAAACAGCACCACGTATGACGATGTAACCCATATCTATATATGTACACATCTATATAGAGAGGAATGTGTACAAATTTGAGACGGAACTTTTGATCATAATCGATTTATATGAATTGCACATAATTTGTATATGTATTTTGTTAATTTTATGTATATCGAAATTGAAAACAGAAATAAATTTCGTTGCGACATTTCGTCATACAAAGTAACCAATCAGTAATCTTATGAAAGATTATTTGGTGTCGCTGATTTTGCTAAACATATTGCAGCGCAGCTTATTCATAATGTTGCATATAACATATTCGCCCCGATCTGAGCCCTGGAAATCGCCCGTCTTGATGCCCTCCTCCATAGTCCGCCTCATTTCGGTCCACAGCGATTTCGCGCACTGATGATGGCCCAAGTGGTGCAGCAGATCGACACAGGTGGACACAATGCCATATGGACTGAGCATCTTATAGTTGGTTAGTGATAGTTTTGTTTGCAATGGCTTGAACACCGCATGATGCTTGCCAATTTCGATCGATGAGAACAGGTTGGCACCGCCACAGATCGCGCTGCAGATGGTGGCCATGAATGTGCCGTAGAGATCGCTGGTGACCACGACATCGAAATTCAGCGGATTAAGTATGAGACGCCCTACACAACGGTCCAGCTCCATTGGTTCTGTCTCAATATCGGGAAACTCTTTCTGCACCAATTCGGCTGCGATGTCCAGTAAGACACCCTCGGTCTTTGGCCACTCGGACGACTTGTGCACAAGGGTCACCTTACGTCGCTTCTTTGCAATGGCCACCTTGAAGGCATAGCGCAGAAATCTCTTAATATCGTGGCTATTGATGACGCGCAAGCCCTCGATGACGCCCTCCACCGGCGAGTATTCCAGTTCGGCATAGTTGCCCATATTGTTCTGCGCAATCAACAGGATATCCACGTTCGGAAAGCGACAATTGAAGCCCGGAAAGCTGCGCAAATTGGTCATAAAGATGTTCAAGTCCAGGTCGTTACACATTTTCAAAGATTTCATCTTCGCTTGCGAATCGTGCTGTATATCTACATGGATCGCAGCACGATTGCGCAACACGGAATTGTAATACTCCTGACCCTGGTTCACGAAGATGCGCTGCACATCGACCGGCACTCGGGCACTGCTCAGCAGTGACCTAACATATTTGGCGCCCTGCTTGCCAATTATGGTCTCGCCGCAGAGCAGAGTGACATGGGTAATCCCGCCATACTTCGAACGGGGTAGAACATACACGTCCTGCGTACGCAGCTCTCCCTTAATTATGGCTGCCGTTGCCCCCAACACATACGCGTCATCGCCGTAGAAGCGTCTGCCCAACAGTGAGAGCGCAAGCTGATGTTGTGTCCTGCCCCTCAATCGTTGCATCTTAGCGAACGAATTTAAAATTTTGAAACGAAATATTTATCCAAAAATCGGCTCCTATTTTACTCGGTTCTGAGCTGTCTGCCTGTCAAGCCCCGAAGCCAAGCCACAAATTAAAACTTGACAGCAAATTGATCTCGAAACTTTTTATTCTCCCAACTGTTGTTTGTATCTGATAACATATATATGATATTCTTTGGACAGTCAACTCTTGCCCCTCTATATGTCCCAGCACACGCTCTTATCCGTGCACGGACAACCATCGACCCCATAGCTGCCAATAAGAACTTCCGTTTGGGTGCTCTTCTCCCGCGGATTCTCAAACTTCCACAGATTTTTCATTGAATATTTGTCCGGCAAATAGTATGTGGGCACTTCCTTAATAAGCCGCAAATGATCCTCGAGGATCATTTTGCCCATTTCCGGTGAAACGTATGTGGCCTGCAAGCTGTATTGCTTGCGCTTCGCCTGCCGAATCGATGGCTCCAAATGGAGACGGCTATGCGGTAGGAATGCATCCAGATTCGCATCCAATGCATCCAGTTGCTTTTGCCGTATGATCTCGCATTGTTGGCAACGACATTTGCCGCCATGATAGCAATACCTCTTCTTGCCATCCTCATCGACCATCATCAGAGGAACGCATTGTTGCTGAAAAACTGGCTGCGCTTCCGTCTGCGTTGCCTTTGCACTCTGTGGTGGAATCGAATACATCTTGGTGCTAAGCGTGCTTCCTCAAGCTAGGAGAGTTCAAGGGCAGAGCTGCTGACAACAATGAATTTCGTTTCTAACTGAGCCCCGTTGACACTGACAAAGCAAACAAACGAGATTTTGGACGCACATGTGATTTTATTTAATTGAACAAAGTTTACGGCTGAAGGGCTTATGGGAGGCTGATGCTGCTTACCACTTGAGATAATGACACCCTTTGGATCCTTGCTCTCCAGTGAAAGTATAATTGGAGAGAGCAGTTTCTATGGCATGATCTCTCGAACTATACTCTGAAGTGAGAGAAAGATTAGAGAGCAGCATCCTTCTGTAACATGCCCTTATGATGCTGATCCTCGGCATACTCCTTTCAATTCATACTCTTATTGGAGAGCATAGATTGAGCAGCAGCTCTTATGCAATGCAAACTCAATCTGCACCCTCAAGTAAAAGAATAATTGAGAGAAAATACTTTTAGACATGGCTCGCTTCAAGCGTTTCACAAGTGGGAGCAGCATCCTCGTCATGTAAGCTAGGTAGTCTGGCTCTTGCCTTGGCACAGGGTTGTCGGACCCCAACAATAGATGTTTTTGCTGATATCCTTTCGGTTAATTTGAGGCTTGAGCAAACCGCAGTCGGGGCACGTACTTCTGTGAATAATCTTCGTTATGGATCGCTCTGATTCAATTAGATTTGCATAGTAGCGCTTTAGCTCGCGATAACGTAGTTCCCTAGCGAATTCCTCTAACTTTCCACTATGCTTAAGCTGGGATTGGTCGCTTTGAATCAGAGCTTTGTGCGCATTATCGTTTTTCTGTGTGGTTTGTTCAGCTTTCATCTGTCTGAGTGGCTCTCGCGGCGCATCCGTATCACGTGGGCTCTCTTTGGCTATGTCAAATTGGTTCACTTCGTGCCTGTCATTCGATATCTTGCGATTGGCAAAGTTATTGAGACAGGTCAAGGAGCCACGCAGCGCGAGCATATACCATTTCGGATTCTTGGGCATTTCTAGCCTATTAACTGGAATCGCAAATGCACAAATTACAAATTTCAATTTTCAATTTTTCAATTTTGAATTTTAAATCGAAGCAATACGAGTCAAGACAAAGTTGTAGAATGAGGGGAATCAGTAGGTTAATATGGCTTGTTAATCTAAGTAGATACCAGGTAAGGGCAATAGGTAGATAGCAGCCAGATATCTCGCATTTAGTAGACATATCTTATAATACACACGACAGCCTCGATTCAACATCAGATGCAAAATAAGTGTCCAGCTAACCAGAGCGTTCTTATTCTTTGTCAAAAATGTCTTTGATAGTCGAGAACGAGATCCAGTGGCTGACGGAAATCATCTTGCCAAAGATTTTGCGCAATGGAAAACTTTTCGATGACAACAGCGAGTCCCTGGCTAAAACATTCGAAGTGAAGGGTGTGCAAATCAATGTAATTGGCGCCGATGAGGCATATATGTTGACCTTGTGCTATAGAGCTACGATCGAGCTGAAATATGCCGGACAGCAGCTGCAGAGGAAGCTAGTAGTTAAGGTAATACAACAGACCTTTTAGCCAGGTTAAGCCTGCTTACGCTACAAGTTAAACAATCTTTTACGGCAGCTAGACAATGAAATCATTAAGTATCTACGTGATGATAAGCCTTTTTTTGCATTTTACACAGAAAACTCCCAAGTTATCGGCCGAGCTATACGATGTGATACAATTTGATAATCTCTTCAACAATGAAGTTATCTTCTACACGGAGATACTGCCTGTTATACAGGAGCAGAGCCAAGGCAAATTTGCTGCACCCAAATATTATTATAGCGAGATCAAAGCGGATGCTGCGCTGATCATTTTAGGTGACTTTGCATCCGACGGCTGGAGTGTGACCAAAGACCTATTTGGCTTGAGTCTGGAGCATGCGCGCATAGCAGGTGAGTCTGCCAAATGAGAAAAATATGATTAATATATATATATGAATGTATATCATTTGTAGTTAAATACCTGGGCACATTTCATGGCTTTGGCTTTGCCATGAAACACACGGAGCCGCAGCGTTTCCAGCAACTCGCGGCCAAGCTGAGGGAAGCGCGTTTTGCCAAGGAGACGATCAGCCCCGAATGGGCATTGAAGCACAAAGTTAGTCTGAAGCGAGCTGAAAGAGTGGCAGCTTTATATCAGCCACAAGTGGATAAGGAATTCATTAGAAGATTCCAGCAACTCGTTTACAGTTATATAGGCTATGGACGTCAACGTGTGGCACCCCGGGAGCCGCTCTCCACACTCTGCCACGGCGACTACCTGAGGAACAACGTGGCCTACAAGTATGATACGGACAACAGTGGAACTCCTTTGGATATTATGATGTTCGACTATCAGACAATGCGTGTGTCCTCGCCCATGATCGATCTGTCCGTCTTTCTGGCTTTATCCCTGCTCGCTGAAGTACGCTATGCAAATTTTGACACTCTCTTTGATGACTATTGCAACGCGTTGTCTGAGAGCTATAGAACACGTACAAGTCAGCCATTGCCGGAGTTCTTAGGGTATTCGACTTAAACATGAACTCAAATCGTATATTTTTAATCGACTTTATTTCTTACAGTCGTGAGAGTTTACTGAGAGAATATATTCAGTTTTTGCCCTATGCCATTCATATAACATCCTACTTCTTGATGTCGCTCGTGGCTCCACCTCTAATCTCGCCAGCAGACGGGTTTGAGGCTGAGATCTCGCCTAAGGAAATCATACAGACAGCAGCGGAGCAAGGCGGTGAATTGGTGGATCGTGAAATAGCTCATCAACTAAAGGAACTATACGAACTAAGCCATTTGCACAATGTCCAAATAGAAGAGAACATTGATACATCAAAATGGGCTCAAGAGGCTGCCAAATTTATTAACCACACAACAGAGCTGTACGAAAGTGATTGAATGTCCACAAATGATATTAAACTTTGTAATTGCATTCACATAGCTGACACTACATACAAATTGTATTATCTTATCGCGCCTAGGTGGGAGGTATGCACATTTTATACACTATAGAGAACCCTCGGAGCGATAAACTCGAAAACACCAAACAATAATATTGGTAATATTTAATGTGCATCTACACTCGCACGTATATAGATACGTATGCCTTTATTCGTGTGTATGCACATGTATTTATTTATATATTTGTGTACACGATCGTCGGTTGTCGCTTAAAACTTAGCCGCATGGTCGCCCAACATCTAGTTGCTTGTTGGACGCGAAGCTGAATAGTTCTCGGCATACGCTTAGATAATGGCTTTGAGTGTTGATAAAGAAATCGAATGGTTGAGCAATACAATTTTGCCAGAGATTCTAAAAAATGGGCGCCTGATTGATAATTACAGCGAAACGCAGCTGGCTAGCTTCAAGGTAGGGGATGTTACAATCGCCGTAATCGGACCGGAGGAAGCCTTCATGCTGACTCAATGCTATCGAGCAACAATTGATTTTGAGTACGCCGGCGATCAGCATCAGCGAAAATTTGTTGTTAAGGTGTGTTAAATCTATACTCTATACTTATCAATATATATAGTTACATATATACCATACTATACATCTGTATTCCACAAGACATATGGAATATACTATATAATTGTAATAAATACATCATAGACTATTGTTTATACTATATAAGCAATGTAAGCAATACATATTAAACAATTTGTAAGTCACACAATAGATTGTTTAAACTACACTGTGCTTTAATTGGCTTTCGCTTCTCTCTCTCTCTCGCATACAGAAAACGCCAGTGATTCCAACCGAAGCCTACAACGAAGCGCAATTTGATAATTTATTTCACAACGAAATTTGTTTCTATACGGATATATTGCCCATTATTCAGAAGCTAAGCGATAACAAGTTTGCTGCGCCCACGTATTATTATAGCGAGATCAAAGTGGATTCGGCTGTGATCATTTTGGGTGACTTCGCATCGGATGGATGGAGTGTGGCCAAGGCTAGGTTTGGTTTGAGTCTGGAGCATGCCCGCATTGCTGGTGAGTCTGCAGACGACTAGAGTAAATGAAGTATTCTCATCACCTTTCCCTCAGTTAAATATCTGGGCAGATTTCATGGATTTGGCTATGCCCTGAAGCACAATCATCCGCAACGTTTCGAAGAGCTCTCCAGCAGTTTTCAAGAATCACGTTATGCCCATGATAACATCAGTCCCGAGTGGGATTTAATAACAAAAGTTGGACTGCAGCGTGCTGCTAAATCAACTCGCACTTACCAACCAGAAGTGGACCAAGAGTTTATCAAAAAGTTTCATCAATTAGTGTACAACTCTGTGGGCTATGGACGTCAGCGTGTGGCACCTAGGGAACCGCTCTCCACGCTCTGCCACGGCGACTATTTGAGGAACAATGTGGCCTACAAGTATGATACGGACACCAGTGGAACTCCTTTGGATATTATGATGTTCGACTATCAGACAATGAGATTATCCTCACCCATGATTGATTTATCTGTATTCCTGGCCAATTCTCTACTGGCAGATGTGCGTTATCCAAATTTCGACACTATTTTTGATGATTATTGCGAGGCGCTGTTTGAGAGCTATACGAAGCAATCAAATGAGCAGCTTCCAGCGTTCTTCAAGTAAGATGGTCAGAGTGCATTTTAAACAGATTAATTAATCTTTATTTTCAGTCGCGAGACCTTGCTGCAGGAGTACATACGCTTCTTGCCATATTCGTTAGGCATTTCGGCATCCTTTCTGCCGTGGCTAGTTGATCCGCCACAGTTAACGACCACTGAAATGTTTAATACACCAAAATCCGAAGAGGAAATGATACAAGAATCTATGACATTGGGTGGTGAAATAGTCGATCGCGAAATCGCCCACCAAATGAAGGAAATGTTTGAGCTAAGTATCTCGCATAATGTTCAAATTGATGATGATATTGATAACAGTGAATGGATTAATAGTGTTAAGTTAACATAGATAACAATCCACAATAAGCTTACTCATTGTGAATGAGCAACAATAAGTATTGCCAGATGCAATGACTTTTAGTTTTTAGAATAATTTGTTAGTATTGCTTAATGGTGATAGCTAAAAAAATTTGTGAACATGTATATATGTATATTGATAGTATTCGCTGTTGAATAAACAAACAATTCAATGTGAGTACACATGTAGATAGCAAGTGTTGGCATCAGCTGATTAAATGGTTTGGAGGAAGCCGTACAGGCAATGTGGCAACGCCGATTCAAATAGAACCTGTATGTGAGTGTATGTGCGCTTCTTTTTTTTGATATGTAGATAACATGAGCTAGCATCAGCTGTTTTAATGTCAACGTCTATGTGGCAACGCTTCTATACGTGTTGTCTGGCAGCACCTTCTTTTGCCATATTTAAGAACAACAAACTCTTGTTAAATTTTGGAAAAATATGTTAAATCCCACCCGGCAGCAAGTGCTCCGGCTTTATAAGCATCTTATCAAATACGGCAATCATCTGAAGCTAACGGATAAGAATTATTTTCTGGGCCGAGTGCGACACGAGTTCCGTGAAAATAGGCAGCTAACAAGTGCTCAAGACATTGAGTTTAATTTTAAGGTACGTTGTTATATCACAGTAAAATGAATAAAAGTTAATTTGAAATGTTTACGTAGCGTGGCGAGACATTGCTGAAGAAAGGCCGCATACTGTAGTAATGCTCAAATTACGTTCCTTAGCTGGTTCACTCTCCAGCAACCTCTGTCGGCTGGCCTCCAGCGTGCACTTGGACTATTCCCGTTATCCAACCCTGCAAGAGTCGGATATTGAGGAGACATTGATGCGAGGCAGCGGTCCCGGTGGACAAGCTGTAAACAAAACCAACAATTGTGTTTTTTTGCGTCATCTGCCAACGGGCATAACCGTCAAATGTCATCTGCATCGCTTGGCCTCCAAGAATCGCATCGAAGCCCGAAAAATACTACTCGAAAAGCTTGATGTCCACTTAAATGGCGAGCAGTCCATAGCAGCACAACAGAAGGCGCTCGATCAGAAAAAGTCAACGGAGCGCAAACGCCGACAAGGCAAATTGCAGGAGATGAAAAAGAACTGGCAAAGTCGCGAACGTGAAGAGAGTGAATGAATGAATCGACAGACTTGTGAAACATTAAAATTTGTGTATATATTTGACTACAACTACCAGCTGGCGAAGTCACCAAAACCGTTAGCAAGTTTTTTCTTTTTCGATGGTTGCGCAGCCGGCAATTGTGTTTCAGGATCTGGTTTCCTAGGCACACTTGGTTTCAGATATTTGCCTACGCCTGGACGATACACTTTCAGCGGTTCGTTCAGGCGTTTTTGCTGCTCTAGCTTTGTGGCTGCCACCTGCTTGCTAGCTGCTTCTTCGGCGCGTTCCTTGGCCAGCTGTTCGACGGCTTCCTCAAATGGATTGACAAACACTTGTGCATTCTGTATAATAATGTCCTCGATGGGTCTGTCTTTGTTGTCCACCTCAATGTTCTCCATTTTCTGTAGTGTCTCAAGTCCTCCAACAAGTTTGCCAAAGATTGTGTGCTTGCCATCGAGCTGCTTGCACGAGCGATAAGTAATAAAGCTGCAATAAAAGTCATTATTAACTATATGTTAACTGTTGTAGTAACTTAAGTAGTTTTACTAACAACTGGGAGCCATTCGTATTAGGTCCTGAATTGGCCATCGAGAGTATGCCGCGTCCAGTGTGCGTAAGATTTGGCTTGAACTCGTCTTCGAACATTGAGCCCCAAATCGATTTACCGCCAGATCCAGTGCCTGTTGGATCACCGCCTTGTATCTAAGCATGGATTAGTATAAATGTTATTCAGTTAAATACAAATCCCTAATAATACTTACTATAAAATTCCTAATGGAACGATGAAACATCACATTGTTGTAATAACCATCTGCGCAGTGTTTTATAAAATTATCGCAAGCGCGTGGTGTCTGATCGCAGTAGAGCTCCAAGTTGAGTGGCCCGAAATTAGTGTTTAGGCGGACATAGCCTTTCTTCTTGACACGCTCGTACTTGACCAGATCATCATCTATGATGGCTGCCTCGATCTGGGAGACCGGCATCATGGCGGTAGATGTAAAACTGGCTGCAACTGCACCCGTCGAATAGTGAGCCGCATTAAATTTGTCTGCTGTGCGCTTCGAGCTAGTAGGTGCCTCTTCTGCTGGCTGGTAATCTTTCTGTAGCTGTGCAAGCGTCTCTTTTGTTTCCAGATTCATTGTTTTGATGCGTCCCTGTGGATCTTTTCGTTCCAGCTGTTCTTCCGCTGATAGCACACGCAGGTTTTTCTTGATGTGATAGAACTTGGATATGTCGAACTTTTCCAAATGTTGCGGATCTTGTATGGTTATAATATCTTTGCGCTGGAATGGCGTGTCATCAATCAGGTCCTTCCAGTTCTTAGTCTTGATGTTAAGTTGATCGATTGCCTCCCAACAGTAAACATTCCCCGTTGTGCCCACAGCCACAATGTGTGAGTTTTTACTAAACGGCTTGAACAGAGCTGGACAATGGTATTCATCATTCGCATTCTTATGAAAGTTGAGCTTTAGCAAGGACTTGGAATCCATTTTTTGTCCCGTAATAGGATTCACTTTAAATGACTTCAAGAAGGTCAATATGGCCTCATATTCAAAGACATTGCCATGCAGATCGCTGTAAGGCATTTTGAAAGGTGCCATAGTTATACAGCAATTGCCAAATGGCAATCGTTTAAATTTGATATGCTCATTTTCCAAGGATTCCACCTTTTTGCCACCATAGAACTCGCTCCACTCGGTGTACGTTAGGTACCTGTTAGAAAACTTTATCAGTTACTCCAGAGTATAAGAGTATGCTGTAATTCTTACATTTTATCCTTTTGATGCTGTCGTTTACCCATCTTGGAGGCTTTTTATGCAAATGCAGATTGTAAGTAAACAAAAACAATATTACAAATTTTATTAGATATTTCACATGAGCGATAGGTTGTCAGGTATTAAGTGGTAGTCTATCGATAAGCACTGCTTGCAACCCTCTCTAGCAGCTGTTTATAGCTGTGGTCACATTGTCAACCCAAGCTGAAGCCGCGTCAAATTTGTTACTATTAATATTTATGAATTTATCAGAAAAATGTCGGTTAAAAAATCTGCAACCGAGCCGAATATTGAGGAAGCTTTCAAAAGGCACAGCCCAATTGCAGCCAAAGTGAAGGAAGAATACGAAAAAGCACTGATAGACATTTTTGCAGACATGGGGTACGTTTTTCGTTGATTTTGAATTGTTATTGTTTTTGCTTGTTATTAAAATTATATATAAATTGCAGACCGAATTGCCTGGAACCGTTTGCAGCAATTCTTTTGGAGAATGAGAACACTATTCTCAACAAGGAAACTTTGATCGAGCGTGTGCGCATGCGAATGAGCCAGCTGCTGCCCAAGATAAACGAAAATTTCTTTGTGTCCAATGATGTAGGAAAAAAATTAATAACGCTTGAGGTGCTCAAAGAGAAGTTTGAACCCTTCAAAGGTACCAACTGGTAAGCAGGTTGTGATATGCAAAAACACAATGTAACATGGAAAAAGTAATCATTGCAGGCAAGTGCATAATCTGACGCCCGAGGAGCGAACAAGACCCGTCCGCATGCGGCTTATGGATTCCAGCATAAGATTTTTACAAAAGCAGATAAACTCACAGGAAAAGGCTATAGAGGCATGCTTGCAATTAACATTTATTGTATTTTCTGTTTGTATTTAATTAACATTCTTATCTAACTCAGATTGCCATGGCAAAGAGCAGAGAGAACCGGGAACGCATTCACAACATTCAAAACGAACGCGTAAAACTTTACGCCCTGATGCAACAGCAAACAAGTTACTACCAGGACATGTTTCCAAAACTAATGGATCTATCAAAAAAAATGATAGGAGCTGAAATATTGGATTAAAATAAAAGTCTTAATTGTATATATAAATATAAATTATATTAAATTTAATAGAATTATTTCCGAATTCTCCACATTTATCGAACATTTCAATTAATAGCAAGTCGATTAACATTATCAATGTTATCAATGGAATACTGTGGCTGATATATTAAACAGCTTTTCATTGTAATGAAATAGTAAAAGTAGATTATAGTTAGTCTTTATTATACATTCTTATTTGAATCATCTTGTTTGCAATCATATTAAACTTTTGATTACACAAGCATTTTTGAATTTAAACGTATACTTTGCGTATTCACCACAATTATCGAATAATTTAATTAATCGACATCAATTACGCCTCACTAAGATTAACAGCAGGATAACAGCTGCTGTGCAGCAGGCAAACCTCGCTGTTAATATTGAGCGGCTTCTCATTATAATTTATTCAGTCTTTTGGTTGACATCGTTTCGCACTCAAGTTTTTATTTGAAATAATCTTTTTTAAGGACACATCAAAATTCAACTTAAAAACGTATATTTTTCAATTGTGAACTTTTAATAAAAGGTAGAGCAAGTGAATCTCTTTTCTAGTTTTTCGGCTGTGGCTGGTGTCAATTCTTTTTATTTTATAAGTATTGCACTTTTCACGGCCGGAAAAAAAGATAAATGATTTGATCCGAATAAATTTTATTAATATATTGTGCAGTCCATAATTTGTGCTTCATTTGTTTTCCTTTTCGAGCGAAGTAAGCTTTAGAAAAAAAAAGTAAATGATTTCCATCTGCATTTGCAGGACGGTATTTGTGACAATATGAAATGTTTAAATTGATTTATTAATCATATTGCACATCTCCCGGCCTATGAATGGGTTGAGACCCCGTCGATCAAAAAAATGTTACTTAATCATATTTAACATAAATGTCGCTTAAATGTAGCCATTTTTAGGCCGTGCTATGTGTCAATATGTATTTAAATTGTATTTATCATATTGCACATCTCCCGGCCTACAAGTGTAAATGCATAATTCAACAAATTTGTATATATATATATATGTATGTAAATATAGATTTAAGCGCCTGCCTGTGCATGTACACGTATGTATGTATAAAAGCGAAGTCCCGTTAGGACAATGATCAGCTTTGCGCACGGCGAGTGTGAGCGAGACAAATGGAGTTGGCGCCGTGCAAAGTCTGTTTTCTTAGAAGACCGGCGTTTGCTCTTTTGCTCGAACTTTTTCTGATTCTGCTTTAGGCTCGCTTCCATTCGAATTCGCCGTGCTTAACCATTTTCTTTTCGATCTATGCATGTGTATGTATTCGTGTATGGATAATAGATCAGTGGAAGAAGTGCAAAAGTGCGTTGTATTATTGATGTTAATATATCCCAGCAATTGCTTGATATGCTTACTTTGTATTTATAGAAAATTTCTTAATGCCTTTTGAAACCAACGTATTTATGCGAATGGCGCCATCTGGTGTAATATGTAGAAATTATGATTCAAGTCCGCGCGTGTATTAGCATTTAGCACAGACTTCAACCAGTCGTAGTAAAAACAGCAGGGCTTTACGAAACCCCTATTATATTAAGATACAATAACATATAATTAGCACAGACAGCAACCATTATTTGAATAGCTAACAGAATGCTGCAAACTTCAAATATGGCTAACAGAGTTTAAAAGAGCGCGCAATTTAATTAATAATTTATCAGTGTAAAAAGCAGAAGTAATATACTCTGCTGGTTTTCAAATAGTATACAAATGATTTATATGAAACAAGGTGTGTATGTTAAGCAACATGTGATAAAATAGTAACAGACTGAAAATAGGCTTCGGAATTTCAGAAATTCATAAATTTAATTGAAATTTAGTTTTAATTTACGACTTTGGTAATTGTGTTAAGTCAATTGTTTTTTATAGACAATTTGCTTTCTGTTCGCTTTAATGTAAGAAGCAAATTTAATTAGCGCGCATCGTTGGCTGTATTTATTTGCACGTCATTTACCGTTGCCTATTAACCGCCCACCGGGCAGCGAGGAGGGCGCACTGCAAATGGTCAGCTAGACTAATGATAGGCGCAGAGCTTTTGGCACATCAGCTGCTTTAATGCCCATTCATTGGAAAACTAACAAGCGCTGAATGCGGTTTTGTGTGTGTGCGGAACGGAGAGGGAGAGGAAGAGAGAGAGTGATAGTGTTTGTGTGTGCCCAGTAATAAAAACTGCATTTTGGCTGGGGGAGCACGCGCGGCCAACAAGTGTGAAATTGAGTGCATATAACATGGCATAATGGCTCTTTAGACCCGATCCAAATGACCACCAAAAGAACGGTTCTGGCTGCTTAAAGAAGCGGAAGTGGATGCACATGCAGTACAGTGAACTCCAGCTTAAAGTACTTACCGAGCTCTGATATCAGAAGACATCTTAGATAAGCGCAGCTGAGAACAGCGACAATAATTAAATGTTTGCTTTGACTACAAACAACAATCACAAAGGCCACATTATGTAATTGCAGGTAAGACAAAAGAGAAAAAAAACAAACAACTCCCACAATTTCTCATTTTCTCATTGGCAGCCGGCTGATTTTTATCAGTAAAAAAGACGATCGTGTGTGTGTGTTGCTGACAGAGCGATCCTGCCAGCATTGCTGCCAGAAAAGCTTTCAATCTCTCTACAATCAGCAAAGCAAAAGCTCAGCATTTGACTGATTGAATTTTTGTTGTAGTTATTTTCTGTAAGACAGTTAAATTATGCACATAAATATGTATAGTTACTTTTATTTAATTGTATAGTACAATTAATTAATGTTATGAGCGCATTAAAACTCTTTGAGCGCCCCGCGCAGCAGCTTAACAACTTTAGCAGGCGCTGCACAGTGTGGCCACTGGCTCAGCGAAGCGAGCGAAAAAAAAAAAAAACAAAAACAAAAGGCAGACGTCACGCGCAAGCGTCGCTGCCGCAGTCGGTGTAGACGTCGACGTCGAGCTCAACTGATGCTCGGCTGGCTGTGAGTATTTAGTTACTTCGCGACCATCGTGCGGCCTGGACGTGTTTTCGTCGTGTGAAGTAAGGCGCGTCGATGTGATGTGTTCAAAGTTTGTCTCTGTGTGCCTGTGTGTGCGTGTGTGAGTGTGCTCGTGCGTGTCTGTGTGTTTTTTGTGTTTATTTGCCGTTGATTTGCTGAGTTTTCGACGTTTACCACTAGCCGTTGGCCAGCAGCCTCGGCCACTACTTGGACTGGCATTCTCTTTAGCACTACGGCTTTGTTTCATAATCTATGTATGCGTATGTGTGTGTATGAGTGTGTGTGTGACTGACTGTTAAAGAATACAAATGATATGTGCGGTTGGCTCTTGTGGAGCATGTGCCGTTGTTTCTCTCTGCCCTGTTCTTTTGTGCAATCTAATATATAATAACGCCGTTTGTCTTTCCGTTTCGACTAATTAGATACAAAACAAAATATATATAAGATATTTTGGTGGTGGCGAAAATGCTTGCAACGCAACACTTGTGGCATGCCTTATGCCTGGCAGCTTTCATTCATTGTGGATTAGCGCATGCGAAGGGTAAGTAAAAAGGCAAAGCAAAAACGATATTTTCAGCTTTATTTGTTAAGTGCAAAATAAGAGCTTTTGTATCCATACATACAACTGCAATTGAGCTTTGACTCTCACACACACTCATACACTCACACATGCGCATGATGTCATTTTGTGGGCAATGAAATACGAAAATGGTTATTTCGCCGCAAAACTGACCTCGTTTTCGCTTGAAGTGCGCTCGCTTGATCTTCAATAGGTGTGGGTGCATATGTGTGTGTGAGTGTTAGTGTTTAACGGTTTACCAGGGCAGCTTTTATTGCTGCGAAATAGAAGAAGTGAAAAAAGTTCAAAGCGAAACAAATGACTCTGACAAAGAACTTGGCTAATAAAGTGTAGCTCAAGTGTGGGCCCTGCCATGATTCACTCTGTGTGCTTGCCTGCCCACCATATAAGCCAAAGCCCAAATACCCCACCCACAAGGCGACGCGCTCATAATCTTATGCACAGCCACAAAAACAAAGCCTCACACATTAGTCATTAACTTGCAAGTTGCCATACAGAGACAGCCACACACAACAAAAGCGGCAAAAACAAAAGACACGAAAGCCACAAAAACAACAAAAATGAAAAAGAAAAACACCCACACAACAGCGAACAGCCAACGAACAGCGAACAACACAACAGGAAGGGCAACATGACACGCTCAAAATGAACTGGAAACAAATTAAATACTTTATATGTAAAGTTAGAAGAATAGCAATGCAATACCCTAGACTTTAGGTGATCATAACTGTTATTGTTAGCTTTCAAAATGATAATTGCACAGGTAAAAAAAGTTAAAATTTATATAAGAAGTTAAAAACCATTTATAGTTAATACTGAAAAGCTTTTCATATTGGGAATTTAGACTGAAGTTAGTAAATTTAATACTTGAATGAATTTTGGCTTTAAACTTGAGTATTGCAAAAATTTATATATATATATATATATATATATATATATATGTATGTATAATAAATACTCTATGTGTATAAAGTAAATTATATATTGAGTGATAATTAAAATAAAGCTTAACGCGAACTTGACTGGATTTCGTCTAAATTTAAGCATGTTTTTAAAACAAAAATTGGCAATTTTAACTGTATTTCTAAAATATCAAAGTATGGCCTCCATTAAATAGCTTTATATATTATAAAAAACTTGCTTTAACAGCTGAGGTGTTCAAGAAACAGCGTGCTAGTTAGAGGGCGGCAGATGTAGGGGGAGGAAGAGAGAGAAGTTGAAGTCCGATATATAGAGAGATAAGTGAAGAAAGACAGATGAATATTATGAGAAAGAGACACATAAAGATATACTATATATTTATATATATATATATATATATATATGACCAGTGCTGCTGCTTATTAAAATCCAATCAGGCGCTTCGATATTTTTACTTATTGTAAGTACAGCAAAAAGAAAGAAGAAGAAGCAGCAGCAGTAGCCGCGCGTCTGACATTGGCCTTTGTGCGCGTAAGTCTGAGTAGTGCCTGACCATATACGATCATATATATATTTACAAAAAAAAAAGCCAAGCAGCTTTATTTATAAACGCGATACTCAAGTGCAGAAAATGAAGCGATAAAAAATAAAAAAATCGCGCGACAGCCGAGAACGTGTAGGCGAAACAGGTCCCAATTGAGTTGGCTAAAAACAAAATGCAGCCTAATGTGTCCAAACAGCAAAGCAGATACAGAAACAGATAACAAATATATATATATACAAGTATATATATGTATGCTATATATATAATAAGACAGACATAATTTACGAGAGCGCGAGAGACGCAACTTCAGAGCCGGCATGGCAGCCGTGTGGCTGACTGGCTGGCTGACTTGTAGCATCTGTGGCAGACAGAAAGCAACAGCAGCAAAAGCTGAAAGCTAAATTACGGGGCTGCCAGCATGGGGCGTGTCACAAAGAAACTAAGAAACAAATCAGTGCTAAAGCGAAACTCCAAGAAAAAGTAAAAGTTAAGGGAAATCTAACCAAGCTGAACTAAGCTAAGCTGAAAGAAAGAAAATCAGTTGCTCACAATAATTATTTTGTTTATGCATATTTCTTTAAAAAACTTGTCTGGATGATCTCATTGGCATGCAGCTTCTTGCTCGTCAAACGTCACAGCTGAGCGCACAAAGACTTCGACTTCGACTTCGACGACTGACAAATCATCGAACTGTGATTAACTCGTTTAATTGCTGGCTAAGCAGCGCACGCGACGTCGACCTTGCCTTGAAGTATGCTTGAGCCCTGTCTACCTGAGTCTGCTGCAGCCCCTGCCCGCCACCCCGCCCCATTCTGCCTTCTGCTGTGTCTGTGCAGCATTTAATTTATGGCCAGAACGAATCAAGAACAAACGAATGACTTAGACAGCGAACTTGCCATGGCATAATATATCGATGCGCTGACCAGTTGTAAATCTTTGCAGTCAAACAGCGTCCATTTAAATAACATGCGACGCAAACAACAACAACAACAACAACAACAGCAGCAACAGGGAGAGTCGCATTATGTGGCATTAAGACAAAACATTGACAATCGCATTGTATGAGGGGGAGCAGCAGCCAGGCACAACATAAACTAGCCAGCCACAAAAGAGCTGCAACAACAATAATGATCAGTGCGCTTTGACAAGCGACAGTTGGCCACAGCAAGAGCAGCAGTGCAGCAGAGCTTGCCACAGAGTTGCCTAAAAGGACAACAAACGAAATGCTCGTAATAATAAAGAAATTGCGCGCTGTTCCAACTCAACCCGTCCACATTATGCCAACGGGCTGGCCAGTACCCAACTATATACTGCACACACACACACACACGTATGTATATGCTTGCCACGGCTAGGCACAGACAGGATGATGATGAAGCTGATGCCACACAAGGCAAATAAACCGCTTGACTCGGCCGCTGCCTTCTGAGTTGGATGCGGCGGACTGCGCTTTACATTTTTGCCTTATGTGTGTGAAAAATGCCAATTTTAGAGCAAGTCCAGCTCATGTGTGTGCCTGCCTGCCTATATGTGTGTGTGTGTGTGTGAAAAATTGCCCGTCTAGACAAGCGCAGCAGCCGGAACAACAACAACAACAACATGAACAACAATCAAAGCCTTTTGCTAAGCTAATAAAATCGAGCTGCGATTGGGGCAACTGGAGAGCACAGACTCGTGTCTGCCATACCGACTGGCCTCCTGTGGTTGTCCAGCCCCTTGCCTCTGAACTCTTAACCCATTGTTGCCATTGATCCACTCCTGACCCCCAACAGCATTTAAAATAATAAACCATAAATAATTTTTGGTTTTGTAATTCAAGCTGTCTCTGCTAAGACTTAGCTAACATTCGGTTAAGCAGCTGTTAGTTGTTGGACTGCAAAGCTGTTATGTTATGTTACGTAATGTAAATGACTGTTAATTAACAGCTAATCTTTTGCTTTTCAAATTTATTTTTAGCACAATTTGTTAAGCTGCTTCTGACTTCAACTCTAAAGCCCATTTTTATTATTATTAGTTTAGCGACCTTTCCATTTTACGTATATCTATAAGTAGACCTAAACTCATGTCTTTTGTGTCTTGAGTATCTTCTAAGAGCTGATTATGCTGTTAACGAGCTATGAAATTTTTATGTTGAATTTCTATTAGAGTTTATAAAAGGCTATGAGCGAAAAGCTATACAATGTGATCGATCGATTTATTAGATTTATATTGTTTATAAGAAAAGCACATGAACTAACGCTTTACTGTACTGTTAAGCAGCTGTAAAACTGCTAAGCTACTGTTAGGAGAGTATGTAAAGCAAGAACTATATGTTATATTACATAGCTAATGAAATGTTTCAGCTAGCTGTGACACTGTAAAGCCTATGGCAGCTGATGGGCTGCAATGTTAAGCATCTATGTTATCTACTGTAATGTTAAGTAGCTGTGAAATAGCTCCTCTCTATGCTGTTAACGCTCTATATTGATGAATGACTTCAATTTAAGTGCATTTTGATGTTTTTTATTTTAAGTTAACTTCTGCTAACAGTCTAAACACAACAGTTTCCCACGCTTTATCACATTCACATAGCCCTGCCGCTTCTAGCTGTCTGTCAATCAACTTAATCCTTTGCTCGCGCACCTAGCACAAGCGTGTCAATGGGTTAAGGTCGCCGTTGGGCTTAGCAAAACAATGCGTTGCAATTGCCGCACGTTGCCCGCTTGAGAGTTAGCTGGAAAAATAACATCATAGGCTGAGCAGAGATGCTGTGAGCTGAGCCTGAGCCAGAGCCAGAGCCTGTGCGGCATTTGGCTGATTAAAAGGCAGCGATAAGAAAAACGAGCAAATCGAAAGGCGTCGGCTCGCTTTAAGGGTCTGGCAGGAGTCCGTACTGCAAGGCTCATGGCTGCTCAGGCATTTTGTCATCAAGTGTAAGCCATCTTTGTGCGCCGGCATTTTATTGAATTACAATCCGATTGGATGCGTATCGCAGCTGAAGCTGCCTTTGCAGGCTCAACAAGGACAACTCACTTGCTCACGAAGCTTTAATTAGCCAGCTACACATCCAACGAGCCAACTGACTGGCCAGACAGCCAGCAGCCAACAGCTGTAGGAGCACACAATAAAAAATATATATAAAAATGCTTGTTATATTCGATTTTTGGCCAGCTTTGCTGTTTACCGTTAGCTGCGCTGACCATTTTGGCCAAAACACAAAATCTGACATACTGGCTGGCAGGCGGAGCGATGCGGCCAAAATGAAAGCCTAAAAGGCTTTCAGCTCGCCACTAGCCAAGTTAACCAAGCTAACCAATCCCCACAATCAATTCGCGCTCCCAAGGCAGTTCGAGAGTGTGTGTATGTGTGTGTTTGTGTCGCGAATTGCGTAGCATGAGCCTGGCCAAGAGACCAACTCCTAACTGTATAAAGCAACAGTCGCAACAGTTAACGGGTTTGGCACTCCTCCGAGCAAAAGCAAAAGCCATGCGTATTACACAAGACTAATTGTATTAGG